TAAGAGACAGTACACGAGGAGCTCGTCGAGGTCGCGATGATATCACGACTGAGATGAAAAACTCGCGTATTCACAAATTTTTACCACAAAATCTTCTTATCAATTTATATTAATATGTATTGCAGTGGAAAACATTTTTTAATTCCGATATTTTATTTCCACGGTCAAAAATTGTGTAATTGGGTGTCAGTATCAAACACGCGCTTTTGATTGTCATCCGTTTTGCGTATAAGAGACATTATAACCGAAGCTAAAGAGGCAGTTCATAATGAACCTTAAATAATTCAAATAAAAGCAGAAGGAACACCGAATACTCTATTTAAACCTCTTAACTCTTTTGATAGCTCTTTATGAAACATTGTTATGAAAGTAAACTTTGGTGAATTTTATTGTTAAATAATTGGGAGTGAAACTAAAATTGCCTGCACTCAATTAGAGAATTGGGGTCATTGCACCATCTAAAACTGACAGCAGAACAAATTTTCCTTGAGCGCGTACGTGATGGAACTTATCTGCCAGCTGGTCTCGACTTATCGCGCCGCTAGCAAAACTTGATATGAGTATTGGAGGCGTGTGGGTGGTATTCCTATCAAATAGGTAATTTTTATTGAATAGTTAATTTTCACATCACAGTATATGTACTCAATTGTTGCGCCGAGTATCTGTCATTCGTTGGTTATACGAACAGAGTTTAGAGCTGAGACAAGAAAAATTCTTGGTTATTCGAACGGTTTTCAGCCTAAAATCTTGATGAATTTTTATTTGCAGCTCAAATTGAGCCGTGAGCCACTCGTCAACGTCATCAGGCTCACCACCGTCATCAGGCTCGCCGTCATCAGGCTCACCGTCATCAGGCTCACCGTCTTCAGGCTCACCATCGTCATCAGGCTCACCACCGTCATCAGGCTCACCACCGTCATCAGGCTCGCCACCGTCATCAGGCTCACCATCGTCATCAGGCTCACCGTCATCAGGCTCACCACCGTCATCAGGCTCGCCGTCATCAGGCTCACCGTCATCAGGCTCACCGTCTTCAGGCTCACCATTGTCATCAGGCTCACCACCGTCATCAGGCTCTCCACCGTCATCAGGCTCGCCAAAGTCATCAGGCTCACCACCGTCATCAGGCTCACCACCGTCATCAGGCTCACCACCGTCATCAGGCTCACCACCGTCATCAGGCTCACCACCGTCATCAGGCTCACCACCGTCATCAGGCTCACCACCGTCATCAGGCTCACCACCGTCATCAGGCTCACCACCGTCATCAGGCTCACCACCGTCATCAGGCTCACCACCGTCATCAGGCTCACCACCGTCATCAGGCTCACCACCGTCATCAGGCTCACCACCGTCATCAGGCTCACCACCGTCATCAGGCTCACCACCGTCATCAGGCTCACCACCGTCATCAGGCTCACCACCGTCATCAGGCTCACCACCGTCATCAGGCTCACCACCGTCATCAGGCTCACCACCGTCATCAGGCTCACCACCGTCATCAGGCTCACCACCGTCATCAGGCTCACCACCGTCATCAGGCTCACCACCGTCATCAGGCTCACCACCGTCATCAGGCTCACCACCGTCATCAGGCTCACCACCGTCATCAGGCTCACCACCGTCATCAGGCTCACCACCGTCATCAGGCTCACCACCGTCATCAGGCTCACCACCGTCATCAGGCTCACCACCGTCATCAGGCTCACCACCGTCATCAGGCTCACCACCGTCATCAGGCTCACCACCGTCATCAGGCTCACCGTCATCAGGCTCACCGTCATCAGGCTCACCACCGCCATCAGGCTCACCACCATCATCAGGCTCACCGTCATCAGGCTCTTCGTTCTTAGAGGTTACTATGGCCTCTATCTGAAGACGCAAGCCCTATTATAAAAAATTATAATTTATATATTTATTGTACTTAATTTGAAATAATCATCAGACCTTGTGAACGTTCACAATTTTTTGGTTCTCATGATAAACTAAAAGGATTGATATCACCTCTGCACCATCACCTGCTTTCAGTGATAATAGTACGAATTTTTCTCGAGTTTCTAAACCAAATAATCAGTCTATGACAATTTATATTCTCATCAAATGCTCGGCCAGATAACTGGTATTCTTAAAAAAATTATATATTTTATATAATAACTGATATAGCAACGTATTCTGTCGGATAGCAGCAGAGCTCAAGGCCATCAGTAAATGATTGTGCGAGGTCATGTTTTGTGAGGAGACATCATGCCCTCCACAACATGCCCTCCACAACATGGCCTCCACAACAACATGCCCTCCTCAACAACATGTCCTCCACAACATGCCCTCCACAACATGCCCTCCACAACATGCCCTCCACAACAACATGTCCTCCACAACAACATGCCCTCCACAACAACATGCCCTCCACAACAACATGCCCTCCACAACAACATGCCCTCCACAACGACATGCCCTCCACAGCGCATCCTATTATTGTTTGTAAAATATCAACGCCGCATCGTTCACTTCACGCTATCAATTACACACCAGTGTTCAAATCGACAAAAAAATAATGAATAAACAGTCGAAGAAATAAATCGAAAGGAACAAAACCTCATGCATCGCCTAGACCTTGGAAATATCTAATAAATAACTTCTAGTGCAGTGAAGCTCAAGGTGACGTAGTCATGCACTATGCCTCATTAACAATTTGTTTACAGATTGAGTTACCCATAGATTAATCACCCTGCATGTTCCAATAAAATTTGGCTTTTGGATAAAAATGCATGGAAGATTTGACAATTTCGAGTCATGCGTTTCACAATTCGATGCAAAAACCATAAATTTCATTGTAAATTCGTTGATGTCATCTACCATAGATTATGTTACCTTGGAGGGACATGTGCCGGTCATATATATGACGCGTGAGCGTGGCGAGCTGTAGTGAAAAGATAGCGGCAGGCAGACTACAGCTGAACAGCTGTGGTCATTGTGGTGTTCAGTGCAGCAGGCGAGAGTGGAGCTCAGTGCAGCAGGCGACTGTGGTGCTCGGTGCAGCAGGCAACTGTGGAGCTCAGTGCAGAAGGCGACTGTGGTGCTCAGTGCAGCAGGCGACTGTGGTGCTCAGTGCAGCAGGCGACTGCGGTGCTCAGTGCAGCAGGCGACTGTGGTGCTCAGTGCAGCAGGCGACTGTGGTACTCAGTGCAGCAGGCGACTGTGGCGCTCGTGCAGCAGGCGCTCAGTGCTCATGTAAAATTAATAGCTTTACAATACAGAAATAAATCTTAAATGAAATAAATAAATCGTTAAATAGCGGTCAATACGAATAGTCAACCTAATTTGAGGCGCCTTTACGGGGAGCGTCTAGGTTCAAAGGTCGAAATTTTGGCTTTTCCGGTTTTTAGGCTCATCTTAAAGCTTACTTTCTGACGCATCGAACGGTACCAGAACCATCTCTGTACGTTGATTTATGCGTTCGCGACAGATCCCTTAAAAAAAATTTCAAAAAATATCGGAAAAAAATGCTCCCACATCCACAAAAATAAGAAATTCAAAAAACCGTCAAGTGACGTTCTCAGATATGGTTTTTACGCATCGAATGATATGTGTCTCGATGTTGTAGCTTGAAAATCCTAGGAGGAGATTCTAAAGTACCCCCTTATTGTCAGTTTTCTAAGAATTTCACGTTTTCTTTCATTTTTTCGGAAAATTTACACGAAAAAAGGTCTTAAAATTCCGTTTTACGTACGTGTACCAAATTTCGAATCGATCCGTCTGTAAATAACCGAGATAAAGTTGTACCTAGACGCTCCCCTCAATGTTGAGCTGAACTACATTATTTGAAAAAATTCTCTTAGTTTGGGCGGTTCTACTGATCGGTAAACTGAACTCAAATTATGTGATAAAATGAACTAAGCAATTTTAATTGCGCGTCTTAAACTATCGAAACAGATTGCTATAAAATATCAGTAATAAATATTGATCAGAAAATATCAGGTTTTTTTAAATCGTCATATTCTGCATTAATCTTATTTTTTATTATATTCATTTATTATTTTTTTATTTTTTCAATTATTTAACAATTTATTTATGCATTTATTTACTTATCAAGTAATTTATTTCTTTTTTTTAGTTTTTTATTTATTTATTTACTTGTTTATTTATTCATTTATTTTATTTACTTATTTATTTATTTGTTTGTGTATTTATCTACTGGTTTATATATTTATTTATTTATTTATTTAATTACTTGTTTATTTATTTAGTTATTTATTCATTTATTTATTTAGTTAGTTATTTATTTGTTTATTTAGTTATTTATAAATACACTCTCTCTCCTTCAGCATCAGCTGTCTTCCTCCCTCATTTACACTCCGTATCCCATCGTCCGGTAATCCAAAGTTCAGTTCTAATCCCCCCCCCCTGTCTGAAGTCAATATTTCTCGTCACTCCTCTCACAACTCCCCTCTGTCTGTCCATTCACACCCAGCGCTCTAGCCCTCACACCCAACACTCCCCAACTCTCCTTCTGCACTCCCCACCATCCTCCGTATATTCCTACGTATATTCCTACGTCTATTCCTACGTATATTCCTACGTCTATTCCTACGTATATTCCTACGTTCATTCCTAAGTTCATTCCTACATACATTCCTACGTTCATTCCTACGTACATTCCTACGTTCATTCCTACGTTCATTCCTACGTTCATTCCTACGTACATTCCTACGTTCATTCCTACGTTCATTCCTACGTACATTCATACTGGCATCCCTGTCCCTTCCAGGAGTAGGTAGTACTGGCTGTAATGCCGATTATTAGAGGTAACCACAAAAGTAACTTATATATGAAATAATAACGCAATCAGAATTTATCAGTCTTAGATGCTGCAGAGTCTTTCTTTAGTGTGTGAAGTAAAGATAATTTCAACTGAAAGTAAAGAGAATAAATTGGCGTATAATCTCATGCCAGCTTTGATAATGCTTATTATATTACATATCACAGGTTAAATTGTCCATTTTAATTAATACCAGGCCTTTATATGCCCATTTGAATTATTCTTGCATTATATAAGCCATATAATTCATCCTGTGTTATATTATTTATAGGGCATATATTCTCTCTTTACTAAAAAACAATAATAAACTTGTAAAAACACGCGTTAAAAATATAATATTTAAATAAATTGATTTTGCCATGACTAACTACAGCGATTCCTTCTCCGTATTCCTTCACGTGCAACAAGCACAGCAGTCGTTCTCATATAATCAATACGCACGGTGGGCGTATGTAGCTCAGATATGCTGAACTTATGTTGTGTCAATGTTTCGAGTTGTGAATTAATTGACTTCGAGGCAGGAATTTCTTCTCGAATGCTGTTGCTTCATAATTTTGGCGCATTGTATGTTGAAAACACATTTGCACTCGCAAATTGCATGCTACCTCCCATCAGTTGTCTAACAGATGTGTTGAGAGAGAAAGAGAATAGAAGAGAAATATACTCAGTAAATTAAATGCATCAAGTGTTCCATGCTAACTTATTATTTTGATTATTTGCTTGTCGAAATTTTCACCTACGCCTATGCAGTGCAAACAGCACATCAGGTCCCAACCATGCAGTGCAAACAGCACACCAGGTCCCAGCCATGCAGTGCAAATAGCACACCAGGTCCCAGCCATGCAGTGCAAACAGCACACCAGGTCCCAGCCATGCAGTGCAAACAGCACACCAGGTCCCAGCCATGCAGTGCAAACAGCACATCAGATCCCAGCCATGCAGTGCAAACAGCACACCAGATCCCAGCCATGCAGTGCAAATCGCACATCAAAGTTTTAAGATCCGGAACATAAAAGTTCTAAATGCGAATCAGGAAGTTCGAAATTATAAACATTAATCTTCGTCTGAGAAATCTGAACTCAAGTGCATCATAAATGATTTGTTATGATTAACAACAAATAATGATTTATTGCGTGCAATTCTTCGGCTGGTATTGCTGACATCATAAGTCCCGCCCTCATTGCATAAGCGCCTCGTGGTTGTCCGTTGGATTCAAGGTCTGCGCAACAGAGCTTCTTTGAGGACAGCAACCTTACGTTAATGCAGCGACATGCAGCTATGCCCATATGACCGGGGAATTGGCATCATAATAGTTAAATATAATAGTTCATTATAATAGTTAATTATAATTGTTTAATACAATAGTTCATTAAAATAGTTGATTACGATAGTCCAGTATAATAATTCATTATAATAGCTCATTACTATAGTGTAATATAATAGTTCATTATGATAGTTTAATATAATAGTTCATTAAAATGGTTGATTATAATAGCCCAGTATAATAATTCATTATAATAGTTCATCATAATAGTTCATTATCAGTTTATTACACAGTACTGAACATTATAATAATTCATTCATTACTACGACTGAGATCGGACATCGGCACATGTTTATTACCGCTGAGTCTAATTTCCGACAGTAACGGGCGCAGTGAAGACTGCAGGCTTCGCCAGCTGTTTGAAAAATAAATTAACTATGAATTTTTAGTTAAAATAGGTTCCCAAGAGTTCACAGGCTATCAGAGCAGGAATATTCTAACTATAGTTTTAACTTTACCGCGTCCAACATTAACTAAATATATTAGATTACTCTGCCTTATTTGGAAGATATTGATCAAACAAAGATAAAAGATTAACTTGGATGTATTCCACGCTAACTTGTATTAAGCTCAGCTAAGATTATTCTCTATAAAGGTCAAAGTAATCGGTATTTATGCAGAAAATATATTACAGCAAATTTATGCTTTAATTTTTCTTAGCAATTTTTTTTTTTTTTTTTTTTTGCTTTTAAAATTTTGGTATAATATGCCCTAAGGGGGCTTAGGCCCCCTTATAGTTTACTTATGGTAAACTGAAAATACATCGCACGGGACAGAAGTTCTCATTCATCTCATGTCTTCACACGGTCCGCAAACTTGGACCTTCAGGGAACAGGCACCAAAAAACAAGTTTATTCAAAGCTGATTTTCATCCGAAATGAATTGTTTTTCATTTAATGTGTTAATTTTTCATGACTTGGAATAATATCTGTTAATATAATCAACACGAATTATTTTAATGTTTTGGAAGCATCCTCCACGTGGCACGTTTTGTCCTTGGAACATGAGTCCTGCATTCAGTCTCGGGGTCTCCGCGGGATGCCGGGAAGGTCGATGCCTCTAGTGAATGCATCTTCTTGAATGCATCTCATTGAACGCCGCTCATGTTCCTAATTGAGGGAAATCCTAACATTATAGTTACATCTCACATGTCATACATCCACGTGTATTATACTGGGCACTGGCTGCAGTCAAATATATACGCCATTAAAATCAGTAGCGTGTCTGCCCGGGCGCCGAGTGCAGTGCAGAGTTTAGTACGTGCCAGACAGATGTAATGCTCTGGGCTATTGTTAGTCTCCATTAAAATTAGATGCTTTAACTAAATTGATGATATTTTAGGATATCATTTGATTGAATTATGATGAAATTGTTGTATTGATAGAATTAAAATTCATATATTTATCTTCAACATTATTGGGAGCATTGATATGAGGGCACTATTGCACAAAAACTCTCGTCATTGCATTAAGTCAGTTCATGAATGATGACAAAATTAAGTAGACTTTTCATGTCATGCAAAACAGTGAAAACGCCCATAATAATCCAGTTATATGTCTTATTTGAAATTTGTAATTTTATTTTAATATTACTTTTTAATGATACTTCTTTTAATGCTGCTTTTTTAATGTTGCGTTATTTATTTTGATGTTGCGTTGTATTTTTACCAACGATTTTCTATTAACATTCATTTCCTCAGTATCACTGATCACCAAAAAGCAATAACTGGTAGCATATCTTTGATCATCATATGCCTGATTTTACATGTGTCATTCAAATCCTATGTTCAATGATGTCAGATAATATTTCACTTAGGTTGTTGAATAACAATGATTACTAAATAAACATAACATAAAATTAAATTACTTCAAACTTCCATTAAAACTGTGATTGAAGACGATAGCAAATTGTTCGTTTCCTTCCCAAAGACTGCACATCCACGCAGGTTAAACTAACGTACCGCATCAAATTCTCAACAATAAAAATTCGATCAAAAATCAAGCTTTAACCTAATTGTCATATTTACTACTCAGCTTCTTGCTGAGTAGATCATGCCTCATGTGACGTACATTAAGGATCATGCCTCATGTGACGTACATTAAGGATCATGCCTCATGTGACGTACATTAAGGATCATGCCTCATGTGACGTACATTAAGGATCNTTTACTTAAATTACTTAACTTTGTTAAGTTGAATTTACTTAAATTACTTAACTTTGTTAAGTTGAATTTACTTAAATTACTTAACTTTGTTAAGTTGAATTTACTTAAATTACTTAACTTTGTTAAGTTGAATTTACTTAAATTACTTAACTTTGTTAAGTTGAATTTACTTAAATTACTTAACTTTGTTAAGTTGAATTTACTTAAATTACTTAACTTTGTTAAGTTGAATTTACTTAAATTACTTAACTTTGTTAAGTTGAATTTACTTAAATTACTTAACTTTGTTAAGTTGAATTTACTTAAATTACTTAACTTTGTTAAGTTGAATTTACTTAAATTACTTAACTTTGTTAAGTTGAATTTACTTAAATTACTTAACTTTGTTAAGTTGAATTTACTTAAATTACTTAACTTTGTTAAGTTGAATTTACTTAAATTACTTAACTTTGTTAAGTTGAATTTACTTGAATTACTTAACCTTGTTAAGTTGAATTCGACGCACTATACGCCGCTTATAAGTGCGTCGGGTGGAGCCAGGGCAATTGAGCCAAATCTCGGGACACTTCTGTTTGATGTTGACACGTCTGTTGGTGAGTCTCAGCGGCTTGTCAAATACTTATACTCTAATATAGCGTCCGTTGCGTACATAGCGTGGGTGTTATAAGACGGACGCTTGCTGGGACCGATGGTACGCAAATTGTTGGTCATGTAAAATATAATAGAATTGATGGGTGTATTTGTTGTTGTCTGTATAATAACACAAACGTTATTATCCGTTTGTTATATGAAACAAGCAATCCGACGCTTGCTTGGTGCAGGTACCCGCTGTTCAGCTGACACTGGCAGCAGCTGACGCTTGCTGGGCGCAATTGATCGGCGTCAGGTTCTCTGGGCCCAAAAATACTATCTCTTCTAATATATGTCTGCTAACGGTTTCTTTTGCTTATTGATACAATTTCCCAGCAGAAGAAATAGATGCTTTTTGGAATCTCGAACTCCAACATCCCGACCGAACATTACCTTCATTAATCTAGCAGTGCAACCACCAAGTATTCTTCAAGAACTCCTCGTCCATTTACCATAATGTCTTTTTTTTTATATCGTTTAAGTTTCATTGCGATTCAATATAAACAATACTTATTGCTTCCTACATATCAATTATTCATTTAATTAAATAATAACATCGCAGTAAATTTCATTCAATGTTCATAAGAAATACATTAATCACGCACAATGGTCACAACTAATATTTGTATAAATTTTAAAATGAATATATGCTTTGGCTTCATTTGGTAATTATAATCAAATTAAAACTTTAGACCAGACAATAAGCTCATTGAACTTTTGAGTTTGCTATTATATCATCATTTATCATCTTGCAATCTAACATTTTTTGAAGCCGACGGTGAAAATAAAATTAACGGCTTCAACGAGTGATTCATTAAATGAATTGAACATAATTCACGAGAAGTTTTACAGCAATAAATAGCACCGAGTCGAGCTATTTCAGTTAAAGTGGTTTTTCGTGAACTTCAAACTGACTAGTCTACTGATTATGAAGATTTTTACAGTTAAAATATATAATAAGATGTAAAAAGATACGTTAAAGGGATATGAAAATATTTCTATGTTATGAATTTGAACATGAATACACAACGAAGCGTTGCGCTCACGCTGGCTTCACACAAACTGGTTGTATAGAGCACTCCTCGTCCATTTACCATAATGTCTTTTTTTAATATTTTTCAGGTTTCATTGCAATATTATATAAACATTACTCATTGCTTCCTACATATCAACTATTCATTTAATTAAATAATATCATCGCAGTAAATTTCATTCAATGTTCATAAGAAATACATTTATCAGACACAATGGTCACAACTAATATTTGTATAAATTTTAAAATGAATATAAGCTTTGGCTTCATTTGGCAATTATAATCAAATTAAAACCTTGAGACCAGGGAATAAATGGTTCATTGAACTTTTGAATTAGTTTAATCATTGCTTATATCCTGCAATCTAACTTTTTTTGAACCCGTCGATGAAAATAAAATTAACGGTTTCTACTAGGTTTTATTTAAATAATAAATACATTGAACAGGATTCACGGAATGAATTGAACACAGGATTCACGAGAAGCTTTACAGCAATAAATAGCGCCGAGTCGAGCTATTTCGGTTAAAGAGGTTTTTCGTGAACTTCAAACTGATTAGTCCACTGATTAGGAGGATTTCTAGCGTTGAAAATATAAGAACGCACAAAAAGATGCGTTAAAGGATATGAAAATATTTCTATGTTATGAATTTGAACTTGAAAGCGCTGCGCTCACACTGGCTTCACACAAACTTGTTGTATAGACCAATTCGGAAATCAGGGCAAATATGGTGCGAATAAACAAGAAATTCGTCAGTTTTATAGCCGAGTAAAGTATTGGCCCGATATATGTACGTCGTCGATTTAACTTTTGATTCTTTTCCCTCCAAATAAGATTGAAATGAATAGTGAGTTGATTGACAAAAATTAGTCAAAAGCTCCTTAATTTAGTTAACTTTTTAGAGTAAGCTTGAATGTGAAATCAAGTGCCATGACATCTGCGTCAGGAATTTCTAACCCTACATTCTTCAGTGGTCCTTCCGATAAGTTGAGTGGAAGTGAAGACATGACGGAACGAAAGGACATTCCTTATAAAAATCTGACAGGTACCGATGACGATAAAATTTCCGTCGTCTCCGACGAGGGCGATTTACAATGTTCAACTTCAGAATCATCGTTATCGGAAAATTCAGTCGATATTCCCACCGCCAAAGAGCGAGAGGCAAAATCAACCAAGAGAAGCAGCAGTGGTTCAGACTCGACAAAAAGTATCAAGAAAGAAAGTTCGGATGGAAAGTCGCTGGAGAATATCCAGGACCATGAATCAGTTGAAAGCAAAAAGGCCAAGAAAACATCCAGCAAGTTCATCGTCATGATGGTTTTGTCGGCATTCACCGCCATCTTCGGCGTGGCGATGCTGGCTGGCGGCTACGACGCACTCTTCGACTCCATACTACAGTCAGTGAGTGTTCACTCCATTAAACCCCAACTTTATATTCCGAACTTACGCTTGGAACTTTGCATTCTGAAACATTAACAATCTGTCTGATCTTAAAATTTGGAAATCTTAAGCAGACTCTCGGTCTTTTACATGTTTAAATTTTTACATTTAAATCCTGACTAAATCTCACTCTTTTCAATTTCATTCTCCCGCCCATTGTGAATTTGAAGTTTGAGTGTATACCACATCAACGTTTGAAGGCTAATGAACACTCAGTCTCGAAGTTATTGTGAATTAGTGAAGCATACAGAAAATAATTTTATATTTCGAAGCATTGAGTCTCCAGATATTTAATATCAATACCCTTATCATATTTTGGTCACTACAAGTGATGGTATAAGCATTTCTTGTATAATTATTTTAACAATTTTATAGTATATTCAGTAAATACTCACGATAGATGAAGAGCCATGATACTCCATGATATCAAAAGCCATTTCTTAGTAGCATTAGACCTGCTGAAGCTCAGCTATTTGATTGTTTTGTTGAGAGGATAGCATTTGACAGTCGGTGACGTACACGTTCACATCAGTGGGACTAAAATTCTCAGCCTTGAAATTTCACAATTTCATCGAACTTGAAAATTGTAATTTCGTAATGCTTGAAATGTTCACAGAAATATAATTTTTAAATGCTATGTACAAACCATTACATGATTCTTCTCAATATTAACATCTGGTGTATTAATGAATCATTGTGATATCACTTGAATTGTCTTTATTCTCTTTTATTACGAATTGTCCTGCTTACTAAAATTTCCACTGTATTAATGAATGATTATCATATCACTTGGATTATCTTGAGTGTTTGATCACAAACGGTACTGCTTACTAGAATTCACATTGTACTGAGACTTCAGCCTGGCAGAAAATAGAAAATAATCATACCTGCCTTTTTAGCGCATTTTCTCATTTATGGGAAAAATGCACTATTGTGCTCGCCATGTCCGCTTGTCTGTCTGTCTGTCTGTCCGTCCGTCTGTCCGTCCGTCCGTGATCTCAAGTTTTCGTCGACGAGAAAATGCGCTCTCTGTCACTCACTGCAGTGAGTACTGAGTTATATTTTTCAACCGTGTTGCAGCAAATGGAGGTGAAGCCTGGTTCTCAAGCGTACGACATCTGGAAGGACACTCCAGTGCCGCTCACCATCAGCTTCTACCTCTTCAACCTGACCAACCCTGTGGAGTTCACCAACGGCGGGCGGCCGATGGTGGATGAGATTGGACCCTACGTGTACCGGTGAGTCATCCATGTGGACTCTACGTGTACCGGTGAGTCATCCATGTGGACCCTACGTGTACCGGTGAGTCATCCATGTGGACCCTACGTGTACCGGTGAGTCATCCATGTATATCTTCCATGAAAACTGATGGTTATACACAGTTCGGAAGGGATAAGCTTTATTATGAATCATATAGTACTCCATCTAACACTCAATCAACTACAGGAAAACTTTTTATTCAAGAAAAAGGAGTAAAGTACTTTGTCTTCGGTAAAATAAAAGGAGAAGTACATACTACCATCAATCAAATGAACACTCGTCAGTTAATTCAGAATAACGCAGAGTTTCAGAGCAGACTATTATGTACAGAGTATCAAAAAATTACAAACATCAATATTCTCTCATTCACGCAGAGAGATTCGCAATAAGACTTACATCAATGTTCCGTCATTTACGCAGATAGTACCACAAGAAGACAAACATCAATGTTCTCTCATTCGCACAGAGAGTTTCACAATAAGACAAACTTCAACATTCTCACAATCACACAGGCAGTTTCTCAATAAAACATATATCAATATTCTCTCATTCGCATAGAAAGTTTCATAGTAAATAAGACAAAAATAAATGTTCTGTCATTCGTGCAGAGAGTACCACAAGAAGACGAACCTGGAGTTCCACGAGAACGCGACGGTGTCTTTCTACCAGCAGCGTTGGTGGGTGTGGGACCAGGAGGCCTCGGGCAACCTCAGCGAGGACGACCCCATCTGTATCCTCAATACAGTGCCTGTGGTGAGCTGAGTAAGCGAGTGTGCTATAATGAAGTGCTTCTTATTCCTTACTGTATCCATAGAACAATATTTAAACAGCGGAGTATTGGAAGATGTGTTTTACGAGGCTGTTCAACTAAATTACTAAAATTATCTTATAAGCAATAGTAATCCTCTCATGGATTGCCATTGGTGTGCTACCTAAGATTTAATTAACCAATTTCAATACATAACACTTGGTTTAAGCGGGGGCTTTGCAGCGATGGTGGTCAGCAGTTTATGGTGACAGACTCACAAAAGAGTTCCCAACATCTGAACATAGCCTCCCATTGTAACCCTAAGTTACATTCATAGCTAGAGTAACTATAAAGAAATAATGTTTAAATTATCTTGAATCACAGCAAAGATATTTTCAAGCTTCTTGCAGCTAGACTTTTTGCATCGATAATCATGGCAATATTTTTCTCGGACCTGTGAACAAATGATCGTTCGCGAGTTGTGACGGTATATAGCAACCAAGTCATGCTGTTGCGGGAAAGCTGAGCAACATATTTCCTAGATAACAAAACTGAATAGAAGGTAATTTCCTAAACAACACTTGGAGGGAACATAGATGATAATGTTGCTAAAAAAAATTGCAAAATATACATAAATGAATTAAGCGTAGATTCATATTGGTAACAATCTAAGTAGGTAAACTTTACAGGCACTAATTCGAAGGCCCCAATGTAGACAATATTGCAGTAATGAGGCTCGGGGGTCCGGCCATCCAAATAAATGTCAAAATCCGTCCAGACTAGAGGTTCAGGAGCCGATAACAGCCCCATCAGTGGGCTCAGGGAAAGTTTTTGATGAACACCACACAATTTGGACCACCGCATCGGCTGTAAATCACAACCATTCACAGGTGGACATTATGTTGCGTAAACGGTGATTCCGGATATGATTGAATTACACAATAAACTTAGCAGTAAATGCATTGGGGCTCAGTACCAATGTTCACCTGAACTTTCGACTCGTTCCGCACTGCATGGCGCTTGATAGCGACAATTGTGGTTCATTCCATCAGTACTTGGTTGTAGACTCCTAGAAGGTTTTTTACAATGGTCGTCCCAAAACAGCATATATAGCACTTTGTCACATTGTTCCTGTATCAACTTTTTCAGTACAGGACCGGGGTTTCGACACATTGCTCCTGCACTTTCTTCTTTATCGTACGGTAACCGGGCTGTGACACATAATTATTTTCTCTACTGAGAAAGGGATTTGATGAGGGCCTTGTCAGAGAAATCATAGGAGCTAGTTTTCTCCAGCATCCCAATTAACCTACCTCGTCTGCCGGTCAGGTACCTACTGATATTTCCCGGGTCCGTAAGCGACAAAAGCCGATGGTACTAGACCCTGTTTCATGTTCACTCTGATTCAATCCTTGATCTCAGATTCGAGCAATGCGTGGCAGAGATACGCTGCTTGTTGGTTCTTCCAATCTCGGCCTGCTACCACAAGGAAGCTCAATTCAGGCCGGGAACTTCAAACTTCGCTACGAGCTGCTCATGAAGACGCACTTTTGACTCGTTTCCCCCCTTTCTACGTTTTTTCCATGCCAACAATAATGTACAATATTTAACTATTATGAAGCGTATCATGATTATTTGATTGCGACTTCTGGTTTATAAATAACTTTTCAGCAGAGTTCTAAAAACAGTTAGTGCTCCCAGCAAAACTTAAGGCTGCGACCCTTCGTAGAGGCCGCAGTAACTTACCCCACCATTGATGATCAAACGTTTATTATGTTATATTCCATCTCACTTGAATACAATCTTGTACTTGTTTTACAGTCTTGCGCAGTTCTTCACTAGTTGAAGTGCGGCATTTACTGGGGAAGCGGCATACTCGAATGTAATTTCTAGAAGATTTTAACTGGACATGCATGGGCTTCTAGCTAGATCGCAGAAGAAGTGATAATAAATAAATAAATCACACTCCAGCAACTGTCAACGCTTAAATTCATTAACGGGCCAAAATAGAACAGTCTAAGAAGTGATGGTAGAAACTAAACGACTACATACATTTTTTTTGCAGTCAGCGGCTTACTCAAGTCGTGACCACCCCTTTCAACTCACCGGTCTAAACATGGTGCTAAACCAAGTTAACGAGACTCTGACGGGCGTTTTCCCGGCTCGGCAGATACTCTTCGACGGATATCAGGTGAGTCTCAGGTTTCTACAAACAACTAATTTTTTGAAGAGAAGAAAATTTTGATTACCCTTGGAATTTAAGAAAATCTAACCTTGCTCCCTTTTGGAAAGTATTAATGTAGCAGTTCAATTTTTTCGTACATGGGTAAAATTAGAAGAAATACGTGTACAGCTATTCTCATTATAAGTTATAAAATAGTGCGATTATGTAAAAACGTAATTCAAAAGGTTAAGACCGTAAGTAAAATTTCGGCCCTGGTACAATCAATTTTCGCAATTGTCTCGGGAATTTTCGCAATTGTCTCGGGAGACAAGTTGAGGAAAGACTAACTATAATTAAAGTTATTGCGGGTAACATCTACTATAAGGTACCTCCGCTGTAACTGTAATTTTAGCTTTTCCTGCGCAAGCGAGTAAACCATTTTTAATTTTGTTGAGCCAGAAATTATACAGTTACTATAATATGTTTCTCTGTATTCATTTGACGAGCAGGATCCACTTCTCGACTACGTGCAAAGAATCCTAAACAACGAGTCCAGGATCCCTCCTGAAGCCCTCGACTTACTTGATCTTCCCGATGGTCTATTAAACTACGACAGGATGGGATGGTTCTATAAAGTGAGCTTTGTTCAAGGTAGACAAGATTTCCACAGTCGAGAAATCCTTAGGTGAGATCCATTATAGGAAAAGGCATACACACAAATTCTTTAATTTACAATACTCGCAATTAATTTGGAATTAATTTTGCTCGTAAAAGACAATTCAATTTTTTGCTTATAATATCTAAGCTTCGTAGCACTATTTAATATACGTACAGTACTAATGGGTTGATGATGAATTAGTTCTAGAAACTCTTGAATTTTCTCGTCTTACTTTTCCACATTATCTGACCTAGAATTATAAAAAATGCAGAACATGATAATTATTAAACACGCATTTTCTTGGTCTAAAAATTTCTACGGTAAGTTGATATAATACATTTTAACTAACAATATGCTACTTTTAGTGAGGGAGCCTTGAACCCAAAAGCAAAGAGAAGTTTCAATTTAAATTATTTTCTTGAAATACTTAGCAACGACACACTTAATTACCATGCATGTTTTCATTTCGTATCCTGCGCCTCCACCAGAGAAACCTGAGCGAGACCTACGACGGTTGGTTCAACATGTTCACGGGCACCGACACACTTGATCACGTGGGTCAGTAAATACCAGGGGCCATACTTTCAAAACTTGCTAAGTGAACGTAAGTACTTACGCTCTATTTTCTTGTCTATGATTGGTGGATTTTGTTTAAAATGCCGTTAATGATTGGCTGATGAACTAACGATCTCTTAACTTTTTTTGAAAGTATAGACCCAGGACGATTTATAAAATCATTTATTTCTTTTTTCCAGTGCGGCACTCACAAAAAAATCGCATAAATTTTGTAACACTCTAAGAAAATTTTGCATGTGTGTACTGTTAAAACAGAGCTAAAAGAACAAGAAAAAAAGAGCTATGATTCTAGATGCCATAAGTTTCATAGTAAATTAAGTGCTATTGCTATGAGCTAAAGTTCTTCCAACATATGAAGTAGTCACTTTTTCCGACATCTTGTAAAAAGTTTCGATTTATGTCCATTTATTCGATTCGTATTTTATTAAGATTTACTGATATTTTGAGGCACACAACATGAGTGATAGCTCAGAAGTGATATAAGTTCAGATGGAAGTTCAGAAGTTCACTTTTGAACTTTTCCTTCAATCAGTGCAAGAGATTGCCTCATTGAGTCCAATAAACAGCTATTTCGGTAATACGAGACGTTGAAATTTATTAGTCCCAGCCCATAAATCGAAATGGAGCCTTCATCATGATGTTGTGTCTCTATTAGAAATGTGCATGTCCACTCTATTCTACGGCACAAGTCAATATTACCCACAGGCAATATTGACTGGTGGAACCAGATACGCGAAACTGACTACTACCATGAGGGCTGCAATCAAATCTTCGGGTCAGCCGGCGAGATTTGGCCACCAGGCCAGAGTGCCACCAGCATCTCCTTCTATTGCACCGACATGTGCTCGTGAGTATTGCAAGTAATTGAACTATAGTGACCAACAAAGTAATAAGCTTTCAGTACCGCAGTCCACTTGCACCTAATTTACCCACGTAACAACACACCGCGTCCTATCATTATAGTCCTTCTGATGATTTGCTCGAAACCTGCCCATCACCAACAGACCGCGGATCGAATATGACTTTTCTGACCTCGTTTATTTACGTTTATTTCTCCTACAATCATCAGTGGTTAGGTTTCAGATCGTAAAGTTAGGATAGCAGATCGATGGCCTTTTTCAACGATTTACCGTTCGAGAGGGGGCTGATTCGATGCCGAGAGTTGACACTATCAACTGATTAGTTGAGGAATGAATGTTATGCAAAGTACCAGCACGATTTATCAGCTTTGTGTGAAATTATTTCATTTATTGGACGATGCTGGGCCATACAATTCCCGGAATTTCTGCTCGAGGCTGGCTGGTCAATTCAAAGGATACGTTTGTATAGCTCGTATAGATTGAAGCCGATAACGTGATGGACTGGAGTTGTTGGAAGCTATGTCACTGGAGGAAGGGATCATGTCAGTCCATCCGAAATATAACTTCCCGAATGATCTAAAAGCTTCTTGTAAAACAATTTGCACTGTGTGGATCCCAAAATGCGCAACTTTAAAATTTCTTAACGCACATAGATATTTTGTCGATTTAATCGGTATATTAGAGGTTTAGTTTAATGACTCTCATATTCCACTTCTAATTTTGGACTTATGGCGTTCATCTAAAGTCTAAACGCCAACTTACATTTAAACGTTCCTTGTATAACGGGCTGAGAAATGTACATAGCCGAAGTATTAAATTTCGGTATAAAATTGTATAAAAAAATGGGATTAACATGAATAAGTTACATTGGGCTTGTCACGACAGCACGCTAACTCTGCGATACAAAGAGGACGTAACGGACGAGTTTGGGCTGGAGGGCTATCGCTACTGGGCCGACAACATGACGTTCGCGTCTGCCGACGTCGCACCTGAGAACTTGTGCTACTGCTTCACCAACGACACGTGCCCGCCCTCAGGTGGGGAATAATAAATATATTACTTTCATTATAGAAATAACTGTTATGCGTTCACTATGAATTGAGAAGTGTGGAAAAATATGATAAATTTACTAGACGTTTATTTGCCTTCAAGTTCTTGGTAATTTTGCTATGTAAGGCGATTAACTCTATTAGCACCGTTATTTGTATTACCTTAATTATGTCCAACCCTTAGTCCACTGTTTTAACATAAATTTGATTTTTTGTACTATTTCAATTCCTTGAGGCACAAGTTAAACTTGATAAGTATGCTTAAATGGTTATTTCAAGACAGGAACTATCTTATATTAAGACTTGATTTAATTAAATTAAGAATTTTAATTTTGACTAATTTTAGGCGATTGTAGAAATTGTATTTGTTCAATGATTGTGCGTGCATTATATAGAAACTAAGCATTAGCTTGAATTCTCCGTCAATTTGTGTTATTGAGTCATATGTATAATATGACAGAATTGCAATGAATGTTATCGTACCGAAATAGCGGAATTGCCGATTCTATGGAAACGGCAGCCAGTATACCGAATCTGTATTTCTATACTATAAAAATCTGGGGTTAGGTCAGTCAGCCTAGTTCTTTTTTAATATATGTAAATATAAAGGAACTTCACCGAACTTGACCTCGCCTTTTCTAACTCTAACTGTCGATTTATGTCCTAATTCTAACTCTAAAGTCCGATTTTCAGAATCAGCAACGAAATGCTGATTCTACAGATTCGACAAACTGGCAGCCGATTCCATAGAATCAGCAATTCTGCAATTTCGGCATGACATATGCTTTATTATAAATTTAATTTCATTTACCAGAGGAGCATACATGTTAGCGAGAGCTCACTTATCAGTTCAAAGGAAAGCTTTATTCGTAGCTGAGTTTTCTTACTAGTAATGGAAAATTTACAATGAAACTATTGTACAGTAATGTGTCTAATAATGTTAACAGGAGCTGGGGGTGCCAATAAGCGTGCGGGCGCGTATGCAGCTCAACATGGCGGTTGTGCCGTACAAAAATCTTTTTGGCTTTGGAACAATCGAGTGAGTATGGAGCTGAGAGGAGGCTATGCATGTACGGAGAGCTGTTTATAGTAAGAGAGACGCTCATATTACGAGAACCGCTCATGATATGAGAGCCACTCACGATCTGAGAACCGCTCACGATATGAGAGCCACTCATGATCTGAGAACCGCTCACGATATGAGAGCCGCTCACGATATGAGAGCCGCTCACGATATGAGAGCCGCTCACGATATGAGAGCCGCTCGCGTTTAAGTTCAAAGTGCGAAGGTGATTCCTTGCATTTGGAAGCACGTGTCGAAATATTGACTTGATGATGTGAGGAGCATCAAACACAAGTTTCAATAATATCATTATAATATAACAAAGACAAAGAAATAGTATTTTATTTGTAACGCTACAATTCCTGACTTATAATTTTTTTGATTGAAACAGTAGGCCTAGTACGCCGAGCTCGTTTAAAATTGCAACCGATATCTTACACAGAGTGAAATAATTCCACTTAAAGCGGAACTAGTAACAAATAAATAAGTATATATTTAATCTGAAAAGCCAGTCAGAGATGCGGGATTCTGCACACACTCATTTTTTTACGTGCTATATATAAAACTATATTTATAAAAATCTGATTGAAGATCATAGAATGGTTTTCATTAATAACTTGACCCCTTCAAACGCATATTAACATAAAAGATAGGACTCCCATCTTATCCTCGTTTCAAAATATGGAAAAAACTGTTTTAAGCATTTTAAATTACATTTTTTTCGATTGCAGAATAAATTTTCAATTTTTGATCCAATCTTTTTCTCAAATTCTTTCCTATTAACCCACTTATAACAAAATTTCAAGCTCTGTTATAATATGCCGACCTGATAGGAATCGTGAATACACGTCCGAACAGTGTGCGTATTTGTGGTGCCGGGCGACACGCGAACAGTTCAACACAGAGGGAGCATTGACAAATATATGTCGATACTTGTCGAAGGACTTGTATTGACATATGTTGAAATACTTGCCACTTGTCGAAGGACGATAAATTTTAGAACAGAACTATGCTATCTGAAACCTAACCTCAGATGCGGTGAACGTAATATTACGTAATTCAACGATGCCTGGAAGTCATATTCGATCCGCAGCCTGGTGGTGCACGGCAGGTGGTGGTCAAGGCCGGAAGAGGACAAAGCCGAGTGGTGCACGGCTGATTGGTGTAGGTCCGACGAAAGATCCAAGGCGTTCGATTCAGGGCTTATTGGTGCACAAAATTGGTGGTGCACGGCTGCCTTAAAAGTGATAATGCTATTATTTTTTGTTTGCGAAGATTTTATAACTAATTAAACTTGAATTTTTCAGTATCTTGAAGAGAGTGAAGGAAGTGATCTTGCCCCTAATCTGGTTCGAGGTGAGCGCGGGTCTGACGGAAGAGCTTGCGAAGGACCTGAAGCCTGTGATGTTCCTCCTCCACACGCCCACCATGACCATCATCTGGAGTCTCTTGGTCGTGTGTGGAGTTTGCGGGTTCGGTGCTGTCTTGTTCTGGTGGAAACGTTGAGCAGTCAGTGGTATTTCTTAAAAAATACCCTCTCGGAAACTACTTCAGGGCTCGTGTGCATGTCAGGAGTAGTATTATTTTAGAATAATTGAAAGCGGAACCGCTTTGAAAAGCCAATTTCAGAAACCCATTACGTATTACAATTCGTCTCGAAAACTTATCATTAAATCAGAAAAATATTGGGAATTGTAACGTTGAGTGAGGGTGCTGAAGTTCAGGTGTTGCGTAATTTCATTGCAATTATGGCATTATTCATTATATGCGTCCGATTCCTCAGAACACCAAATGCTATAAGGCAATAAGACTGCACGCCAACAGCACCGATGGTCTAACAGTGTTTACCTGAGAAGAATGTGTCAGTGTGTGTTTCATCATTTATGTGTGTACTGTAATTTCGATTTTGGCTTTTGAAATTTTCTTTATTTCAGTTGTATAATGCGGGTTTAGTTTAAATTTAAAATTTCAACCAAAAAGTTTTGAGTGTAAGTTAACCTTATTCGAATTTTTAATGCAAATACCAGCTTTCCTGAAGCATATCAATAATTAAGTCCCTTAGTTACAACCTCGTTTTGTTTCTCACCTGCAGCTCAATTATCATGCAAAATTTTGCCACAGCTACAATTCTATTGGAATAAAAACTAATTTAGACCAAAATTTAATGTTATCCTCAGTGCACGTCGTAGCAACATCGGCATAACAACGTCACTGCCCGGCCCTAATTTCCTGCTTTTGTTGTCATTCGTACCCAAATAATTACTGGTGTAACTTCTTTGCGCCATCTTCTTATTATAATTGCAGTATTTTTGCCAGGGCTCCGAGGTTACGTGCTTTTGTTTAACTTCACATTCCTCTGGCCGTACGTTTGTTGATTGTTGCAAGAATTTGTGTGTGTATAGATTTTGTGTTCAAAAATTCGCAAACATTTGTCAAAAATGTAACATGATGTCTGTGAGTGAATATCTTTTTTGCATTCATTATATCAAATCGAAGAGGTGTCTCTTAACAATCGACCTTCAATACACGGTCATGTTAATGTTATGCGTATGCCGTAACGTTGACATTGAGACAAATTTTTTTATATCAACACTTACATACAACACAGTTTAATTCCGTGTCGTTGACAATTGTCAGGTACCGTAGCCATATGTCTATACGTCTACATACTTCATCAGCGTACTCCAACTTTCCACTCCTGTAATTAGCTGTGATACTCATTATATACTCGTAAATGTAAAACTGACTGGCACGAATCTGTCAAGTTCGCATAGCCATTAGAATAACCAAAAATACCCTATATTCTTTTTATTATGTAAACATAATTGCTGTCTCGACCACTAAAATTTACTCATTTACGCTACGTCCTTAATTTTTTGCGCGCAATTTCACCTCAATAGTGCTCAAACTTTAGCTGTAATAAATAATTTAAGTAATCTTTTTCTGAAACAGTAAGTTTCATACAAACACTATTCTCTAAAAATGCTTGCAAAATAACTTTTCTTCGATGACCTTAGACTCGATTAATTGAACGCTCTCCCGTGTGCAGAGCCTCTGTTTGTGTTTGCTCTATATAGGAATAAGAGATCTCACAAATATTCTCTCATTTCAACGTTATTAACTTATCTATTAAAGAGACATCGTGCTGCTGATACGACAGCATCAATGCAATGCCAGGTGAACCTTTTTGTGATCGCCGGGTGCGATGAGCCGTCGTTGTGCAGATGGCATTCTCCGAAGTTTTTTTTTTAAATTTTGGGATTCTTGGGAGCCTAGAGCATGAGTTTCACTGGCCTAACGAGATCCAGAATTTTAAAGCGTCCTATAGTAGACTTCAGATGCAGTGCTTACCATAGCAGGTTTGCTCAATAATCGTTTCTATAAATTTCATGTGGGTTAATGAATACTCCCGTTATTTCATTATTAAAAGTTCCAGCTCACTATTTGTGTTATTCATTGCCTCTTATACAGAACTTTTAGTCACAATGTAATGATAAATATACAGATTTGTTAGATATCTAGAAGCATTTAGCCGCATCTCAAAGTTATAATAGTCAAGAAAAGTTACACCGTATGTGATGTCTGACGCAGCAACAAGTCTCAATCACGACTACGCATCACAATATAGCGTATAATAACGAGCCTATAATGCACGATGCCACAAGGCCCCTAACTCTATGTATGTATCATGTCAAATATTTTATTTGACAACGATGAAAAGCAGACGAAATATCTTTCTATATACAAACCAAATCAAAGGGTAGACAAAATATGCATTAAAATGTTAATCTTGATCACTGCATTTCATGAGTAAGTGGAGTAAGGTTTCAACATGCAAATATCACGAAATAGTTTTTAAACCCCACGAATGACTTATAACCCAATTCAAAAATGCTCATTCAAAGTTACTTTGTCCAGTCCTCGATTCATGTCTGCATGAGACGCACAAGCCGGCAACCACACAATAACAGTAACGAATAAAAGTGACGTCACACAACCGTAGCCAATTCAAATATGCTCATTCAAAGTAACTTTGTTTAGTCCTCAATTCATGTCTGCACGGGACGAATAAGACGGCAACCACACAATAACAGTAACGAATAAACGAGTCATCACACAACCTGCCCAACCTGTTCTCTCGACGCAGCCATGACACGGCGGAGGTCGTGGCCGTTATCCAGTAGAGTTTGGCCGGTGACCGCGCCAGCAGTGAGCAGCACACTCGTCTGGACATGGGTATTTTGTGAACGAAAATTACCAAATTTCCAATATATAAATGATTATACCTATTATGCGTGATTATTTTTCAATTGTGCGATATAAGTTATATGATGCGCAGTAAAATGAGTGACGCACACCTTAAGTTCTTACATGAAGGGAATCGATTTCTTCCAACGTTACTTCCACACTGAAGAAAAGCAACTACTTCAAAATTTAGTACATTAAACATTCATTATTTTATAAAAAAAATAGAATTTTTAATAATTCCTGAAACATTATCAGATCATTTTACTTATATAAAGGTTATTGATCTACTGAGCAGTACCATTCGTTTTCCAATCAAGTTAACTTTTCCATGCCGCGTAATTCATCGATGTATATAAAAGCATCTGTTATCAGCAAGACTGTTCATGTGACCTGTACTGCACGCGATGAGCGGAAAAACGGGCAATCATTTGAATATTTCATCATGCTTCTAACGCTTGTGCATTTTGTGGATAACTATGACAAAGCTCTCATGTCATTAGCCCTTTTGTACACTATACTTATGTTCTATTGAGTTATACTACACCTAACTCGCCACATCTATATACATGCTCTGATAATTTTAACTTTCAACTTCTTTATTATCAAATCATGCAATATTTGTTTACCGCCAGGAAACAATTAGCAGATGAGCTTCATAGCAACCAGCCATTGAAACCACTCAACGTTTCGTAAATACCTTCAATTTCCATATTGTATTTCAACTACTTTCACCTATATAAGTAGTTCGTGGTGCCGTAGAAATATTCGACAAACTTAACAAAGAGTGCACCATTCTTATAAAGCTTTACGTAGCATTTAGTGTTCACAAGAATTCGTGTACCAGCTAGTCAAAACTTGAAACGAGCATATTCATCAATATAATTTAGCTGTGATTTTTCTCTAATATAAGGAATTTATTTGAAATGCATTACATGTTTAGAAACTGATTTAACAACCTATAACTTGCTTGGACCGGAAATGATTTCTCTTCCAAGCATGAGCAAATTTGCCCGAAGATTATTTGTTGTATGATAACAAGTGATCAGGCTTAGTCAAGTTATCGCCTTTAATATTAATTTTATTATTGAATAAGAATTTTCCAATATTTTTTACCAACTCTATTTTTACAGATTCAGGTGAAAACTCCAAACTATTCAAGTTTTACATACACGAGCACATGGTGACAATCAAATCTCTTTAGAGGTTCTTATTTTTCCCTAACATAATTTCGTTAATTTAAATGTTTAGTAACTGACTCTTCTCACTGAGCTAAACAACAAGAAATATAACCTAGTAAAATTCAGTTAACACCGTTACATTTGACCTCTTATATGCATATTATATTATTTGTAGTAAAAAAAAATACGACAAAATCTCACTAAAATTTTAAAAAGGTGCTTGTGGCCTGAAGTGGCTCACGGCTGACATGCACTCGTCCAGCCATAGGATGCTACGAGGTAAGTAACATGACTTAGAATTTCGGATTAATTATTCCAAGAAAAACCAATCAAATTTATATGATGTGAAACGTTCTTTTGCGTTCATCCTTTATGAGCCATGCAACCACTTGCCGGACTGCAACATGCAGCATCCTCCCTGTCCGTAAAAATGTAACTTGTCACCTTTACAACCTTGGTTCAGTGCAAGCGAATTAATGATGTAAGATAATATTTTTAGAATAGAAGCACTGATGCGTCCGGCAACATTTTATTTTATAATAAATTACAAATCTCCTCGTATATCTTATCGCATCATGTTTAATGTCGTCGAGCAGAAATGTTCATATCCATCGGATCTTGTTTCCGTATCCAATTTTTTTTTATTACGTCCTTGAACAAATTAAATTTAAGTTTCCGTTCAATGTTGCAAACTCGCAACATTTAGTAAGCGTTGGCAATCAACAGTCGCTAACTGTTGAAACTATTGAAGCATCTCTGACCGAACTCCGCACTTGCATGGATGCGTCGCTGAGGTCAGCGCAGAAGGGAGATCAATTCTTTGCCTGATATCGATCACGTTTCTATTCCAGCGACTTGAAACAAGATAGCAAGCTCGGTCCTGCCCCACGTAATATTATTTGTTCTGAGTCAATTTGATTAAAAATTTTCATCGAGCACTTCAGATGCAAAACGTTTCCCTAACTTAGCTCGAATAAAGTTAGAATTATTTTTACTGGTCTTTCAATAAATATCGTTTGCATAAGCAAATTAACCATTTGAAGGCAGCGCGTGTTAATTTGTATAACACTAATTTTTGTTCCAGGAAAAATTAATTTCGACATGCGGATGCATGAAGTTAATGATTGCGTAATCCACTGTGTACCTCTTTTCTACAATTTTACTAGCGCTTTGGTGGTCTTACTTCAGGTCAACAATTTTACTTCATGTCAACACGTGCTATAATCTCTGACATACCGGCGCTGCTGTGGGTATTGTTTTTACGGACGCTGGCGCTGTCAAACCCGTTGTACCGTTGCGGCCTGTGGTACAGGCGCTCCGTTCACACTGAGTGGCATGACGACGTGGCATCACTGAACAGTGCATTTTTATAGCCACATGCCCACCATTCAACCCCTTAACGTTTATTAAACATTATTTCAACGTCAATAATCAATCCAATAACGTTCATTAAACGTTATTTCAACGTCAATTGTCTGGAGGTCAGCCACTATTTTCAATGAAGGGAAAAGGATTTCGAAATGTATCGATTTTTACCATTAACAATGCAATTTTTAGTACCTTTATTTATACCAAACTTTTAGAACTTGAATAGAGCGTTGAAATTGTTTGTGTTTAATACTAGAAACAAACGAGAGACGTTTTAACAGTCGTAGAAAATGCGCAACGTCAAGGTCGATGTCGGAGTTAATTGCTTGACGCTGTTCATCAACTAAAGCATTTCTAAACGTACGATAGGGCTCTGTGAATAGTTCAGGAAATAGTTATCAAGAGATTAATTGTCTCAGAGAGCGCGTTTTATTCTTTCCAGTGCCTCAGGAAGGAAAAAGAAACTAAAAACATTAACTCAATGAATATTCTTCACAGATGTTTATAGTAATGTTATTTGTTTCAGCGATGTGGGCTTTGATGCGTCGAGTGTGGACGAAGCGGATGACGTTGCTGCCCTTCATCTTATTCCTTTATATCTCGATCAGTATCTTGACATCATCAAAGTCACTGAAAGCTCTCTTAGGCAAAAAAAGATTCAAGTATGGAAGCGTCAAAATCACCAGCTACGTCGACTTGTCGCAGGCCGACATTCCCCGCTACGTAATGTCGCCGATGGACTTAACTCTTCCAGGGAATCAAGTTCTCTTCAACCCAATAAAGTCGTCCCAAAAATGTTTTCAGTTTTATGAAGGCACACCTGACGAGTTGGATGACATGATGAAGAATAAATCAAAACCTGCAGAACGGATCAAGTCTGCACTCAAGTCTTTCTACGGGTCAATTGCTTCCGGTGTTGGAAACTCGTTGAGCGTAGGAGGAGAAGAAACAACAAAGGAGATGAGCAAGGAAGAGACGTTGGAACTCTACAGAGACTCGCTCGACTTTGCCAAGGAAAAAATTGAACAAACTGCGATGACTGACCACGTGAATCAGTGCATCTTCCATGGATTCTCTATGAATGTGAGATTAATTTCTAGTAACTTTATTATAATTTAGAACAGAAATGCTGCATGTCGAATACCAATAGATAATAGCGTTATTTCTGTTCATTGAGGCTCGGCAAATTGCATCTAATTAATAATTAATACATAATGTTAGCAAGTGCAAACATTGATTTGTCCAAGTGCTGGTCCTGGTAGTTTCTCGAAAGTCATCAATGGAATATTTGGGAAGTGGGAAATATTTAATATAATCTAATAAAATAATCTTATATTTGGGAAATGGGAAAATGTTCGGATAATGTCCTTCTTTTTAACCTATTCTTCCAACCAAAAAGAGTACCTATTGGTGTGTTACCTCTAAAATTGTACTTACGGGGGAAACCCCATATAATTGAATTCCAGAACTTAACAATTGCATAACATCCCGGTTAGCTGCATGCACAAAATTAATTTCGAATGCTAATGATAATTATATTCCAATATTTCATTTAATCCTTCAAAATCTAATATTACTTCATTACATCCCTGGTAGCTGCATGCACAATATTAATTGCGAATGCTAATGACATTTATATTCCAATATTTCATTGAATTACTCCAAATGTAGTCTTAATTTCACGTAGTCTTAATTTCACGTAATGATATTTATATTCCAATATTTAATTAAATCATTCCAAATCTAGTCTTAATTTCACGTAATGATATTCATATTCCAATATTTAATTGGATCATTCGAAATTTAATCAAAATTTCACGTGGTATTTTGTATAGGAGTCTGAGGCGATGTGGTGGCAGGCAGAGCGGCACGTGAGGGCGCATCAGTCTTGTCGCCGCTACCACACTATACCAGACGTGCGAGACCTGCGTGCATACAACCTCAGGCAGCACCGCGGCTCCGGCGTGCGACTGTGTGCCCCAGCCAAGGTGAGGCCGGCGCCCTTACAACAAATATGGTGGAACTATTGCGACACAATTATCATTTATTTTAATTGCCTTTGGGTGATAAGTTGAGATGCCCAGTTCTTCTCAAGTTATTGATTCTGTGAAGTTGGTTTCATGAAAATTAGCGATCTCCTCTATTTGTTATATGGACCTCAAATAGTAGGTTTGGTACCGGCTTTATCTATTCAGTTAACCACGTATTAGTTGTGTCACTATATATCTGCTACAGAGATGGCAATGTACAGTGAATATTGAGACAGATTTTTTTTAATGTTTCGTTTCTTTTTTTATAATATGTAGTAATTTAAAAAAAAAATACTATAAAATGATAGAATTATTAGAATATTAGGTTGGGATCACTGCTGCGGTGACCCCGACCTAATAACGGAGCATTTAGACCAAGTTAAAATGTATGTGAGGTTAGATAGGAAAGCTAGAGTGCCAAATTATTATCAGAATCACTCTAATGAAATTTTTCTATCATAGTAGTTATTACGCAATCACTAATACCAAGACTATGCTTTCGATTTAACTTTTATAATTTCTTCCCATTACCGAAATCAACAAGTTGTTTTTATGACTATTTACATCTACAACAAGCCTCCAGAATTGGAAGTATATATTATAGTTTATACTCAATAACTAATAATACTCAGTTTATACTCAATAATTATTTATACTCAATAATTATAGTTAGTACTAAATAATGACTTTCTTTTCAGATAGGACCCATAGACTGGCAAGCGCTGGTCCTAGACTCCTCTCAGAGCTCCAAGTCCAAACTGGACGACTTTCACCGAACTCGAAACCGAGGCCCCGGGGACGACGTTGCAAGAGAACTGCAAGAACAAGACGGCTTAACCCCACTTGAAAATGACGTACAAAATGAAAGTCGATGGGAACGTCCTCTGACTATCATAGTGTCTACTCACCCAATCTTGAGGTGAAATTCTAGAGCCAACGAAACGTGCTGAGAATAGTATCGTCTTGAGTGCTGTTTGTGAATTCGAAAACAGCCCTCATTTCGAAACTCCTTATACCCATAGTGATTATCATATGAGGAAGTGCCGTCTTGCTCGAGTGATGTTTGTGAATTAGAAAACAGCTCTCATTTCGAAACCCTTAATACCCATAGGGATTATCATATGGGGAGCAAAAGCTTATACATACCATCGTTGAATTACGATTTTCCTATCCTACACCTGGCCAAATTGCCAAAAATATTATATCTAAGTGATATAAAAAATATCTTTCACTTTTTCAGCACTCTATGGCGAAAACTTTTATCATTATTGAATTCAAAACTTTGTCAGTTTTGAATTAATAAAATCTTTAAATAAATCATTGTATGTTGCATTGTGCAATAAAATCTGCCTTATTAACGAAGCTCTCGAAAATGCATGCATGGCGCCGGTAAGATTGTGAGCTGCATATCACATGCAAGCCATTGACATGAAGTGCCATCCTCGTATTGTGAATAAATTGAATCAATTTCTATAGAATTAATTATTGCAAATTTTTCAGTACAAATTAATATTATTCTGAACAGAAGGCGAAAAATTCAAGGGATTGAAGCGTTTTTAGAATGTAACTGAATTATTCACAAAAATTCGGCGCTCCGTTGTCCTAAAAATGTACGTGTCTATTAATAGCTCCAATTAACTTATTATCAGTTAACTCTACACTGTTAAGCAACCGTTTTCTCTAACAGGCTCGTGATGGCGTATCTATTTGGGATAAAGGCAGGATACCGAAAAGATGACCAAATCAAGTGGATTAAAGAAATCAGGGGTAAGAGCATACAGACGCTGCTCGACGAGATTAAGAGCAGCTTGGCTAAGAAGAACCCTGACGTCGCCAACAGTAAATTACTCACGAAACTTTTCTACGTTGAGCATCTCGATGAATCCACTGACTCTCTGAACACGACGGAGGCAGACGAGCTGAGCTTCAGAGAGTTCGTGTGGGTGGTGATCAGAGACGTGCACAACTGCGTTAACGACTTCCAGTGCCTTACGGAAATAGATGAACTGTGGCGACCGCAGTACGTACAGTGTTCGCCGTGCTCCATTGCGTTCGATGTCCTCAGCGAGGTGAGATGTAGTTCTGAATTACATAGGTTCTCAGCAATAGATGTAGTTCTGAATGTCATAGGTTCTCAGCCCTAGATGTTGTTCTGAATGACATAGGTTCTCAGCCCTAGATGTAGTTCTGAATGACAGGTTCTCAGCCCTAGATGTAGTTCTGAATGACATATCAGAATGAATTTCTTTTAACAAAACCTACGTGTGATTGGAAGATTGACCGGGTGACATCGACCTATTTCTCTCGAGGCACTAAGAGGAAGTAATAGATTGATACTAGACCGGCATTCCAGGACAAGTCAAACCGTGACCAGTAGTAGTCGGTCAACATGCACGCACGTCAACGAGACTATGCGGTCCCCCAGCAACATCTGTAGCAGGGGTTCTAGGCAAATAAACATGCAGAGACAGTGGGCTCCAAAACAATGCACAGTTAGAAAAATCGCCATTAAACAGTATTACCGGCGTTTCTGTAACCGTCAGGCACGTAAAACTTAACACCGTGTTGCCGTTTTTTTAGCGCATTTTCTCATTTATGGAAAAATGCACTATTATGCTCGCCATGTCCATCTGTCTGTCTGTCTGTCTGTCCGTCTGTCCGTCCGCCCCTGACCTCAAGTTTTCGTCGACGAGAAAACGCGCTCTCTGTCACTCACTGCAGTGAGTACTGAGTTATATTTTTTTCCAATTTTACACGGCACCCATGTAACATCTGAAAAAACGGTTAACGGTTTCTTTTCACCGGTCTGCTGGTTTTTAGAACGCCGGTTTTTTCACTGTTTTTTTTTCGAACAGTGTAAAGATATCATCCAATAAGCTCGGACTTGTATCCCAAAAATAGACGTTCCTGATTCTATGTCAATTTTGTCTGCTATATTGCTGAGCCACACAGCTATCCTCTAAGAAGGATGTCGACGCATTGCTCTCGTCAGTTGAGGCGGTACCTGCAATCTGGGATGCCTCTCACCCACAGCACAGTGATGGGACAAACATCAGCATCCACTGGTCTATGATAGCTGATGCACTCAATATTTCAGCTAATAACAGTAATAATACATTCTTTTATTAAACAAAGAGAATAGAAGTGAACGAACTTGGCACTCAAAGCACTAGGATATTCTTATAGTTTATTTAGAGCATATGATACTGCCAAGCAACTTTTCCTGCATCTGATACGAAATAATTTGTGACTTTCCCGAACATCTGTTGCAATTCTACAGCTGTTTCTAAGAACAGGAGCAATTATAGTTTCAGGTTGATCAATCGATGCATTCAATTCCATTGATATGCCGTGTCTTTATCAAATTTTTATCTAACAAGTAACAAGAATCACGTTGCGCAAAACCGTAATTGCTTTAGTTATTTCTGCAGCATTATCCATGCTGGTCTCGATGGATTTCGTTAAAAATCTGAATTTTGAAGTCATAATGCCAAAGGTGCATTCTACACAACGCCGAGCTCTTGATAGTCTGTAGTTATATATTTACTTGCTTTCATCTATGTATTGGCGGGAGCATGGTCTCATTAAGTTAGGAAGCAATGGGTAAGCTGCATCGCCTTGCAACACAAGTGGCGTTTTATCATGACTCATACATAACCTCATGCATCATATAAGGTATGCATCATATATAACCTCATCTGAACGGATTCCGAAGAAAGACAAAATAAAGTATATATGAGATTTTTAAATTTATCTTTTCTTTCCCTATAAAACTTTCATCAAGGAGAACGGCTGTTAGTCTCTCGTAGACACTCATTTCTACACACTGACTCGCAGTAAGCTGCGCGGTTCAGCGTCTAGTTTGGACACCATATGCGCGGCGCGGCGCCGCTCTGCTTGAAGCGTCAGCCAGCGTACGCGTGAACGCTTTTTTAGTCTGGCCGTAGCCTTAGTCGGCTAAGCGCCGGCACAGTATACTCATGCCGGCTAAGTATACTAATGTAACCACTTCAAACTTCAATAATTATTCAACGATATGCATCAACCTCGGCTCTGGTAATTTTTCAAACACTGACAACTGATTGAGACCAATGCTAAACTACTCGGATGAGCGGTTACAGAGTTAAACGATTACAGGGCAAACGCTTTGAAAACCGCTTGATTATTCGCGTAACCTTTCCCAATACCAACAATTTATCAGTCATTTACTCCAAACTTTGCACACATACTCATATTAATTCCGCCAGGTGATTAAGGCTGTCAAGCTTTTCCCAAGATCTATCTCTGTTGTGCACTTCAAGGTTAACTCGCTATCTCATTTTTACTTGTAGACTTTTATCTAAGGACTAAGGAGTTCCCGGATGCCTGAACATTTTGGTATCGTGATGTAAAAATAGAGCATCCAAAGTATAAATGACACCAAGCGTTGTTTTTATAAGTCAATGAACAAACATTCTTCATTTAATTTATGCCGCACTCAGGTCAATCCAAAGCTGTTGTGATAACAGCCGATCTATTGGTTCGGCAACTTTAAAAATTCGTAAGAAACTTGTTTTTAGTTTCCCCTCTTTATGTCCGTTTTCTATAAAACTCTTACAAATTTTGCATGGCTAACTGAAACCCTTTATACTCATGAAAATAGTTACGACCCTGCCTATGCTAAATAAAATAGTTCAGTTTAGCTTTCTCTCTTCTCTAATGTCCATGTTTGGGCAGCCTCTACTTAACTGTAAATGAATTTCAAATCCTTAAGTTATCCTCATGACATTTATTTTTGACTAAATATTTTTGGGCGTATAAAAAATTGCGACTGACTAAAAGCACACGGTATATTTGATATATAACTAACTAAATCCCGGTGTATTATTCTTGCGCACGCTACCATTAATCATTCTATATAACTGCTTCCTGCTCGCAACTTCCACTAAAGATTTAGCATAGGACAGTTCTTTGAATTTACTATTGTGTTGTGGGATCATAACAACCACACTACCTATAAAGGCGTACTAGACTACTAGGAAAATAGAAGATACGTAAATTTCACGAGACCAAAGCAATAGTAAATTCTTTTTTCCGCGATGAAATTTGCCGATTGATGAAGAATGCAAAACTAACTTACGACACTCGCCCTGCTTTTTCCAGATTGACACGCTCTACGGCGACAGTGCCATTCTGTCGAAGCTCATCGGTCAGAACGCAGTCTTCGGCAATATTTTCAAAGAAAACGTTCCAGAAACAGATAGTGATCCCTTCATAACGGTCCCTCCTCTAAAAACTAATTCTACAAATTTGGACGAGACGGATGATGAAAACAAAGAGAACTTTGAATCGGGTTCGAAAGTCTGTGAGAAAATTAAGGATCAGTCACAAGGAACGAAAAACTTTGAAAGAAATTTATCAAAACTTAAATCCGTCGCCATTGATTATATCAACACCATCTCAGCACAGGAGTACAAGATTTTGTATGGTGTGCTGGCATTCGATTTTACTCTATTCGGTTATGCCGGAATGGATCTGTTCAAGAAGTGTTCCACATTTCAGAAGGAAAAAGAATTACTTGATTAACGAACATGAGATGTGCCTTTCTTTTCACCAAGGCTGCGAGTTCACCGGTCCTTGTCGACTACCGAAGAATGGCTATTTTGACTGTATAGATTTTCGTGAGCTCAACTTCATTTTCTTAGGCTTTGATAGCAACGTAGAGGCATTGATCTTGCAAACGCTTCGGCTGGCAAATTATTATTCAACGCTTATCCCAAACTGCTCAAATACGATAAGGGTAAAACACTTTCAATGAACCGGGGTGCGCCGCATTTCCATTACAGCAATAGTCCTGTATTATCCAAACCAATAATGGAATGCAATTAACGCTTCAAACAACCGAGATGTGAACGCTAATCCAAATATTGGCTGCCTATGAGATACATTACGTGGCTAAAAATTACATCAACGGCTTGCTCTTCCTTCCAGTTTCAGTCCTTTTTCAAAATAAATTGACTAGATAAATCACGCGGCGAGTTATCATTTATCGGCCGGTATTCCAGTAACGTCAGCACTAAGCAGTCCGGCAGAATAATAGTCAAGTGTTCAATCTTAGGGAAACTCCTACAGATTTACTAGCATACCTGGCAATAATAGCTTTGAATTATAATTAGTGGATGTGCGAGCTGTACGTTTCAGGAGGTAAAAATATACTTTCTTCTCAGCAAATTTAATTCAAAACAATCACGCACGAGTCACAATCCATATGAAATTGATGAGATAATGGAAGATGAAGCATGATCAAATGCCCTCTAATGCAAAACTATAGAATTATAATTTATTATAACAATAGAAATTTATTATCATTGAAATCAGCATTTTTACAATAATGGTAATAATAATTGAAATCAGATATTCAGTATGAGAGTAATTCAGTGGGTATGGTCTGATATTAGTATGACATTTTATAAAACGATGTTCAATGCATTGTTACGGACTATTTTTTATCCTTGAAAAATTTTTTACAGGAATAGAAGGACATGAAATGAAGAACATTTCTTAACCGTATTTAATAAATTTCTGACATGGAAAATTTCCACATCGAATGGAATACTCCAATGATTACATAGAATCCTGAACGAATCGAATTTAATATGCTATACTCTAGCTAATTTTTAATTCAAAGATGCGCATTAAAATAATTGTTCATGTGGTAGCAAATGGAAACCTTTATACTAAATTGTGATGTTTCTGCATTCATTCTTTTCATATTTAAAAACATAATTATGCTCATAAACGACCATGACGCTCATAGACTAGACTGCGAAGTGGGCTGGGAAAGAAGAGTGCATGGTTACCTTGAAGAGAAGATTTATTGCCTGCGCCTGCAGGAGAGTATAACAACCAAAGGTCTGGTCGTGCTTTAATCTACGGAAGTTTCACCTACCTTTGGGCTTCAAAAGCATACATCTAATACTAGAATAATAATTCAGAAATGTTTGGGGTAGCGATCAATGAGGAATAAATAGTTAAACCGACGTATATCAAGAAAATGCTAGAAAAGTCACACGCTTTACGAACATCGGGGTGCATTATTTTATCCTCCCTGATAACAGTTGAAATAAAAAGTTTACATAATTTATCTTGATGTCTCCGTATTGAAAATAATTAACCAGGACAGCATTCAGAATTTCAGACTTGTATCTTATCTATGAGGGGAGTTATTGTAGTTATAAATATTTAATTAAGAAACTCCATAGCGACTATCGCGGCTGAGCGCGTGCCGAGTCAACGGGACTCTTAAGGACATGAATGTGGCTGATTCATGGTCATTTCTCAAAGACACGGTTATGTCTGCAGTTGATGTATGTGTGATATGTCTGCAGTTGCTGTCTCCAAGCGTGAATTACGCTTGGAGGAGTCAAAAAGTCCCAGTGGATAAACTGTACAGTTAAAGCTCAGCTAGAGATCAAGAGAGAAGCCTACAAGCGTTATTTACGAACTCGCAGCGATCCTTATTATAACCTGTATGCAAGAGCTCGAAATCAAGCTAAAAAAGTCTGTCGCACTGCAGTGAACAACTTCGAACAAAATATTGCTAAAAATGCAAAAAATAATCCGAAAGCCTTCTTCTTGTACGCTAGTTCTGAGTGTAAGTCAAAGGACGGTATATCTGATTTGAAAGTAGACCAACGAAAGATTTCCTCTGATGAGGGCAAGGCTAACGTTCTTAATCAGTTCTTCAGCAGTGTGTTCACGGATGAGGACTTGAGCAGTATTCCAGATATTGAGGAGCGCCCAACCGGCTCGAAGTTAACAGATTTTGAAATACACGAAAAAGAGGTTCTCAAGCGCCAGGAAGCTCTAAACCCCAACAAGTCATGTGGACCAGACGGCTTCCATCCCGGATTGCTCAAAGAATTAGCAACCGTTCTGGCCGGCCCATTGACAGTATTCTTTCAAAAAACCTTGAACGAGAAACTTTGCCGTCCGACTGGAAAGAAGCTCAAGTAACACCATTGTTCAAAAAAGGTGACAAAAGCAACCCTGGCCACTATCGCCCTGTCAGTCTGACAAGTGTTTGTAAGCTAATGGAATCTGTTGTGATGTTGTGATCTGTTGTCCATTAGCGATCACTTGACTGTTCACCATCTCCTATCAGATTGTCAACATGGTTTTATTGCCGGTAGATCCTGAACCACTAACTTATCTTATCTTCTTATAATTATCTACGTTGAACGATTGGACTCGCCTGCTGGACGAAAGGAGCCAGTGGATACATTGTACCTCGATTTTGCCAAGCATTTGACAGTGTTCCACATGAGCGGCTGTTGCGTAAAGTGAAGTCTTTGCGAATTGAGGGGAACGTACTCCAATGGATCAGATTTTCTAGTAGGTAGACGACAACGTGTCAGTATTAACGGAACAGTGTCAGACTGGGCATCAGTGCGCAGTGGCGTGCCACAAGGAAGCGTTCTTGGGCCTATTTTGTTCGTTGCTTTTATAAACGATCTGCAAGAAGCAGTGTCCCGCGCGTGCTCCATGTATGCCGACGACACAAAAGTTCATAATACAGTAAAGGATGCGTCAAATAAAGCGCAATTGCAAGATGATCTTGACAGTTTAGTTAACTGGGGTGATACGTGGCATGCAGCTGCGGTTTAATGCTGACAAGCGTAAAGCACTTCACCTCGGGAAGAACAATGAACAGCAAGATTACAGTATGAGAAGACATGGTTGCAACGACGGAGTAATGATTGACAAGTCTAGGGTGGAAAAAGAACTCTGAGTTTATGTCGACAAGGAGCTGAAATTTTCTAAGCATGTTGAAACGCAAGCTAACACATCCAACAAACTTCTTGGACTAATCAGACGCTCATACGAGTTCCTAGATGCAGAAACGATGNGACTTCCAGTGCCTTGCGCAAATAGACGAACTGTGGCGGCCGCAGTACGTACAGTGCTCGCCGTGCTCCATTGCGTTCGATGTCCTCAGCGAGGTGAGATGTAGTTCTGAATTACATAGGTTCTCAGCAATAGATGTAGTTCTGAATGTCATAGGTTCTCAGCCCTAGATGTTGTTCTGAATGACATAGGTTCTCAGCCCTAGATGTAGTTCTGAATGACAGGTTCTCAGCCCTAGATGTAGTTCTGAATGACCTGGGTTCTCAGCCCTAGATGTAGTTCTGAATGACAGGTTCTCAGCCCTAGATGTAGTTCTGAATGACCTGGGTTCTCAGCCCTAGATGTAGTTCTGAATGACAGGTTCTCAGCCCTAGATGTAGTTCTGAATGACCTAGGTTCTCAGCCCTAGATGTAGTTCTGAATGTCATAGGTTCTCAGCCCTAGATGTAGTTCTGAATGACATAGGTTCTCAGCCCTAGATGTAGTTCTGAATGACATAGGTTCTCAGCAATAGATGTAGTTCTGAATGACATAGGTTCTCAGCCGTAGATGTAGTTCTGAATGACATAGGTTCTCAGCCCTAGATGTTGTTCTGAATTACTTACTATAGGTCCTCAGCCCTAGTCAGAAAGTAACGTAAAAAGCTCCACGTTAAACTTGGTGCTAGATAAGACCTATAGTGGCAACGAAATTTCTGAGGTTTCTGCGTCTAAAATAATCATCTTCTACCTCTTTCTCAAAGTTTGTTTGTTTGCTTGAAGTTTTCATGTTTTGAAACCAGAGTTTATTGGGAGTTTCATGAAAAATGTGTGTTTGAAGGGGCCTTCCACTAATTAGCCGATATATACCGGCCTCATTGCTAGTTACGAGATTCGGTATAACGGGATTCTAAAATTGCAAGGGTTATTGATCCTGGGCAACGCCAGGCTAACCTGATAATAATGCATTAAATCATTAAATCACACTTGCAAAATAATTCATATCAATAAATATCATAATTTGCAAGTTTCTTTTCATATTTAAAATGCACAAGTTTTTCTGGTGGATTGATGAAATTTTTCTTCAGAATCGCATGAGATATCACCTACAGTTTTTATATTGCTCTTATTTACTTCATTTTCTGTCCTCATCCAATCACTGGATGAAACTTATACCAATGTTCATTTATATTTTTAAACATGTTAAATTTAAAATATCCCACATTCATCTTTATTTCTTTCATGTTTCCTTCAAAAACATTGTTTATTAAGCAGTAATGCTTTTAAATTGTATCAGAATGAATTTCTTTTAACAAAACCTACGTGTGATTGGAAGATTGACCGGGTGACATCGACCTATTTCTCTCGAGGCACTAAGAGGAAGTAAGTCGAGTCGGTTTACACACAGGATAAAATCTGCGATTTAAACTCAATGGGGGCTTTAATGTTGACCAAATTATTTATTTATGATCAGAGCAAACTTATACGGTGAATTAACCGAAAATTGTGTGACAGCTGCCATTGCATATTTAATAAGCATTAGCGTTAGTGATACTCATGGTTGAACTATATAAGGTTGACCCATGGTTGAACTATATAAGGTTGACCCACGAGAAGTTCCGTCTTTCAGTTCAGCTTTCTTGTTACGTCACGTAGATCGAGAAACGCAAACAATCCCGTCATTCCAATGACGGATTGGTTGACGGGTTTGATAGCTTTTCGGTGATTGGTTAATGCCCGTGACAGCACTGAGATCAGTGACGTCACAGGCGAACAACAAACTACGTCCGCAAAAATGAGCTTATCGTGGGTCAACCTTTATATTAGTTCAACCATGAGTGATACTCGAGTTGCCACGGCGCTAGCGGCTCAGCTGATGCACCATCATTCAATTGAAACAATGTTGAGCTATACCAAATGTATTTTTAAAACGTTTTTAACACGTTTTTCTTAGCTTAGCTTCGCGTTTGTTTGTTTGTTTGTTTGTTTATTTGTTTGTTTGTTTGTTTNGAATTTTGGCATGTATCGCCATATAATTCACGAATTAAGGTGAAATTCTAAAAATTTTCACGAGCTCAACATCACCGTTAGGTCATAATGAATACGTGTACCAAGTTTCATCGAGCTACGTTCTTTACTTTGGTAGATATTCGTTGTTCACTGAATTTAGAGATTTGCCGCGAGACCGACCGCAAGTCCGGCCGTAAATGTGTCCGAAACGTAACTAAAAAGCGGCTATGATCTGGCTTATAAATTGCATCCGCCAATCCTAACCTTACATTAATCATTTCACGTTCCTTCACTATTACTTTCTATTAATTATAAACGGTTCCGGTATTGATGGTTAATGAACGTCCGTTACCATTCCACCGAATCGACATCTCTACGAACTCGCCTGCGCACTCGAACGCAAAACCTAACTTAACGCTCAGCTCTCCCAGTCATAACTCCTTCAATACTGAACGGATTTCATTCTGATTTAAAACATAAGTAGGTATTACCAATGCGCTGCGATAGAAATTATTATAGATTTTTTACATTAATTCGTTTTTTTATTAATACGGAAAAACGCTTTGTTCAAGTAACTCGCCCAGTCATAATTTTTTTAATACTGAACGAATTTGCTTTAAATTTGGAATACGAGTAGGTATTACTATTGCGCTGCGATAGGAATTATTACAGATTCTTTCATAAATTAGCTTTTGATTAATACGGAAAAACGCAAGGTCTATAACGTACCCAATGTACCAACACCATGCATGCGTTTCTTCGAAATTATTTCGTCCCTGTTAAGGTTTTCACAACTTCATTGGATATATTGGAAATTCATCCAATTTTGACCATTCCTCAATTAGCGTATTTACAGCAAGTACCTAAATTCCAGCATTCAAAGCGATCCGTTCAGTATTTAAAAAATTATGACTGGGCGATTTGCTCCAACACTGCGTTTTTCCGTATTATTAAAAAAACGAATTAATTTTAAAAATCTGTAATAATTTTTATCGCAGCGCATTGGTAATATCTACTTATGTTCCAAATTTGAATGAAATCTGTTCAGTATTGAAAGAGTTATGACTGAAAGAGTTGAGCGTTAAGTTAGGTTAAGGTTTTTCGTGCGAGTGCGCAGGCGAGTGTTCCTAGAAGTGTCGAGTCGAGGGGCGAGCCATAATTTATTTTCTACTTTTTAGTCCACAAGAAAAACGTGTTTTTTTAAAAAGTTTTTTTTTTAAGTATTTTATTTTCTACTTTTTAGTCCACAAGAAAAACGTGTTTTTTAAAAAGTATTTTTAAGTATTTTATTTTTAGTTTGAGCCACAGGAGAGCTAGTTTCGAAGCATTAATATCTAAATGGGAAAATTCTACCATTTTGGAAAATACTATTAGTTATTATCAAACGGCAGTGGTTGTTATTATTATCAAAATATTTGTGGTTGTCTTTCAGCGATATAAGAACGTTTAAATCGGTTTCAACGTTTCTAAGAAATCCTCCATCAGTTTTATTTATAAGATGTATCGTATTTATCAGAAGGTTTCAACTAATTGTAATCATCAGTAGTAGTGAGTGTTCATAAATGAACAACCAAGTTGGTATAATTGACGAATGACGAACAATCCATATTGAACAACACAAATATATATATATATTTTTGCAATATGTGATTTTTAAAATCACCGACTGACTAAAGTTCACGGTATATTTGATAGATATAACTAACTAAGTCCCGGTATACTATTCTTGTGCACGCTACCATTAATCATTCTATATAACTGCTTCCTTCTCGCAACGTACACTGCCGTTTTGGCATAGGACGGTACATTGAACTAACTATTGTGTTGTACGATCATCAACAACCACACTACCTATAAAGGCATCAACAAAGCGTACTAGGAAATAGAAGATACGTAAATTTCATGATTCCACAACAATAGTAAATTCTTTGAGATGAAAGTTGCGGAATGATGAAGAATGCAAAAGTAGCTTACGTTAAGCCTAGCTTTTTCCAGATTGACACGCTCTGCATCTGTGGGGACAATGCCATTCTCTCGAAGCTCGTCGATTAGAACGCAGTTTCCGGCAATATTTTCAAAGAAAACGTTCCAGAAACAGAAAGTGATTTCTTCATAACGGTCCCTCCTCTAAATAGTAATTCGACAAAATGACGAGACGGATGATGAAAAAAATAAAATTGAATCGGGTTCGGAAGCCTGTGCGAAGATTAAGGATCAGCTTCAAGGAACGAAAAACTTTTAACGGAATTTATCACAACTTAAATTCTACGCCATTGATTATATCAATAACCATCTCACCACAGGAGTACAAGATTTTGTATGGCGTGCTGGCATTCGATTTTACTCTATTCGGTTAGGCCGGAATGGATCTTTTCAAGAAGTGTTCCATGTTTGACTAGTATGAAAAAGAATTATTTGATCAACGAACACGATATGTGCCTTTCTTTACACCGTGGCTACGAGTTCATCGGTCCTTAAATATTGTTCGGAATGTATAGATCTTCACAAGTTCAACTTCATCTTATTAGGCATCGATAGACGATAGCAACGTAGACACTGATCTTTCAAACGCTGCGGCTGACAAATTATCAAATACAACGCTAGACCCGAACTGCTCAAATACAAGGTCAAAAAAGGGCTAGTTGCCTTCACCGGCCCGAGGTGGCGCTGTATTTCCGTTCTATCAATAGTCTTCTTATCTAAACCAATAGTCGGATGCAATTAACGCTTGTCAGCCGAGATGTGAACGCTTATTTAAAGATTCGCAGCACGTGAGATACATTTCGTGGTTAAAAATTACATCAACGGCTTCCTCTTTCTTCCAGTTTCAGTCCTCATTCAAAATAGGAAGACTAGATCAATTATACGAGTCATCATTTATCGGCCGCTTTCTAATAAAGTCAGCACTATGCAGTCCGGGAAAATAGTAGTAAGTGTTCAATCTTAGGGAAAACTTCTACAAATTTACTCGCATACATAGCAATAATAGCTATGAATTACAATGCTTAGAGGATGTGCGAGCTGCACGTTTCAGGAGGTAAAATAAGATACTTTCTTCTCAGCAAATTTAATACAAAACATTCACGCACGAGTCACAATCCATATGAAGTTGATGAGATAATGGAAGATGAAGCATGATGAAATGCCCTCTAACACAAAACTTGCGATCCTCNGACGACAGCGTGCGTCACTTCCTTGCCCAAGTAGGCCTCTGCAACTTCCTTCATCTTGCCCAGAACCATGGCACTGATTTCTTCTGCAGCAAACACTCTGTCGCCTTGAGAAGTGGCCACCTTGATGTGAGGTTTGTTGCTCTTCTCAATAACCTTGAATGGGAAGAGCTTGATGTCGCTTTGCACCGTTTTGTCGTTCCATTCTCTGCCAATAAGTCTCTTGGCATCAAATACTGTGTTTTCAGGGTTGGTCGTCAGCTGATTCTTGGCAGCATCTCCGATCAGACGCTCACCGTCTTGCGTGAAGGCTACATATGAAGGAGTGATGCGATTACCCTGGTCATTCGCGATGATCTCGACACGCCCATTCTTGAAGACACCAACACTGTAAAATAAAACTGGATTAATAACTCAAAATTTCAAATCGAGAAGTAAAGAGCAAGTTAGGTGCTAGAATACTATCTATAGGTCAGGAACCAACACGGGCTATTTCAGCAACGGGCTATTTCAGCAGAGGTTCTCACAATTCCTTTTACAACTCAATTGCGCAGTCAAATGACAGCAATGAGTTTTTTTTTCCTAGCGTCAATTTCACCCGAGTACCAGCCGACTTTGCAGTTTGTCCAATAACCTTGCATGCCACAATATTTTTTTAGTTTCAAGACGCGTTTTTACCCACTTATTCCTGTTACCCGAGCCAGCATAAATAGCATTTAGAAATAACAAATATTCTTCCTACCGGCCATCAGAAACATATTTGTGTAAATTTATATCAACAATTTCATATATGTTTCTACCTAGACGTAATGGATGGCAAATTTTGAGCCTTTCCCAAAATTAAAAATGCATTCCATTATTGAAAAATTACACAAGTATTGTATCTTTAGTCCATACGATAATTAAACAGGCAAAGTTTAATGCCAACATTTAAAAACAAGTGCACAAATACAGCCATCTCATATGTTAAAGAAAAATTATCTATTCTCATTTGCAACCCAGTTGCAAATTAAATATATTACATCTCAGAAAAAGAGCTAGTAACAGCCGCTTGAAAAATAGGAGTAGGTAACATTCCCCATGAGATGAAGGCCTTTCAGTCTTCTGGTCACTCGAGGCAATATCAAAAATCTATTTTACTATCACATGTGTCAACTCGTGAATGCACAAATAAATTAGCAGCAGTTGTCTGCATTTTAATTATTGAACGTCTGCATCAATCAGCCACAATTTACTCTAGTTTTAGGAACCTACAACAATGATCCATAATTATAAGATAAAAACAAACGATTTGATAATGCTGACACCAGATATAGTTCATTTTTCATTTCATATAAAAAATTTGTTTTGGTAATCTGTCTTATCGGATCAAATTGCCACAGCATCACTAATGGACATCAAATGGAGACAAGTATTCAATCATGTCCATAAAATATGAAGTTCTCACCATGAATATGTGGTTCCCAAGTCGATTCCAATCACTGTGCCAACGTCTTCCTTCTTGTCTTTGGCTTCAATGCTGCTGAACACAACAGCAGCAATGCACAGCAACCTCAGCGTTCTATGCAGCATCTTGTTTGTCTTCAAATATACCCTGCAAAAAAAATTGTCATTAATCTCTTGAAGATACAGATACAAAAGCTGCACTGACTATATCTACCTGCACTGAGGAAGTTGCTGGTTGATGGGTTAATCTCTACTCCAACTTTTGTAGCCTAGCCAAGTGATTAGAAATAATGGGGATTATAAGGATGATACAAGAGGCACTACATCAATTGTCTTCCAGTACCCAATTGAACTGATACTTTATTGAAATTTTACAAATTTCTGAGAACAATGTACCGCTCAGAAATACTATGGTAAAAAATCAAGCAAATAAATTCATGATCAGCAAGTCATTTTAATTCAGAGTAGATGGCTTGACAATCATTGACACTGGTTGCATCATCAACATTGCCCTAAAAACCTCAAATCAGAAACTATGAATAAATAAAACAAATTCATAACTTTTTGTAAACAAAACTGGAGAGTGGGCATGGAAATTGGAATTAACTGTATTGGCTATTTCAAGGACAATGTGCCATGTGATAAAATCAAAGACCTTAGGTACAACACAAAATCAAAATGCTACAGCAATAAGACATGAATGCAGATTTTCAATCTTCATGCATGTGGTAGCCTACACTGGCAACTCAGGTGGGAGGGAGAACTTAATATCCTAACTAGTAACTAGGCTGGCCTGATATGATATGTCTACTGCACTAGCCAAGCTCTGAGCCTCTGACTAAAGCATTCCAGCCATTTTAAGAGCCACAAGTGAAAAGATGAACCATCTCCAGTCTACTCTCAACGTCTTGTTAACAAAAGTGCAAAATAAATCTACGCGATTACAAAGGTATGATATTGCTGCAAGATTCCCATAACAAAATTTAGCACTCAAGCCACAAGACTCAGCATCGCACAAGTACTAATCTTATGCCTGAGCAGCCTGACTAAGAGTGAATTCATAGTGGCAACTTGTCACAAGCCAGAAATTTTTTAGAATCAGTCATTTTACTTTTCACAATTACTTGAAATTTAAACCAATATCTTATGTAGGTATGATAATGTTTGTATCCATGATACTTTATCTACTTATGTTATAGGTAGGACCCTAAATGGAATTTGAGGAGTCTAAAAAACTCTGCTGCTTTGCCACTATCACTATTGGGGGTGAATAAATTCATATGGTAAAGTTAATTCATGAATAAGATTTTCTGGTATTCATCAGATAAAAACATAGCTAAATCAATCTTTTCTTATTGACACACAAGACAAGGACATTTCAATCTTAATATGGCAGGCATTTGCAGTAAAATAAGGTAATAAATAGATTACAGGCTACAGGGTGGAACTAATTCTGACTTATGAAGTTAGGAGTAACAGTCACAGGTGGCCTAATATAGGTGCCTACCAACTTATTGATGTTTAGGCCTATCAAATTTGAGTGAGAGGAGATAACAAATTAGGATTAAAGATGGAGCAGAACAGCTTTGGGAAGGCAACTTAAGCTACCTATGCTAATAGAATAGTAGGCCAACATTCAAGCATTAGGCTATAATCATTTAGGCTTTTAGGTAATCAAGATTCCACAGAAGTTGACAGAACAGCCAATGTTTGAACTCCAATTATACCAGTTATAGGTGATATAAGTAAATGATCCAAGCCATAACATTAAATAATTCATTGCAATGATTGCATTATAGTCAGCGCAGCACTATGTAACTATAACTATTGAATTTTAGTTTTAGGTACCTAACGACTAAGGATTCAATCTAGGTCAACCATTGAATCAGCGTCACCGTCAATGATTGAATGATTTAAATAAACCTCAATTAAAAAGGGTATAATGAATAATAGTGCATGTTACGATCTTTAAACTAAACATTATGTAAAATCTCACCTCTTCTATTGATGAAACAGGCACAATTGCCAACGACGACGACTGAACGAAACTTGTACACTTGCTCACAAGCGTTTTCACTTCAGCACTCAAATGTTAGATCTGACGTGTGGAGCCTGGTTACCGTTATAAGTACAGACTGAAGCCAAGTCGTGTGTCGCTCTCATTGGTTAAGTGTAGGACACGTGGTACAATGCGGAGAGCATTCATTGGTTGACGTCTAGGGTTGCAGATTGTTACACGTCGCAATGCCGGCGACTTGTAAGTCTAGCAATCAGTATATGAACATCCTAGGATTTTCTAGAATTTTTACTGAAAATAGTTCATATTCAAGCAATACAAATTTATTTCTTTCAAAAGACGAATTTTAATATTATTTGATTAAATTTTACGATAATTTAAAGCTAAATATTTTATTATAAATAAACAGCTGTGCATATTATTGTGACAAATTTTTTTCAAACAAATATTAGTCATTTATAGCAGATTAACATTTTTGTCGTGTATCATTGATAAGTATCAAGAGACGCTATAAACTTATGAACTTTAATGAGTCCTCGTTTTTCCTTAAAATGATTCTAATTTCCACCGAAGCAGCCAATATAATTAATCCAGAACGGAATAAGCATTTCATGTTACCGAAATGCTATAATACTACAATACAGCCAATTATGGCTGATTACTTTCACTCTCGGTCACTGTCGCTATGATGAAAATAGACAAATTTGAATAAAGAAATAAAGCAAACGTCCAATTGCAGCGAACAGGCTCGCACAATACAACCTTCCTTGGATTGAACAGTTTAGCAGAGAAAATAATCAAAATAATACTGCAAAGACAATTCTTCAAAATCAAAATACTTATGATGATATCTACAAATCATACTCTTCTGAAATATCATTGGCTGGGAGAGTAATGCAGTCGTACGTGATAGACCATTGATCGACTCTCACATCCTGATGAGTAAACGTCAGAAAAAACGTATCATCGAGGAAACTTTCTAGATACATTTATTTATAAACCTATTCCAATAACAGCCAAGTTTCTTTGCTTATTAGTTTCACCATTAAAAGTTGGAAATTTAGCTTTGGAGAGAATTGAACTTTTAGTTCCGCAACGAGAGGTGTGGGAGCAATAGTCGCTTACATGGCGATGTGTGGAAGTGAAAGCAAGTTGATGAGGTCTCACGTAATGGTGAAACTTTTGTGAAAAATAAAATTGAGCCACTACTGCTCATAAAAAGATTTACATAAGAAAACAAAAGCAATGGTTGAACCAAAAAATAAAATAGAACCACTACTGCTCCTAAAAAGACTTACATAAGAAAACAAAAGCAATGGTTGAACCAAAAAATAAAATAGAACCACTACTGCTCCTAAAAAGACATAAGAAAACAAAAGCAATGATTGAACCAAGTAAGAAAACTGCTACGTAGGAGTAGGTATATTCACAAAATGTATTGAAATAATTACATAAAAGATTCGTATTATATATGAACGGGTTGAAATGATTCATTTTTCCCTATACTGAACATTAATATGCATGTGAATGCACGACGCTTGATATAATTGAAATTTTTTAATTTGTCCTGCCCGTCGAAATACAACAAAATCATTCTGATTTTTTACACAAACGTAGAAACTTGAAGAAAGAAAAACTCTTTAATTTGCTAGTAGGCATGCATGCCTTCAAAATATTCGTGGTAAGATATTGTGGCTCGCTACTTCCAATCGCGCTACGCATGCAAGATAACTTCATAGAAACGACCGCGTACAATTCTGAAAACTCGTTCGCAATAAGTATTCACTCTCAGCCATCAGAATACTCAGAAGTTTGAATATTCCTCGATTCTATTGTAAATTGTAACGACTTGAAAAAGCTCAGCTCGAAAGAGAATAATTCAAAAGTATCATCTGAAGAACGCCCGTAACAGATATAATTGAGCTAAACAGCGTTAGTTTAGTCTAACAGGATTTCTGTATGCAGATGCTCGAAGCGATTCATGACTACCTCAATTCATGAAAGTAATATATTTTAGAAAAAAATATGATTCCCCACCAACAGCTTCTCAATGAAAGGTTTTCGCCTACGATTATTTATAATGCAGCAAAATATAGTTACTTGATATACTGGGTTAGTGGACGCAGTGATATGTGAACGCCCGATCACTGCAGCACACGAGAAGTGGCGGTGGTTTACATGGTAAAAAGATTGCTATAAAAACATTAATTATAAAAGTATAAACATTGGGGGCAAGGGACGTTGCACCATTGATGTTTCCTTGGCAGTCTCATTGCCCGCAGAGGTAATTATTAATTATATTATTATATATTATGTTATTGTTATTGAATTATTATAATATAATTATTTATTAACAAGTAAACAAAAAGTGCTTGACAGGAATTGTATTTAACACAATATATACAATATATTTATTGTCGACCTATAGAAACGTTTTTCTTTCGTTGAAAAATACGAATAATTTTTGCCGCAGCGTCCAACGGCAAGGAATATCAGCCGACACTCTAGCGCCGAGTACAGCAGCAGTACAGTCACTACAGTCACTACAGTGTACAGCAGCTGTGTACACGTACCGAGCTGTTAATCGCTCATGCCAGGTGCAGGTGTTGCTAGACCAATGCAGATCAATATACCTACGTAGCTCTACAGAATTTCTCATGAATGGATGTTAAACGTTGCGTCAGCCATTTCAATGTAGGGATAAAAGTTATTTCAGCCATTTCAATATGACGATAAACGTTGCGTCAGCCATTCCAATGTAAGGATAAACGTTAAGTCAGCCATTTTAATGTAATGGTAAACGTTGCGTCAGCCATTTAAATGTGACGATAAACGTTTCGTCATCCATTTTAATATGACGACAAATGTTGCGTCAGCTTTTCAATGTGACAATAAACGCTGCGTCAGCCATATTCAATGTAATGATAAACGTTGCCAGACATTTCGATGCTTCTCAAGAACATTCCAATCGTTTAATCCTGTAGGAGGAACTTTTTAATTGAATTCTGTTTTTCAAAATCATGATCCCTTATTTCTATAAGTAAGCTAATGCGCATTTTATCAATTGTAAAATCTATCATCTGTAAATAGGGTTATTTTATTATCAAACATTTATTGTGGAAAGTGTTAGTATGGAATATAATGTTTTGGAAAAAAGGGTTTATTAAATAGTATTCCATTATGAGAAAAATTCAGCCGTTGCTTTAGGCAATTCGAGTGTATCCTCAACTCTATAAGCTGCATACATGGTTGAATTTATGAATTATAAATGAATTATTAGTTCACGTATTATTATTGAATTGGTTCAGCATGTTGAATTAGTAGTTCAACCCTGAGCTGCATAGTTCCCAGGCGGTCTAACACTTCACCGCATGCAGTCTACTCTAGTCCACGTCACATAGTGTAGGCCTAACGCCTACACCGAGTGTCGTCACCGCGGCGCCTCTATATCTCCGATATGACAATATTTTTTGTCTAATATATGTGATAATGGGAAGTGCAGCTTTGACTTACCTGTTTGATCGTGCGTATTGTTGATAGATATGAGAATGTGTGGATAGTTTTGGCTTCGTGATTTTCGTGAAGAAACTCGAGCCACTATTCTCCCTTATACGTTCCTGCCTGGTAAAGATATACATATAACTGTCCCTAACTAGCTCAGCCGATATGAAATATCTATTCGCTATTAAGTATAATAGTATTGAAATCAACTTGATTGTTATCAAATCCATCCCTTCTTTAACTACCTCAGCGCGGCGGGAAATATCTATTCGCTATTAAGCATAATTTTATTGAAGCCAATCATTGTATTAGGTTCGAGAAATGTAAATTATTCCAACCTCATTACAGTTGTATGATGTGTAAACCATTGTATTAGTCCTGCTCATAGTAACCACGATTACGTCATTCTCATGACATTACATGTAATAGAAACATAAGCTGTTTTCGCAACAAGTTAAACGAATTCATACGTTAACCACACCGACAAATGTTATTATCCGATGCTTCATGAATCTGATTTCACGCATAATAACAAACTTTGGCTTCAAAATTCGGTAACTTAGCAAAATATTCGCCATCATATTCGGCCATCACGTGGCAACGATATTTAGTGAAGAGTTTACATATCAAATGTTTAAAATCAATACCAACAGTTGCTAAGTGAGGAAATAGGACATTCCATTTGATTACGGTGCAATATTCCCTACAATACTCCTCTTATAGTGTGGGAGTAACCCACAGTTATTATGATATGGAATTATTAAGGTAATATAATTATTTGTTAGCTGTGCAATTATTGTTAATAATTATTGTTAGCTGTTTTCCTTAGGTGCCAGCAGCACACTGTTCTCCAGTAACTGTTCTACGCGTTGCCGCATCGCGAGTGAAAGCGAGTGACGCTTACGTTTTTTTGCTGGCGTCAGATCCGACGTTGCATTTTTGCAGCTTGACGTGCGAGAAGACGTGGAGACAAGTGCACGGTTGTACTAGCATGAACGTTCGAACTCTTTAGGAGTTTAGGCTATCGTTGTCAGGTAAAATATACACAATGAAAACTCGTTAAAAAAACTCCGTGATACAAAATCAAAATTTATTACGAGTTTAACAGCTTTTTCTCAAATAAGAAATCAATTTCAACGTGGACAGCTCTACACTAAATAAGACAGCGTTTAACAATGAACGTCAAAGTGAATCGGGATTTTCTATGATAAAACGAGAATAAAACAGCCATTTCAAATTTATCATCTAACAAACTTAATCGAAATCATTTTCAAATGAAAAATTCGTTTTCACTTAGTAAAATTTCTTTCACAACTGTTGTTGAAAAGTAGAAATGTTTGATTTTGGGAACAATGCAGTCTTGCCGTTTGAACGCAAAATAATGACATTTCTATGCATAAATCAGTGCTCTCTCAAACACATGATTCGCTTGTAAGCGAATCTTGTTCATCTTACATCTCTATGTTTTTTGTACACTAACAAAACAATAATAGTTAGGATAGCTTCATCCCATAGAAGTTCAAGCGCATCCATGTGTTAAATAAATGAATTAAACCTACTCACGGTCACTGATGATGAGTCAACGACTCTCACCTGACTGATCAAGAACGGAAATGACGGCTCATTAATTCAAGCGTTAGCATTGCTCTATTAAACGCACGCCTGTCTGATTCTACCAGAACTTTGTTCTCAGAACTTTTGCTCGCGTTGGTCCCTCCTGAGGAAACAATACGAAGGTTTGGAGGCCGGCGCCCCACATTCCATAGCCGAGCCACAGCCACCGGAGACCGAACCAAGCCTTGGGTGATGGCTTTGTGTTTGCTTCGCTTGGATTTGCTGGCTTTGTGTTTTTTGTGTTAGATTCGCTTGGATTTGCAAACAATACGAAGGTTTGGAGGCCGGCGCCCCACATTCCATAGCCGAGCCACAGCCACCGGAGACCGAACCAAGCCTAGGATGATGGCTTTGTGTTTGCTTCGCTTGGATTTGCTGGCTTTGTGTTTTTTGTGTTAGATTCACTTGGATTTGCCCTCCTTTTAATGCTGGCATATAAGGTTTCTGCTGCGTTTTTTGCACGGTGACATTACCATATCCTCGCCTGACGGGAGCAACACCAGCCGACAGACGAACGTCTCGTGCAGTGCAGTGATCGTCTGCTGGCATTCCCAGCACAGGCGGCAGGCGGGTCTTCACCATCGCCTGCGACGGATGAGTAAACGAGCGGGCGCTGTTGCCGGGCCGACATATTTTGGCGGCGGCCGTCGGGGCGTCGGAGGTCGGGCGCTGCTGCTGCGGCGAGACCTTCACGCACGCTCTGCTGGCATCGCTGCTGCTGTTGCTGCGCCTGTTGCCCGTACACTGAGATCAGTGAGATGGGAATTAGAAATAGAATAGGAAATAGAAATATAATTAGAATAGAATCGAATAGAATAGATTAAAATATAAAATAATATAATATAATATAACAGATTAGAATAGAATAGAATAAGAAATATAAAAAAATAGAATACAATAGAATAGAATAGAAGTGTAGGCGCTGAAGAAATAGGCCCATGGCCTGTTGCCTATTCTTGAACTTTTCGTGACTTGATTCACAAGGGATCCGGCCTTTGGAACCCGATCTTTCCATAACTGACGATTGATTGAGATAGCTGCTGGACTTATTCTTAAACTAGTCAATGAATTCATATATCATTTTATATGCTTATCAGTAAATACGGTAAATTGAACGCTGTTTAGTAGAGTTTACAGAATTATTTTCAGTGTAATCTGTCATAAGCATTACCTTGCCATGAATACGAGAACCTGTACCTATATTCATTTTCAGACCTATTCAATATACATGAAATTTGTATCAGTAAGACCTGCAATACCTGCAGACGCAGCGTCCCTGTAAGACCTGCAATACCTGCAGACGCAGCGCCTCTGTAAGACCTGTAGAGAAGACTTGCAGGTCACCAACGGGCGGGAGAGCGTCGAGTGCATTCGTCATCACAGCGGCGACCTGTAGTGGACCAGCAACCTGTTATCTTGATAACAACCTGTTATCTTGACAACAACCTGTTATCTTGACAACAAACTGTTATCTTAACAACACCCTGTTATCTTGACACCCAGTTATCTTGACACCTGTTATCTTGACACCCAGTTATCTTGACAACAACTTGTTATCTTGACAACAACCTGTTATCTTTACAACAGCCTGTTGTCTTGACAACAACCTGTTGTCTTGATAACAACCTGTTATCTTGACACCCTGTTATCTTGACAACAACTTGTTATCTTGACAACAACCTGTTATCTTGACAACAACCTGTTATCTTGACAACACCCTGTTATCTTGACAACAACCTGTTATCTTGACAACACCCTGTTATCTTGACACCCTCCGTTGAACAAATACTTCCACCTCGGTTTTCAAAATATCTAGTTTATTACTGAAGCCTATTCGGAAATCAAAAATATCATTCCTCATTCAAAACCCTTCATCAATACAACTGTGTTTAAATCACTTTAACGTCTTAACCTCAGTCGTTCATATGCAACTTCACAAAATATTTCGGCTAACATTTAGCATACTGCAATCATGCAACAATTTCGGGCATTCCACTACATTACCTGAGTCAATACATTATAAGAGCATTGATGACTTCTCATTAACAATTTTCATGTTATTGTGATGATGATTTTGCCAGTATTTTAGTCTGGATAATAAGTCTGGATAATATAATAAGTATTTTAATCTGTATAATTCCAAATGCAACAGTATGGTTATAACAGACCACACCTGGGGATCGGGGTTGTCTCCGGGCGGGGGAAGAACCTGGGGCAGCCAGAGCTCCCTGGGCACCAGACAGCTCATCGCTAACACCCCTGCCCGGTGATGAATTATCTGGTATAACTTCAACCACCATCAAACTTGAGCTACAACGCACAAACATACTTATTTATTGAGTAATAAACCAAAAATATTAGACCTTTTTCATTGAGCCATAAAGCAAAAATATTAGACCCTTTTGGAACTCAGCAAAAAAATCTTCTTTCAGCTCATGTTTCTAATATAGCCACTTAGATTTTAATGGCATTTCAATAGCCTAATACGGCAAGAGGCCAATATTTCAAAATATAAACCTTATAGCAATCTAACCATTGGAACTTTCGCAGGATTTTCTACCCAGAAAATTCTACATCGACCCACCAAACTCAACCGTAAGCTAAGCTTAAGAACTTGTTTTCAACAATGAAAAAAGACGGGAAAATATGTGATATTTTGGGGCCGTATGAAGATTCAGACAAACGCGACCTCGCAGATATGACCTGTTATCTTGACACCCTGTTATCTTGACAACACCCTGTTATCTTGACAACACCCTGTTATCTTGACAACAACCTGTTATCTTGACAACAACTTGTTATCTTGACAACAATCTGTTATCTTGACAACAACCTGTTATCTTAACAACACCCTGTTATCTTGACATCACCCTGTTATCTTGACACCCTGTTATCTTGACATCACTCTGTTATCTTGACAACAACCTGTTATCTTGACAACAACCTGTTATCTTGACAGCAACCTGTTATCTTAACAACACTCTGTTATCTTGACAACACCCTGTTATCTTGACACCCTGTTATCTTGACAACACTCTGTTATCTTGACAACAACCTGTTATCTTGACAACAGCCTGTTATCTTGACATTAAACTGTTGTCTTGACAACAGCCTGTTATCTTGACAACACCAAGTTATCTTGACAACAGCCTGTTATCTTGACAACACCAAGTTATCTTGACAACAGGCTGTTATCTTGAAAACAACCTGTTAATTTGACAACACCCTGTTATCTTAACAGCAGCCTGTTATCTTGACAACAACCCGTTATCTTGACACCCTGTTATCATGAAAACAAACAACCTGTTATCTTGACAACAGCCTGTTATCTTGACAACACCCTGTTATCTTGACAACAACCTGTTATCTTGACAACACCCTGTTATCTTGACAACAACCAGTTATCTTGACAACCTGTTATCTTGACAACAACCAGTTATCTTGACAACCTGTTATCTTGACAACAACCAGTTATCTTGACAACCTGTTATCTTGACAACAACCTGTTATCTTGACAACCTGTTATCTTGACAACCTGTTATCTTGACAACAACCTCTTATCTAGACGTCACCAGTTAAATAAACCTATCCACATCCGCTTTCAAAACATTTCGTTATTAACGAAGTTTATTCGGAAATCAAAAATATCATTCTCATTCGAAACTATTCATTAACACAATTGTGTTTAGATCTCGTTAACGTCTTGACCTCAGTCCTTCATAACCAACTTCACAATATTCCGACTAACATTTCACTTACTGCAATCATGGAATCAATTTCGTGCATTCCACTGTATCACCTGAATCTATATACGTATATGTAACAGCATTGATGACTTCTCATTAACAATTTTCATGTTATTGTGATGATGATTTTACCAGTATTTTAGTCTGGATAATATAATAAGTATTTTATTCTGGATAAGTTAGTCTGGATGCAATAGTATGGGTACAACAGGGCACGACACCTGGGGATCGGGGTTGTCTCCGGGCGGGGGAAGAACCTGGGGCAGCCAGAGCTCCCTGGGCACCAGACAGCTCATCGCTAACACCCCTGCCCGGTAATGAATTGTTTGGTATAACTTCAACGGCCAACGAACTTGAGCTACAACACATAAACATACTTACTTATTGAGCCATAAACCAAAAATATTAGCCTTTTGATTGAGCCGTAAACCATAAATATTAGACCCTTTTGGAATTCCGTAAAAAAAACTTCATTCGGCTCATGTTTCTAATATCGATACTTAAATTCTAATGGCATTTCAATAGCCTAATACGGCAACAGGCCAATATTTCAAAATATAAACATTAGAGTGACGTAACCATTGGAACTTCCGCAGGATTTTCTACCCAGAAAATCGCGGAACCAAGGGCACCTGCCTCTACATCGACCCACCAAACTGAGCCGTAAGTTAAGAACTTGTTTTCAACAATGAAATGGACGGGAAAATTTGTGATATTTTGGGGGCCGTATGAGGGTTCAAACATACGCAACCTCGCAGCGATGTCATCCTGCATGTAGCCGTCTTATCAAAACTAAACATAGCGTCCGATATTTCGTAAACATTTCGTTTCGAGGTAAACATAGCGTCTGATATTTCGTCTGTGATTGATGGGTTTAGCTTGAAATGCAATCAGTGATTGGCTAAAAGAGTTACAAACTCGAAAATATTTTTTTATGGTACCTCCCCTATAGACACCAAGGAAGTCGGAAGTCTAGAATTAGAGAGTTCCTCGAAACATAGAACAGTACAAACATGTGAAGTGCACCACGCACCATGCAGGGCACCACACATCATACAGGGCTCACCACACAAACTAACACCCTGACGTATACATGACACACCATGAGGGGCGGGGTATAGCACCACCCGAGGGGTGATGGACACCCCGGTGTGTGGTGTGTGGTGCAGCGTACACACCAGCGCCTCGTCTCTCTCCTGCAGGCTGTGGTGCAGCGCCCGCACCATCTGCACGCACCATCACGTACCTCATCACTCAGCTAGACGTTGTCAGCTCATGCAGTAAATAAAGCGAGTATATAATATGTAATAATATATTATTACCTTGGATAATAAAAGATTATTTATACTAAAAACGCAGCAAAGTCAGAATTATTTAATGTTAATTTAAGGCTTTTAAGCATCACTCGATCAGTAAGAAGCAGTCAGCTCAGGCAGTGAACAAAGCGAGTAATATATTATATATATATAATAATATATTATATATGTAATATATTATTAAATAAATAATATATTATTACCTCTAATAATAAAATATAATTTACACTAATAACGCAGCAAAGTCAGAATCTGGGAAATCCCACACCGAGCACCACAGCACCGTAGTGTCCGTGTTGAAGATAATGGCTGATTCCTGCAATACTCGTGTGTTCAACGTCTAAAAGAAGCATATCTATGACCATCTAGTCTTATATTGAGCTATTATTATCTCTTTTATATTTGAAGCATACAACGACCTCAGCCGCAACACGGAACTGAGGTTCTCCAAAATTTCTGCATCAAATTTTCTATTATTTCCATGGATAATTTTTAGTTCTTGAACCAATACCAGGTGAATGTTGGCTAGCGTACAACAGGGACTAACTACCCTAATTCCAGCTACCAAGCCTTAACCTGCTTCTGATAAACAAAACGGCAAAGTAGTAATAAAAGTCTAATATTTATCAAGCATTAAACTAAACCTTAATTACAAGGCCGCTAACTTGCGAAGCTTATTCAGGCGCTGCCAACGCTTCCGATGCTAACCTAAAATGGAACTTCATTGTCACAGGAAACGAGGAAATTTTTATAATACTTTAATAGACAAGTGTAGTGACCAAAATTTTATGCCCACCTGACGCAACAGAATTATGTAACATCTGCCAATAAGCGTGCGGAACGCGTTGAAAGCAAGTGAAGCACAAACGGAACACAACCATATAGCAGCCACGAAATTTAATCAATTTGACCACAAACTCTTCTCCAGGTAGGCCAAAAATGCATCATCATAAGAGGATGCTATATTCAATTATAATAAATTCAGACCAGTTCTTACGATGCTTTTGTAACATAATTCATTTGCTGATTTTAATAATGGGAGAAACTAAATAATACGAGCTACAGCAAAGATTAAGAAATCATATATAGTTCATCTAATACAGAATTGCACTATCGTTCTTACACTCAAGTACTCGAAGAGAACATTCGAGATCAAGGTGGCCGTCGTGTACCTTCACGTAGACTAACTATCATTAATTACTCCATACATTGGAGAATATAAAACAAATATTGAAGAGAACCACTACAAGGACATCGCTAAGCTAATTGACCAACGTGCGACAGAGATAGAGGCGGTTACTAAGCAGAGTGTCCTTAGCATGCGTCGAGAAAAGTCGCAAATGCGCCGTGCGCACTCGCAGTGACACGTATACATTACACGTCATGCTTATCAGGAGATACTGTCACGAACAGCTGATAATGCACCCGATCAGGCTGGACCAATCAGAGGCCTTGTAAGCAATCTATGATCAGCTGTTACGGCAATATACAATACACTATATATTATAGTCGTTGTCGCGAGGTTGTCGGGGTGACAGGATGTTACTGAATTTTCTCAATTAGAAAGCACGACATGGAAACGCTCATTTGATGACAGCTAACTTCTTTTCGGTTTTTGAATTTATTTCATCATGAGATTTCGAGGAATCGCCCGTTTTATGTGATAATTAATACTTGAATCAGATCAGAATCGTCACAAAAATTTCGAAGTCGTACAAGATACGTGAATTATTGCGCAAATTTTTAGCTGATTTATAACATTAGTAATAGAAACTAATGAAGATAAAGAAAGCATCAAACAAAGATTGCAAATGAAGTGGTTTTAGATATGACGCCAAATTTTGAAAATTGAAGTTGGAAACATCACCATAAATGTTGCCTAAACTATTTATAAATACGATGTATTTAAATGCTGCAAACATGGTCGGTAAATGCTGCAAGTTATACCTGTTCGTTGTGCTCGTGCTGCTCGTACGTGAGGCATGCAGCAGCAGTGGGCAGCACGTGCAGCAAGGGACCGCAGCACCACGCAGGACTCATGCTGCTCAGCGGCACTCGTGCAGCAGCTGTAGCTCTGCAGCACTGCACGCTGCCTCCTGCAGCATAGAGCCTGGCTGTCTCAACGCAGTAATTGCGATGTAACCATATAACTTTATAAATATCTTTACACCTGCAGAATATTTAAAATATAAGCCTTTTAGATGTAAATATAAATAAATATAAAGACTGTTAATGATATGACAGTTAATGACATTACAGTTAACACTGTTACATTACATACAATACATGTAACTGTAATGTATGACAGTTAATGCCATGACAGCTAATAACACGACAGCTAATAACTGTCGTGTCACAATAAGATCACTAGTGCAGCCGACGTTACCGCCAGCACTGGTAAGCGTCGTGCGTGTGGAGCAGACGAAGAAGCTGAAGCGCGCGTGAAGCTTGGCAGGCAGCAGCGCCGTGTTGATGCTCGTCTCTAGCACGTCCAGCAGAACTGCTCGCACCAGACAAGTACTCCAGTCACTTGTCTCATCGCTTATTTCTGATGACTTGGTCAAGTTTTATGTCTACAGCCTCTAACAGCTTATAAACTATTATTAATAAAATACTTAAAAAAAAACTTTTTAAAAAACCACGTTTTTCTTGTGGACTAAAAAGTAGAAAATAAATTATGGCTCGCCCCAAAAAACGTGTGTCGGGCAGATTTATTTATTTTCTACTTTTTAGTCCACAAGAAAAACGATTAAGACTTGATTAAGTATGACTTGACGTACGTATCGATGATACGCAGCGTTAGCGCCAGCTCGTCTATAACGTGAGCGCCCGCACGTCATACTATATATATACTTTACTCACTTAAAATAATTTAGGTCTCTAATTTCAGATCTCTAGAACAATCAGAAGTGGGCTAATTTTCGATGTCAATGTTAACAACAAACAAACAAACACGAAGCTAAGCTAAGAAAAACGTGTTAAAAACAATCAAACAATTGGCCATCAACAATGAAATAAATCATTCACACATTTATACTATTTACTACTGTTATAACTTATAAGTTATAAATAATGAAGTTATAATAATAAATAATAAAGTACGTAGTTAACGGAAATTATTGTATTCACTATTTAATAATGATATTTTTGCGAGAAATAGTCTTGCAATTTAACGCAATAATAAACTTTAATTTGCTTCGATTTATGTTGAAATTGACCATATATAGGGAAGCAGCCCGATAAACAAAGAAACAAGTTTTCAGAATACCCCTGAACGAATCAGGTCGGGGTGAAACAGAGTCACATCGGTGAGACATCGGTGAAACATCGGTGACATATGTCCCCTTATTTCGTATTTGATAAACTAGCTGGCTTACGCTGAGGCTGGTCGTGCAGTTGGTTCTGGTCGTGCAGCCGGTGCTGGTCGTGCAGCTGGTGCTGGTCGTGCAGCTGGTTCTGTTCGTGCAGCTGGTGCTGATCGTGCAGCTGATGCTGATCGTGCAGCTGGTGCTGATCGTGCAGCTGATGCTGATCGTGCAGCTGGAGCGTAAGGTGAGGCTCGGCTCCTGCAGCCTCCGCGAGCCACGCCTGCGCGACGCAGTAAAGCAACACGTCATTCTATCACATCACACTATTGAACACAAATTTCTGCGATACAATAATTATGTACGAAGGGGCTTTCTAAAAATAACATTTAGAACGGCTTACAAATCTGTCCTTTTATGTATCGGTTCTTTGATGGATCCAAGTATGATTTCGTTCGATTTACTGGGTTAAGGGATCTCGTAATAGGAATTTAAATACAACCAAAGTATGGCAGAATAACGCATTAAATAATAACATTAAAGAACGATCAATACAGTCATAGCAACATGGAATTACTGCTCTTGTAGCAGGATACAAAAACGTCAAAACGGCCACGACTACTTCGAGGTATCGATACGGTACCTTGGAAGAAAGCGTATCATAGTGATATCGGCGCGGAAGAATAATCCTGATGTGGCCTGTCGCCGATCCTTGTACTTTTCGTGACTTGTTCACAGGAGATCTAAAATCAGGTCCTTCGACCAAATCTTTTCCAAGCTGACGATAGTTTGATATAATTACTAGACTTCCACTGGGTTCGACATTGTGCTAGGCATTTCAAGTCTGAACATACATATATACATATCTCCATAGCTTCGTCTAGTCTGTTCGTGAACGCGTTTGTACTCGGAGCGTCAACGATGTAATCGGGGAGGCTGTGCCACATGCCGGTGATTCGAAGCGAGAAGAAATGTTGTCGCGTCGAGGAGTTGAAACGCGATTTTTTAGTTTATAGCCGTGGCCCCTGGTGTTGGTTCTTGTTTCAACAGGAAAGCAGAATATTGTTCGTGTTATTGAATTGATGCTCGAGTTGAAGTGTCTTAGTTACCATTAGGTTTTCAATTCACAGACGACATATAATACTCGTGCCTGTCTTTAAAACAATCTTCCTAATGCTGCTTACGGATGAAATTGAATTGGTGCACTTTGACTAACACATTTGTGCCTCGTGACAAGTAATTTAGGACACGTGACAAGTAATTAGCAGCGCTCCAAGTGTATTGCTTGTAGATTCATCATTTGATTAGCAATAAAAGAAAGACAACAAAAGAGAGATATTGAAACTTTATGAAGTGGACTGGAAACCGCCAGTCCACGAGTGCTCTGTTACACTAAATGTAAAAGAGGATTAATCCACATGAGAGCTCATGGCTTCTAGCGCCTCAACATTTCTCGTGGTTCTCATTGAATGAAGTCTTTCTCTACCGCCACACCTCAAATGCTCCAACACCTCCTTTCATCCAGAAGCGTCTAATCGTTTTTACTCTGCCGAATTAGTGAATGCGAAGTTAAAATTGCTAAATTTTCTCCAAACATTTTCACTTTGAGTTATCCTTATCTATTTAATTCAATATCTACACTTAATTTTCATTATATTTTCTCAGATGCATGATGGTATCAACAGCTGGAAAAATTTATGGGGACCAATAGCGACCAATTACAGGCAAGCAATCCGAAGTCATGATGACTTCCTAACTTATAAAAAAATCATTAGTGTGATCGACGGCACCTACAAATAAAAATAGTCAGTACAATTTTTCAAGTGCTATCAGTTTTCATCTCAAATGGGTATCTTATCAGCGGCATTGAATTTGCAAGCATTTCTAATATGTCCATGAGAGCATCAAAAATATTTTACTACTCCGCTCTACTTATTTTCAGCCACAGTTGGCCAGCTTCTCTGTTTTCATGTTAAATCAGAAACAACGGCAACTTAAATCTTGCCATAAACAACAGGCAATTTCAAACTTGAATACTTCATGTCAACTCAAGTTTATACGAAGTTTCGCCATTCACATCGCAGATCAAATTTAACAAATTGATCCACGAAATAAAGTTATTATGATTACGTACACTCACTATACTAAATGGGTCTAGCTGTTCAAATAATGACAAAATGACACATTAAAATGACCCATTAACACATTGACTCTGATTCCTTTATCTTGTAGTATTATTTCATTTTTTGCACTACATGTTATGAAACAGGTTTGCCAGACGGTATTTTTTTCGCGGACATATTTCGCGATTTAGTTTTTTCAAATGCGCTGGACGGCTAAAATTAATGATAGGGGTACTTTCCAATGAAATTCGATAAGCTGCAAAAAAATGGCATTTTTACACCGGAACCTACATATACAGTATACTAGTACATATTGAATTATAGGCCTTTTTTTGCTTTTTTTCGTTCGCTGAATTGCCAGTTTTTTAGGCCATATGGCAATCCTGAATTATGCACCCCTACATCCTTGAGAAATGCACTTCGTGGTACGCATATGTGCCACTTTGGAGTCAACGTGTTAAATGCGCAATAAGTGCACTGCTAATCGGACAAAGAGCCACTATTTTCTTTGAGTGTGCAGACACATTAGTGAAACATCGGTGACACATCGGTGACACATCGGTGAAACATCGGTGAAACATCGGTGAAACATCGATAACACATCGATGACACATCGGTGACACATCGGTGCCACATCGGTGAAACATCGGTGACACATCGGTGAAACATCGGTGGAACATCGGTGATACATCGATGACACATCGGTGAAACATCGGTGACACATCGGTGAAACATCGGTGGAACATCGGTGATACATCGATGACCCACCTTGAAGAGCAGCGTGAGGCGCTGCGAGTCCCCCGCGACCACGACGCACGTGACCAGCGACCCCGCGGGACCTTCCACAGGGTCCACGGGGGCGGCGGCGCCCCCTCCCCCACCGCGGGGCACGATCTGCACCACCTGTGATGGGGGCTTACTGCACCACCTGTGATGGGGGGTTACTGCATCACCTGTGTTGGGGGGGTTACTGCATCACCTGTGGGGTTACTTCATCACCTGCAGTAACCCCACAGGGGTTACTGCATCACCAGTGGGGTTACTGCATCACCTGTGATGGGAGGTTACTGCACCACCTGTGATGGGGGTTACTGCACCACCTGTGATGGGGGGTTACTGCACCACCTGTGATGGGGGTTACTGCACCACCTGTGTTGGGGAGTTACTGCACCACCTGTGATGGGGGGTTACTGCACCACCTGTGATGGGAGGTTACTGCACCGCTGGTCTTATGAACAAAACACATATATCTTTCTGTAAAATTCTGGGCGACTGAATTCTCGGCCACGCTGATGCACCGCCTTCGTCGTCCACTATCACTCCAGCGGGTTCCAGCTTACTTCTTGCTCATGGTAGTAAAATAGAGGCAGGTGATCTGGATTTGCGGCGCTCAAGAATGTCTCCAGTTGGTCGGAGACAAAACTTTTTCGGAAATTTATTGTCAGAAAATTATTTTTTATATTTCACAACTGGCACAAAACTCCTTTTCAAATAATTTTTCCTTTCAACCATTTGAAGAGTGTAAGCAAAGACATAGAAAATACAATAAATATGTGAATTTCCTCCCAATTTTTATTTAAGTGTTCAATTTTCGAAAATTAACCTGAATTATTGAGGTGTTCTTGTATCATCGCGTGAATTCGTCAGTCGGTTGAAATACTACAACCTTCAGGGTGCAAACTAACGTATGACATCTACAGACATGCCATAGTTGCTTGCGCAATTTAGTGTATATTGCATCAATGTTCCTCTAATGAAACTCGGATCTCAACCTAATTTCAGCTATTTCATCCCTATTGCCTCCATGTCTGTTGTTTGATATTGGAGAATTAACCCTACCAGTCGTCCAGATCCAGCCCATGGCTAATTCTCCATCGTAATTGTCGCCTTTACACCACCAAAACGATGGTCTGGCAATGAAGTTTCCTCAATTTGAATTAAAAAAAATCATATATGGATTTCAAGGAAATAACAGTTTGAAGATGAAGTGTTCAATAGTCGGCTCTGCATTTGTGGACCCAGCAAATGTTCTTAGCAATTAATCTTCCAGTCTTGTCTGTAGGCCTAACCCTCCGAAATATCAGGCCCAAAACCTCCCTAAACCTCCTCATGCACCATCAACTAAATACAAACTACATGGACATTTCGTCTCTATTACATGCTGGGAACCAGAACCATTAGGTTTTGGTGACGTAGCTGATCGGTATCACCTCTACCTGAAATAAGATATTTATTAATAGACTCTAACTAAAATGCGGATGCATTAATAGCGTTGAATAATATTGCAAGGTGATTACAGAGCTTATATGAAAAAATTAGTCACTCTAAAGCAATCATACACTCACAGCTTATCTGACGGTTACTTTGAGTCTACTGGGATTTTGTGATGTGCCTGGCGCTACGATATGCTGGTGCGGTCACCTCAATAATAATAATAATGCTGGTGCGATCACCTCCATAATAATAATAATGCTGGTGCGGTCACCTCCATAATAATAATAATGCTGGTGCGATCACCTCAATAATAATAATTCTACTTAGTTTCTGTTAAGTTGAACACAAATGTATAAATTGCATTACGCCACGAAATAAAGAGTTTTCGGGAAGTGCATCGAAGGGGAGTATATCAATATATTCCTTTTCGGGAACATATTGATCATCAATAGGGAAGTGAACAAAATCACCTAAATTAGATACCAAGACATTAATAAATAAGAAAAAAATACGATGATGATGAGCAGAGACAGACCTGAGCGGAGGCGACGTGCAGAGCGCGACCGGAGTGCAGAGAAGCTGCCAGGCGCTGCACGATGGTGCTGCCGTCCTCCCATGTCACCACCACCAGCTGTAGGGGCGGGGTGTGGCTGTGGTTTGCTTGGGGCACTGCTGTATCGTTTGTGCTAAACTTCGAAATGGCATACGAATAAAAGGCTATCGGGTACTTTATGCGCTTTGGCATTACTTATTTCAATATTCATCAGGGTAGAGCGATAGATACTCTTTCCTATCTTGATTTCATTCTTTTGAGTATATGACAAGACTTATTATTACTTGTCGGTCTTTTAGCTTAGCTAGAATTGCCCTGTTCACCAACTCCGTCTCTATGATTAATATTCGGTATTTAATAATTATGTCAAGCTGTGACAAAGCCATACCCGCAATACCAGCAAAATATTACGGTGAAATTTATTTAATTGTAGAATTTACCAGAATACGCGACTTCAGCACAGCAATGCCTTATTAAAAACTTCAAGGTTGACACATATCACTTTTTTTTAATTTAAAGTCTATAAAGAGTTAATTCATATACCGTAAATTGTTTCAATCATCATACACCTTAGATATATTTATCAAAATTAAAATTGCGCACTATCAATGGTTGCAGCTTTTGTCGTTCCCTCCAGCCACCATCTGTCAATTTTGGGGAAATTGGTATTGGTAAATACTGTAATCAGTCTCTCGACTCTCGCTGACTAGAGAGGACTGTATAAGTGGTGTTGTCTGCGGATCAAACTTCAGCATGTTTGTATCATGCCCCGGCAATACCAATCTCTTGACACATGGCGCATGCTGTTGGATGTGTCACTATTGCAGTGCTGCAACAGTGGTCATGAAGAATCAAAAAATGTTACTAAATGCAATTAATGTCTTCATTTGTTATAGACCAATTATTTCTGTTAAATCAAGTAGTATCGGAAGTATGACGACAGTTTGATTGTTTCAATTAGCCAAGAACTTTAAAATGAAGAAAATGGCACGAAATGCCACACATTTTCCATTGAAGACATTTTTGAAACTTGCTTCATCATCACTTTAAAAATTTAATAATATAGATATCAAATGTATGACTAAATTTACGCACTCAAGATATAAACTTTGTCCATAAATGGCATATTCAGGTAAAACTTATCTGTTAACAATTTAAATCTGTATTAGTATCACGTAAAATTATCCTCGCATGTGGGTGATAGGAACTGTTTAACTATTATTCACAGTTCGAAGAATCAAATGTCCGCCACGTGAGCTAGTGGCGCTGCTGACATGAAGGTGATTAGGTTTACTGTTAAAACAACTCCACTCACACGTCCAAAGGCTCGGTGTCGGGGAGGAGGCTGAGCTTCATGAGGTGTTGGGCGAGACAAAGCTTGGGGGAAGAGAGAGGAATAAGCTGCTCAAATGGGGTCCTCAGCAGCCCCAACCCGAACCCGGGGATGCGTTCACACCCAGCGACGCCAGCAGCAATCGTCAGCACTTCCTCCAGAGACTGGAGGATTGTGGTATCTTCAGGATACAATTTAGGGTATCATCTCTCAATCAATATAATTACAACTACTGTCAATGCCACTAGTCGCCACTTGGCAGATAGGTAGGTACTGGCACTTATCTCACCGCTCGTCACTGAATTCTGGTCAGAAACTACGATTTGCAGGGTTCGGTAATCACATGACGAGTACGAATCTGTTTTGATTGATTGATGCACTAGAAATTTGTGGTTTACTTTTGTTTATAAAATATATAGTTTCTATTAAAGGCTGGCGACTTGAGTGCTGTGGCGACTCTACCGGCATTGACGGTAATTATGAATATAATAGCGAATACAGACTGAGATCTAGACTTGTAGCTGTAACGACTAACTAGGTAAGGTGAAATTCCGCCGCCCGCGAGTAGTGATCTCTTCGGAATCTTCACGACGGGCAGCGCCAGCAAGTTTAAGTGACTAAACCAAACTAAGGAGTAATTTGCGCTCAAGTTTTTCTATCAACATTGAATTTGCAAAAAGTGAGTTCATTGGTAGTGACTTACATTATGAGTGAATAATGAGTGATTTCAAACCTGATTTGACGAACTTATATTTTAGCTTAGCCTACCTGCAAGTCTTGGGAAGACAATAATACAACAAAATTATATCTACTTCAATTGATCTCAAAACTTTAAACCTTATTAAATTACCAAAACAACTTAGATGTAATTTATAAAAAGATATACAAGCATTTCCTGATCGTCTTTGAGAATAAAATACTTAATATTGTAAATATTCCAGTTGTGTGCAAGTTCCGCAGAAAGCTAAATGAAAATGGCTAAATTGTTATCATTTAGCCATTTTATGATCAATGATTACAGATCATTGGTCATAAACAGTATTCATTGATAAGAACTGTTGCTAATAACTAAATAGGAGATGAATTTTCTGATTTGGGTAATGGCTGCTAACTCTCTTCTAACCAAATTCTAAAGCAATCGAATGATATACTCTTTTCGTGCACCCAAATTAACTTGCTGAAAAAATTGTACGAACAAATTTTATGATATATTAATTATTTACTGTTAGAACTACGGAAAATAAAAATTATAACGGTGATTTAATTTGAAAGTTCTGGTAAATTGTTAAGCCTTTAATGCTTCGGCCAACATTTGCTCTTACCTGTTGCAGAGCGGAGAGAGATTCTGGATCATCACGCGTGTAAAGAACCAACATATAAACAAAAGTTTGCTGTTGAAAGGGAATTCTTGATTGTTGAGTCATTTTATTTTGTTACGCTTCAATTTCCAAGAGTTTTGTGTAAGTAAATTTTACACAGCAAAACTATAGGCTGCACTCCAATGCTCTCACAGGATGTTACTACTTACTCCTTCAAACGTTGTAATTGCGAAGGCAAACATTTTTGCGCAATTTTTGTGTATATGTTTCAATTTCATACCGGTGACAGAAGCTGTTATTTCATCCATCAAAAAATAATAAATTATTTTTAGATGAATTGCTCACACTATTAAACTTTGAAACAGATTCACTCATTCAATTTTCATGTTATGCATCGCCCTTACCTAGCAACGGACCCTGGTTTATTTGCTAATATGACGTCGCAGTCCGTTGGACGCTGGTTGTAGTTCGAGCTATAGTCAGAGCATGAGATGATGTTTCGATGAGCCGTTCAGTGGCAGACGAGCGTTCCACTCTAAGCTATTCGCTCCCGTGCAAGGTAGTGTTAGGCCCATAACAATCAAAACAAGAATATGTCATGGGCTGGTTAATGACGGCAGGCTTAGTCCGCGGCCGATTGGTGGTAGTACGGCAACATGCTGGTCGTTCCATTTTGGAGCTGATTGGTGCACAAAATTGGTGGTGCATGGCTGCGCGCCCGATGACGTTAGTGGGTCAAATACTGTTTAAAACGTACTCAGGCCGAACAAGGTGAACTCACCAAATTATAATACTTGTCTGTCAATGCCTAATTTGTCTGTTTTAGAGAACAGTTTCTAACGCCGCGTCATGGACTAGCGAATTTAAGATAATCTCACCAAGCGTCGATCGCACTACATACTAAAAAATTCTCTTGAAAGATATTGTCATTTAAGTAAAACAAACGATGAAAAGCCACCTCAGTACTCGCCTCCGAGGCCATAAAAACTAAAATCTAGGAATTTCTCAAACCACAACAGAGACACGAACTTTATTAAACAGAATAAAGTTATGCACAACTACTTAGATTATATATTATGTGCTACCAATTTAATATCTGAATGGAACGTAAGCATACCCAATACTTCGACCTTACAAGAAACATGGTCATCACCATCATGGGATGAGGTCTAACAGACGCTGTATCAAATCCAAAAATGGTTACTGTGAAAGATTCAGGGCTATTATTTCTTTAAACTAATCGCAGAGAAAAATCGTCAAAATGCCCTGAAAAATTAAGTCACAACAATAAAATTCGTATGAATGATTACATTTCAGAATTGCACTGCAAAATGATTCCTGCGAAAGAAACTTCAACTGACGCTGGCGACTCAACTGTGTTGGGAGAACTGCAACGAGTACGATTTGGTAAGATCAGGTAACCCCTACAACTTTACACACTTGCAATAAATAAACTAAATTGTAAACAAAGTAAATTTCATCCATGTTTACAGCCACAGTGGCTGATTAATGGCGAAGAATTAAATAATGTGACGCATTACCGTCGTAAGCAACTACGATGCAGCGCGATGCATGGGGAATAACCATCACTAATTACTAAATGGGAAGAAGCACTGCTAAACTATGGCGAATGAGAAATAGAACTATTACACACTATCTTACAGCCAGAAGTTTCCCTACAGTTACGGTTATATAAATATCCAAGTAAAAATTCATACAACGCAGTCACTTAAATACGACTGGAAGGCCAGTATCAATACAACCTTCGAAACTGAGAGAAAAAATTTTTAATGGAGCAGAGCAACCCACTGATCAATATTAGAACACAGCTCAACAGATCTATCAACAGAAAAAATCTCTTAAGCCAATGAAATTCATAAACGGAGTGCCGGGGCAGCATCCTAGATCACCAACACTGAGAAAAAATTTATCAGCCGAACATCCAGAGGCATTGCAAAAACTTATGAATTGCGTGGAATATAGGAGAGCAGTTGAGGAGCGATGCGTAATACTTTTAAATTGAGCAGCGTTATCATAACACAACCAAGACGCAATAGTAGAGTCTAAGCGGCGTGTCCATTCATTTTGTAGTGCAAACACAAACAATTGCCAAGATATTCACGAAAGGTATACTGGCATCAGTTTTACAAGACGGCTAGATAGATCGACAGCGTGTGTGAATTAGAGAATAAATCGGCACACGAAGCCGCGGTTCGGCTCGAAACATTTTTCGAAACTGAACTCCAGACGTGAATTTATTTACCAAGGTTTGCTTGTACTCAAACCATTTGCCATGATGACATCAGGAGACACGATTCATCTCTAGAACTCTCAAAAATTGTTCCCAACAGGACAACCAGCGTGGATTTTTGTGCATCGAATAACACAGCAGAAAAGAGGTCAGTTACATTAGAAAAACTGCAAAATTCAAAGCAACCATGAAATTAGTAGAGCATTCAACTCTACTACTCTTGAAAAAATGACGCAGAAATTTACACTAATTTTCAATTATACTATTGGACAATATAAAGGAATTTAAGTAAGCGCCATGAAAAAGGAAATTGTAGACCAGAGAATAAATACCTCATGAGAGCACGACTCATAACTCAAACAGCAACAACAAATATACAAAAGTACCTAATCACATAAGTGACACCTAATAAAAAAAAACAAAAATCCACACAAAAAAACGTGCTTTCCTACGAGGATAAATTAATTACTGTAACCATAAAATCAGATAATTACGGATAACTTCAATGGATAATTGAAACATCTCGGTCAATAGCACATAAATACAAATATTTATTTTTAACCTAAAATCAAGCATTTCATAACAATTTTTGACGCAGTCGTAGAAAGTATCCACGAGCTACTGTTGGTGAACCAGTCACTAATGACAAGTTGCGAAATATTCGCTGCTGTTACAGAAACATTGTCCTCATATCAAACCCGTGCTCTATGACATATAATTTAGTAAGGAAACGACGTCAGTTATGTTCGTTAGACGTAATTTAGGACCTTGAGAACAAAGGATACTGCTTATTTGACCTTAAAACGTTGTTCTTGCTAAATACAAATTGCAACTTATAAACACACAATCCTTAAGAATCGTCTTCATCCTGGTCATACTCTTCCTCTTCGTCATCATCGTTATTGGTGTTGTTCATGCTGGGCGTGGAGGTGGGAGGCTCCATGAAATCATAGTCCTCCGTGGCCATCTCAATGGCCCACTGGAACTTCATGCGCTGAGTTTTGTTGTAGACTTTCTCGATAGGCACATCATGTTTTTTGCACCAAGCCACAGAGATCCTAGGATCCAGATAATTCAGCTTGGAAGTGCCTAAAGCAATCTGCTTATTCTCTTCCTTATCAGTTGCCTGGATCTCGAGTTTACGCAGCTGCTCTTGCAAGCGTTCAACTTGTTTCTTCTTCTTGTCATACATCGACTTCTCTGCAACTGATCCTTTAGCCTGCCGCTTCAGAGTTTTCAGATCTTTCTCAGCCTCTTCGATGGCATCCTTCTTTTCGTCGATTTTCTTCTGCAAGTTTGCCATAGACTGATCAAAAGTTTTGGGAACAGAGCGCTGATGGTTACAGAGAATAGCAACCTCACGATTGGCGCGGTTGTAGCTGAGCACCTTGACAGCCACATCGCTGTCAGCGTCCGTCATCTTGTTGAGCTGCTCCTGAAGCGTCCGTGATGCGTTGTATGTACGGAACACTTTGGCAGTCAGACCCTCCATCAGTTCGTTCAGATGCTTGTTCATGATTTGCGTCTGCAATGAGATATTCATTTCAGAATTTGTCAACACAATTCATTGAAAAGATGAACAGCGTAGAGTTCTGTTAGTGGACAAAAGCACATTCGATGAGTAACAGGAAATGACCACTTGATGATTAAATTTTTATCAAATGGACAAAGCGATAAATAGAAGATTCAAATCCTAACCTCGTCAACTTTCTGCAGCATAAAACCGAGATGAGTATTATGGACTTATTAAACAAAATTAGGAAAATATTATCAAGACAAGTCTGCTGATATGACAAATTTTATATAGCCCTAAAGAACATGGGACGTGAGAAAATTAAATCATTTTCCAAGCAGCCTTGTCGAGAGTTCCACTAATAGTAGTAAAAGTGTTCGACGTCATTTCAGGTAACTTACATTGAGCCTATCAAAGAGGTCATCACCAGGAGCTTTATTCTCCATGAAGAGCTTCACATTCTTGTAGACGCGCTTTTCAACGGGCACTTCATTGTAGTACCTGATGGAATCTTTACCGAGGAAATCAAAGGCTACGACACATTCCTTGCCGTTCCTCTCGTCGTGCAGCGTTATGTGCTCAACACGCAGAGAGCAACAGCCCACCGTGTCAGCCTGATCTTCATCCTTCTCGTTACCCGCCCTCAGCGCCAACTGCACACACCAGCCAATAACCAATGTATTTGATGTTACTGACAAACTGATATGTCAGCATAAAAACCGCTAAGGATTATCACAAATTGATTCCCTTCCCAACGTCCTAGAACATAACGTAAAATATAAAAAAAACTAACTTTTCTGCACACAATTTATAAATAGCATTAGTATCAGTATCGGATGCAGGCATGGTCGGAAGGCGTACTGTAATATGGCCATTAATAATTAGAAGAAACATTTTCAAAGCAGTAGAATTAGAGAGCCGAATCAATTCTAGAACGTAACGGAGAGCAATTAAACAAAATTCACTTTAAAAATCTACAAACTAAATTCTAATTAATTTTAACATAATGTTTTAGAAAATTTTAACGCGACAAGCCAATAACCACAAGTGGAATTGGTTTGTTTAGTAAAGACATTTAGAAGAGAGGAGAAGGGGGAATAAATGCAGTAAGAACCTTGTCAATGAAGTAGAGAGCAACAGAACGTTGCCTGATACGCATCTCCTTGCTCTTCCAGTCCAGCCTGTACTGGTCCCTGATCTTGTCCACCACCTGGTGGAGGCGGCGAGCTGTCTCATATTTCTGCCAATCTTTCTCGCCCTGCAAACAAAGATTTATTAATGAGAAACCATTCTCTAGCTCGTATTGTTTAGTGTTTGTAGTCATGTTCTTGTGGACCATCTATGTAGACATTCAAAGCATGGTTTCTAACGCGCAAATTTGATTTAAATGCTATTAAGTAAATGCTGATCATTGGAGAAAAATTGCCATTAAAATTTTTTATACACATAGCAATGACAATCTTTCTAGAAAATAGCCCATCGCTTTCAATTGAAGATTATATGCTTGCACTTTCCAACATGCATCAAGAGAAAGCTATAGCTCCGGAATACTGGGGAAAACTGTAATCGTAAAATCACCTAAAAATAACCTACAGTTCTAATATTTGTTTCAGAGATATTATGACATGCGCTTACCTTGAGCTTAGATGCTGCGTTCATCATGACATACTTGACCTGCCCCTGCACGTTCTCTGTCCAGGACGCCAGCCAGGTAACGGTGTTGTCATGTCGTACCTGCACAACATCGAGTCATACAACAAATGTTTACCATGATAATTATGTTGGATCATAAATTGAATTGTGAAATGGAAATACGTGTATTTTAACTTCAGCTTCATAAAATAGAACCGAATCAAAGAATTTTAGTAGTTAATACAAGATTGCGTGATAAGTTTACTAGTATTCACTTGATTTTTACCGAAGTATCTAATTAACAAAGAGGTATTAGTATAGATTATTTCATACTCTAATCAAGTTGAAAAAAAAACATGAATCGTTTAACTTCATTGTGGTTCATTCAAATTAAATGGCAAATGAGACATATCGCTTCTAGTCTCACATCTCAGCAACACGAAGCTATACCCCTACACATGAAGTTAACTTCTAGGCGTGACTATTCTCTAGACAGAACTCACTTCTTTCCACTTGTGACCAGGTGGAGGTTGGGGGATTTTGGAGTCTTTGGAGCAGTTAATTATAACGTCCTCAGGTCTGATGCGGTGCTTCAGCATCCCCATCTTAGGATGGTCGCCACGGCCACGGAATAGACCCGGAGGTTCAGCCTTGAAGTTGCCTGCAACGGTGAATCATCGGTGAAACATCGGTGAGACATCGGTGACATATGTCCCCTTATTTCGTATTTGATAAACTAGCTGGCTTACGCTGAGGCTGGTCGTGCAGTTGGTTCTGGTCGTGCAGCTGATGCTGATCGTGCAGCTGATGCTGATCGTGCAGCTGATGATGATCGTGCAGCTGATGCTGATCGTGCAGCTGGAGCGTAAGGTGAGGCTCAGCTCCAGCAGCCTCCGCAAGCCACGCCTGCGCGACGCAGCAAAGCAACACGTCATTCTATCACATTACACTATTGAACACAAATTTCTGCGATACAATAATGACCTATATGAAGGGGCTTTCTAAAAATGGCATTTAGAACGGCTTGCAAATCTGCCCTTTTAAATATCAGTTCTTTGACGGATCCTAGGAAGATTTCGTTCGATTAACCGGGCTACAGTAATATAATAATAATAGCGGTTTCAGCGTTTATTAGGCCGTAGGCCTGTCGCCGATTCCTAACATCGCAGGACATTCACAGCTTGTTGCGGCATCGAATGCGCAACTCACTGCTCCAATTCTGCTGTGCTTAACCGCCCGGCCTCCTCGCCGGTTCTGACCAGAAACTGGCGCACAGAGCTGGGAGCGAACCCGCGCCTCTCTGCGCCAATCCTGGTACCCTGAACTGTAACCCATGGGCCACCCTGCCTTGCCATCATCAGTGGTTACTGCGTTAACGAATCTCGTACTTGGAATTCAAATACCACCAGAATATGGCAGAATAACGCATGACAGAATATTTACAAAGAAGAATGTGTGCCTCTACTTCTTACTGACGACGTGAACAACATTAAAGATCGATCAATACAATCATAGCAACATGGAATTACTGCTGTTGTGGCAGGAGACAAGAACGTCAAAACAGCCACGTGTACTTCGAGGCATCGCTATACGGTGCCTTGGAAGATGTAACAGTAAGTCAGAATATTGTTCGATGATTGAATGGATGCTCGAGTTGAAGTGTCTTAGTTACCATTACGTTTTGAATGCACTGACAGCATATAATACTCGTGCCTGTCTTTAAATGCGCAATAAGTGCAACATTAATAGGACAAAGTGTCACTATTTTCTTTCAGTTTGCAGACACATCGGTGACACATCGGTGGAACATCGGTGAAACATCGATGACCCACCTTGAAGAGAAGCGTGAGGCGCTGCGAGTCCCCCGCGACCACGACGCACGTCACCAGCGACCCCGCGGGGCCCTCGACGGGGTCCACGGGGGCGGCGGCGCCCCCTCCCCCACCGCGGGGCACGATCTGCACCACCTGTGATGGGGGCTTACTGCACCACCTGTGATGGGGGGTTACTGCATCACCTGTGTTGGGGGGGTTACTGCATCACCTGTGGGGTTACTTCATCACCTGCAGTAACCCCACAGGGGTTACTGCATCACCAGTGGGGTTACTGCATCACCTGTGATGGGAGGTTACTGCACCACCTGTGATGGGGGTTACTGCACCACCTGTGATGGGGGGTTACTGCACCACCTGTGATGGGGGTTACTGCACCACCTGTGATGGGGGGTTACTGCACCACCTGTGATGGGGGGTTACTGCACCACCTGTGATGGGGGTTACTGTATTACCTTTTCCAACGATTTTTCCATCAAACCATTTGAAGAGTTCACGCAAAGACATTGAAAATAGAAAGAAAATGTGAATTTCCTCTAAATTGTTACTTAAGTGTTCAATTTTTGGAAATTAACCTGAATTATTAAGGTGCTCTTGTACCTATCATCGCCTGCTTTTTCCAGAACAATTCGCCAGCCTATCGAAATAGTTTCTCGCACAATTTAGTGTAATTTAGTGTTTATATTGCCTCAACATTCCTATAATGAAACTCGGATCTCAACCGGATTTCAGCGAGTTCTTTCCCAATTGCCTTCATGTCTGTTGTTCGATATTGGAGAATTAACCCCACCAGTTTCTCTCCAGATCCAGCCCATGGCTGATTCTCCATCGTAATTGTCGCCTTAAATTTAAAAAAAAAATCATTTATGGATTTTAAGGAAATAACAGTTTGAAGATGAAGTGTTCAATAGTCGGCTCTGCATTTGTAGAACCAGCAAATGTTCTTAGCAATTAATCTTCCAGTCTTGTCTGTAGGCCTAACCCTCCGAAATATAGGCCCAAAACCTCCCTAAACCTCCTCATGCACCATCAACTAAATACAAACTTCATGGACTGTTCTCTGTTACGAAATCCAAAACCATTAGGTTTTTATGACGTAACTGCTCAATATCATCTCTAACTTAAACAGGATATTTATTAATCGACTATAACTAAAATGCGGATGCATTTATAGCGTTACATAAAATTGAAAGATGATGACAGAGCTTATAAAAAAATTAGTCTCTCAAAAGCAATTAAACACCGACAACATATCTGCCGATTACCCTAAGCCTATACTGACATTGTGGGTTGATGGGTTGTGTCTGGTAATAAGATATGCTGGTGCGTATACGGGGCTCGAACAACCTTCAAAACCGTTCGAGTCACTAATTTCTACTTAAAAAATAAACATTTATTCGAAAGTATCACCTTGATAATTCGACTCAATTTCTGTTGGGTTGAACACAAATGTAGAATTTGCGCCACGAAATAAAAAAAATTTCGTTCCATCAATAGAGAAATGCATCGAAGAGCACGTACAAAAGTTACCTATATTAGATACAGGGACATAAAACAAAATGCGGTGATGATGAGCAGAGAGAGACACAGACCTGAGCGGAGGCGACATGCAGAGCGCGGCCGGAGTGCAGAGAAGCAGCCAGGCGCTGCACGATGGTGCTGCCGTCCTCCCATGTCACCACCACCAGCTGTACGGGACAGGGATCGTTAGTGCTAAATTTCGAACTGGAGAAATCGTTCAGGCCATTAATAATTAGAAGAAACATTTTCAAAGCAGTAGAATTAGAGAGCCGAATCAATTCTAGAACGTAACGGAGAGCAATTAAACAAAATTCACTTTAAAAATCTACAAACTAAATTCTAATTAATTTTAACATAATGTTTTAGAAAATTTTAACGCGACAAGCCAATAACCACAAGTGGAATTGGTTTGTTTAGTAAAGACATTTAGAAGAGAGGAGAAGGGGGAATAAATGCAGTAAGAACCTTGTCAATGAAGTAGAGAGCAACAGAACGCTGCCTGATACGCATCTCCTTGCTCTTCCAGTCCAGCCTGTACTGGTCCCTGATCTTGTCCACCACCTGGTGGAGGCGGCGAGCTGTCTCATATTTCTGCCAATCTTTCTCGCCCTGCAAACAAAGATTTGTTAATGAGAAAGCATTCTCTAGCTTGTATTGTTTAGTGCTTGTGGTCATGTAGTTGTAATATTTTCATGGACCATCTATGTTGACATTTAAAATGGTTTCTACCGTGCAAATTTGATTTACCTGCTATATGTAAATGCTGATCATTGGAGAAAAATTGCCATTAAAATTTTTTATACACATAGCAATGACAATCTTTCTAGAAAATAGCCCATCGCTTTCAATTGAAGATTATATGCTTGCACTTTCCAACATGCATCAAGAGAAAGCTATAGCTCCGGAATACTGGGGAAAACTGTAATCGTAAAATCACCTAAAAATAACCTACAGTTCTAATATTTGTTTCAGAGATATTATGACATGCGCTTACCTTGAGCTTAGATGCTGCGTTCATCATGACATACTTGACCTGCCCCTGCACGTTCTCGGTCCAGGACGCCAGCCAGGTAACGGTGTTGTCATGTCGTACCTGCACAACATCGAGTCATACAACAAATGTTTACCATGATAATTATGTTGGATCATAAATTGAATTGTGAAATGGAAATACGTGTATTTTAACTTCAGCTTCATAAAATAGAACCGAATCAAAGAATTTTAGTAGTTAATACAAGATTGCGTGATAAGTTTACTAGTATTCACTTGATTTTTACCGAAGTATCTAATTAACAAAGAGGTATTAGTATAGATTATTTCATACTCTAATCAAGTTGAAAAAAAAACATGAATCGTTTAACTTCATTGTGGTTCATTCAAATTAATGGCAAATAAGACGTATCGCTTCTAGTCTTGCACCTCAGCAACACGAAGCTATACCCTTACACTTAAGGCCTGAGTATTCTCTAGACAGAACTCACTTCTTTCCACTTGTGACCAGGTGGAGGTTGGGGGATTTTGGAGTCTTTGGAACAGTTAATTATAACGTCCTCAGGTCTGATGCGGTGCTTTAGCATCCCCATCTTAGGGTGGTCGCCGCGGCCACGGAATAGACCCGGAGGTTCAGCCTTGAAGTTGCCTGCAGCAAATGTTCACAATGTATTGCTTCCATTGCACCAAATGTTCACAATGTATTGCTTCCATTGCACCAAATGTTCAAATTGTATTACTTTCTTTTTCACAGACGCAAGTTAACATCACCGCTAACTTTGTTTAAAACTCATCTTCAAAATCAATTAACTTTATATAAAGTAATTAATCCAAACAGAACCTGATAAAAGCATCATAAACTGAGGTCTGTGTGCCTCACGTCACATTGATAAACCTGATATTTTGAAGATAAAAAAAGTAAAACGCAAAATATTAACAAATTAAGGAAATGAGAAACAAACCTAGAATTTCCAAGAACATAACAAGATCGTTATCATGCACTAATCTAGTAACGTTCTTAAATCTAAAACACTAATAATAATGATTGCTATCACGACTCAGTTCCTGCAAGGCAGATTGATAACATTTGAAAATCAACAAAATATGACAACACATAATAGAAGTCGATTTTCAACAGTAAGTTTCAATCAAAGTAACATAGAGCGTTGAGGGTCTGACCTATTCTTTGTTTATGACCATCAATGATGCACCAGCCGAACTCGGCAATGAGCTCGTCATTCTTGTCTTTCAAAGCCTTCTTCTCCTCCTTGCTTCTGTTCTTTCGCTCCTCGTTCTTCTGTAGGAAGTATGTGTGCATTTTCCTGAAGTCGCATTTCTTCAGGTCAGTGATGACGGCTCTCTCTTCAGACGTCATTACCTGCATTGGAAAAACGTGGTAATTCCAACTTACTTTCTCTCAATCACCATAAAACAATGAAAACCAGTTTTTTTCAAATCCAACAACAGCAATTAGTGCAAGAAGCAAGTTCTTTTCATCACAATTCAGGGAAGTTTACGGAATCATGGATGAAATAACGTCTAAGTTTACGGAATCATGGATGAAAGAACGTCTATGATGATGTTCTGACGATTATTTGAAAATAAATATATTTTCTGAATGAAAAAATTATGTATATAATTTTTGAATGAAAACTTATCCAAACAAGCAATTTCCCTATAAACATTGTTCTCGATAAGAAGATATGGTTGCACAAAGACATGTTCATACTCGACTCTGGTGCAGTTCTTGCCCAGCATATACGAATTACAATATCATCCAAACATAGAAAAATACTCGAGTTAACATTCACATTTCACACAATCAAGTAAATTAAGGAAATGAGTGATCAAGATGCTTACACATGTGTAACCAGAGAGAAGATACTGCAGACTAAAATATATTGGTCAATGATCATATAATAAAATTATTTTTTAATATAAAATTTACGATATATGTGATTGCTATCAGGTAAAACCAAGTCAGAAATTGCTATCAGGTACTTTCCAACCGTGACTTTAAACGAGAAGAATCGCACACAATAACAACATTTCACATGGTTATTCAACGACACAAAAAGAATATAAAAAATAGATCAATATTAATTCAATTCATAAATGAATTAATTTTGATGAACGAACTACACGATTTACACCCGCTTCAAGACGAACCTTCCTGAAGTCTTTGAAGAAGTTCTTATTGAACTGATCCTTGGTAACGTAGTCATGGTCGAGCATGCGGGCATAGAAGCCAGCGACCTCCTCAGCATCAGGGCTCAGCGGCATGGGCTTGCCGTCGTACTTCATGTAGACGTTGGAGGGCAGCACCTCGTAGGGGTCCGCGAACACGATGCCCTTGTGCTCTAGGAACGTCCACTTGCGGCCGTCAGCTTTCTTCTCCTCCTCCCACCTTAATAATAACAATTGCAAGCATAGTAATTTATAATATTAATTGCAATAATAATAACACTCCCACCTGAGCAACAACATCGCATCACATCAATGCTAAGTATAGCATAACACAAGAGAATTTTCTTGTACAAATTCAAGGCAGCATTGAGAATATGTTAATCTAAAAGCTCCATAATGTAGTAGTAAAATATTAAAGCTGTCGGGATCAAATATTCTCAAAATCTGATTAACGTGGAGGTTAGGGAGCAGTAGCGAGAATTGTAACCTGGAACAAAGTTTGATACATTTCCAAGAATCAGATAGTAAAAAATTTTCCGAGAACTAAAGCCTCACCATTTCCAAACGTGTTTTTCTTCTTCTGTCTCCTTTTTGACTCTCTTGGTAGGAGACTTGGCCTGAGCTTCGTTGGCTTTGCTGCTTCGCTTAGGTGGAGTTGCTTTTTCTTTTTTCGTTTTGACTTTCTTAGGAGCCTGGAGATCAGAAGCTTATCAATAATTCATATCAATTCATATCATCATAGGTAAAAAGAAAGCCATCTAAAGCTGAAGCATCGAGTTTTAATTACTGTGATATTACATGACAGAGAGCACGTAACAAACTAAACCTCACCATTGTAGGGGAAGGCTTGTATTTTATCGTCTTGCGTGTAATTTTACTTGGAATTTATTCACTGTTTTGAAGTTGTTCGTCGCCATTTTAGTTTAGACTTAACGGAAGTCGGAATACAGAGGGTGTGATTTGCTGGAATGTTGAGCGGAGGTACGTAGTGTGTTAGGTCCTGAATGGTGCTATTAAATTATATGTGAATTGAGGTGAATCGATGTATATAATTAATTTAATTAATTAATTAATTAGTAATTAATTAATAAACTAAAGTAATTAATTAATTAATTACTTTAGTTTATTAGTCAGAAGTTTAATTATTACATCGATTGAAAAATTGATGTATATAATTGATTTGTGTTATTTATTTTTGTATATTAATTGCTTTAGTTTACTAGCCAGAAGTTAATTATTGTTCATTTTACCTTTTAGGAAGCTTTTCAAAGTCTGAGATTCGAGACTTAGTCTCCTTCTCCGATGGAATGTGCATGACCAGCACGTGGTTTGTTTATACTTTAGTAGACGGAGTGTGTAGTAAGTGATTTGAATTGAAGACTAACAGTGATCAACTACCCTATGTCTATGTGTATAAGACACGCCATACCGTTGTGAAAGACAGGTTTTAGGAGACTATTATAAGCACACTCCAAGCGACCATGTATCTAACTACGTAGTGCAAGATGTGTATCAGGACGTACCGGTTTGAAGTCTTCGTCTTCCTCGTCACTGGAGGCTTTCTTCCTCTTCTTCTTGGATTTCTTGTGGGCGGCGAGCGGCACATCGTCATCTGACTCGGACGCCTCCTTCTTGGGTCGCTTCCTGGCGGCCTGAAGATAAACCAATCCTGCTTACAACCCCAAGCTCAATATGACTTGCACATGCTCGCCTCATTTCAATTTCTCATTTTTGAGAATTTAAGCCATAATTTTCACATGTTTAAAGATATTTTTGTGCAGTTGTGCATATAGATTAGTATCACAAAAATAAAGTGACAAAGCAGAAAAAGTATATTCATAATAATAATATTAACAATAATTCAAATTATAACAGAAAATTATCGTAATGCTTTCATGACGCACGTTCTGGTGTTTTCCGCTAGGATCTACAGGCTCTACAACCGTAGATTAATTTTTGATTTTTCACGCTGATGAAGTACTTTGTAACAAGCATCAAAGTGTGAGTGAACCGCATTCCGATATAGAATCTATGTTCAATTTGCTCAATTAACATAGGATGGAGAACTAATGAACACGTAGCATAGAGAAATAAGAAAAAAAAGACAGGAAGTCTACATGAACGAAAGGAAGCTCAAGCATCGTCGATATGACAAAGAAGAAAGCAACCTATAGCAGTAGTCGTCAGCAACAAGGCCATGGACGCGAAGATTACTTGGAATATTTAAGAAATATTAACTTACCAATGGCACGTCATCATCGTCATCGGACTCGGGCGGTGGGGGTTTGGTTCGCTTTCGAGCGCCCTGACGAGTAGGGAGGATGATATATATATACACAATGCAACAATGACAAGCCACACAAGCGAAAAAATGAATTTACAGAAGGAAAGTGCGGAGGATGGATGGTTCACTCAATAGGCTCAATCAATAGGATGGATGGTTCACTTGGTGAAAACTCAATAGGCTGAGTGTCATATACACTATGTGCACTTGAAGGTTCGCTGGGAATTTATGTATGCAAAGCACTGTACACTCCACATGCAAAGGCGCTAAGACACTTGAAAACAAATCGCTTTTACAATACTAAACAGCACACACCAAAACTTTAGGCATTACCTTTAATGATTTCTAAGACAAAATCCATCATCTTATATTGGAATATATACAAAGCATGACTAAACACCAACGGGAGCCATTTTTAGGGATAAATGATGACCGTGCATTTAATGTGCTTAGTAATAAGTGGAAAATTAGAAAGAAAATAGATATTCATTGACAGATGGTGGAATTTGGCAAGCTGATAAGTGCCAGGGTTAAGCTAGACAACAAAATGAAAGGTTCCATGAGTGGTCATGAAAGTTATTTGCAGAACTCGTTACCTAAAAATTTCGAGTATTTGAAGTTAAAATGCATAACTGAATATAATATAGCACAAACACAAGGAGCAGAAAAAGCTTAGATCGCCACTTAAGCAATGAAAACACCATTTATAGCGCCTCATGATGACACCAAGTAAACACAACACCATGCGATATACATACACGTGAATGTAAAAAGATGAATGAAAAAATATAAACTATAAGTGAATATCTCGATCCAAGTTCAAGGTATATGACACGAACGCAAAATGAAGTGACAAAATATGAATTTTATATTCTTTTAAATTAATATTGACATCCTCACCAAAGGCAAGTATTCCTCCTCGTCCTCCTCTGACTCCCGCTTGACTCGAGAATGAAATGCCTGGAGAAAACAGTGAAGTTACAACACTGCGGCGCTGGTAACACAGCTTGTTGAGGTTGTAACCATGTTACGACATCAGTGATTGATTGGAATACTATTTTTTCTGCCAATCGATCACTGATGTTGTAGATTGGTTGTAATCTTAACAAGCTTGCAACCAAGCTACACCATCAGTGATTGATTGGAATAGTATTTTTTCCAGCAAGATTCGACAAAGCTTGTTAAACTTCGTGATATGATATGATAAAATAGAAGTGGCAAAACATGCTTTTGAAAAAAAATTGAAGCTCAAGAGGATTTGCGCTAACAAAAAATAATGATCATAATGTAAAGGGAAATAAGACTGTGCATAAGCTACAATGGTAGTGCTGGAGGAGATACTTACAAGAGGCACGTCATCTTCATCACAGTTGGTCTCTTCTTTGACGGCTGCCTCCTCGATGACCAGCTTGGTGTCCTCTTCGCTCTCCGCAGAGACGTCCGCATTGCGGTGGTCTGTCCAACACACAAAAATTATCCATTTTGCTTAACATGCAAAACCAATTTACACTGAGATTACTTAGGTTCAGACAACATCGAACTATAAACGACATGACATCAGTCCGGTTTAGCTGTGTCTGGTAAGATATTTATGAAATCACAGTAACGCCCCATGACGCGCTTTCTGGGAGGGTTTCTAAGCCTTCACTTAATGAGGGAAGCCAGTCTTGCTCCGCCTCTCAGCTCTGGCACAAGCCGTTGAGCCACAGTCTTGGCGGGGCAGCTCTGGTGTATAATATATAAGCATCCTGCTCTGGTATATAATATATAAGCATCCTGCTCTGGTATACAATAGTAGCATCCTGCTCTGGTATATAATAGTAGCATCCTGTTCTGGTATATAATAGTAGCATCCTGCTCTGGTATATAATAGTAGCATCCTGCTACTATTATATTGCAAATTCCAGCAATCTGATCTGTACTGCATTAGATGTTGGGCAATACTTATTCTTAGCGTATACCTGTGTGCTCATTTTAGCTCGACACTTGAATAGGACCCTAATAATGAACCCATACAAAAAAGTTAATACTTCAAGTTCATAGCAGATAACCCTTTCGATACATTAAGCTTCATCAGGCTATTCATACCTAAAAACATGGACACGACAGTCACGTCAGTGCCCAAAGGGTAAAAATAACTACAAATAAAGAGATGATGACAGCAGGCGCTGGCATGGAAAATATAGCACCTGACAGTTTAGTACAAAACCCCAAAGACCCCAAAGTTTAGTACAAGACCCAAAGGTCTGAAAACTGTCATTAATCTGACAAAATTCAATTGATGATTTCATATAGTAATTCCGAGACTTCACAAATGAGACTAAATCATTATTAATTGATTCCAATTGACCCATATAGTTCCAATGTGTGGTGGTAGTAAATGTACACAATATTATCTGGTGCTTCAGCTATACTATTTGGCACCGGCTGTATTTTAAATAAAAATCTTGTCCGACTATCAAGGGCAACCCATAATAAATAAATTTTTACCAGTAGTAAACGGACACAATATTATCTGGCGCTTCAACTGTACTATTTGCGACCGCCTGTATTAAATAAAAATATGACTTCGTACTCACTGCAGTGAGTGACAGCGCATTTTCTCGTCAACGAAAGATAGACGGATGGACATGGCGAGAAAAATATAGTTTTTTTTTGCGAGAAAAATAGCGCCTTTTTTGGCAAGAAAAATAGCAAATAGAAAATGCGCTAAAAATCATGTCTGACAATCTAGTTCTAGGGCAACCAACAACAAATAAGTTTTTACCACAAGACATTGGACAGCAACTATTGCCAATACTCACTCATGCCTTCTTCATTCACAAACTCTCGTGAGGTGTTCAGTGAAGTGTCCATAGGCTCCTCCTTAATGCAGCCCACAGCCTCCATCTGCAAAGATCAGTAAACTTGGAATACCTACATGAAAGCTTATTTATTTAGCAGTCTATATATCAGACCTGAAGCCAATACTATTCATGAATATTATATTTTAATAATTTAAATAAGAAACAGCAGATATCAATCACAGAGTATAAGAAACCAGCTTTTTAACAAGCATATTCATACAGTTGCCATTTTTTCATAAACAGAAATTAAAAATACCAAAAACAGACAACACCATCACAATCAATGAATTGCAATTATTTTGTAGAACAGTAATATGAAACAGGTGTTCAAGCTAAAAATACTAGCAGCAAAAATATCAGAAATAAGAAAATATAACTCACTTTCATTTCCTGTGGCTCTTTGGGCTTCTCTTTCTCTCGATGTTTGTCTTTATGAGAGCTCTTGGATGACGAGTGGTGATGGCGATCCTTGTCACGATCCTTCTTGTCTCCACTGCTGCTGCTGTGACGCTTGTCTTTGTCATGCTTGCTTCTGTCATCTCTTGATTTGGATTTGTCTCTATCGCTCCTCTCTTTGTCTTTGTCACTTCGCTCCTTATCCTTACTGCGATCTTTGTCAGAACTGCTGCTGTGGTGCTTACTTTTGTCCCCACTGCTGCCACTGCTACTCTTGTGCTTATCTTTGTCTCTATGCCTGTCCTTTTCAGAACTACTGCTGCTACTCTTGTGTTTATCACCACTGCTGCTACTACTACTGCTACTTTTATGTTTATCACTGCTACTGCTGCTGCTTTTGTATTTATCTTTATCTCTGTCCTTATCCTTGTGAGAACTTTTACTGCTTGAAGAGTGTCGGTCCTTATCTCTATCCTTGTGAGAACTTTTGTGTTTGTCCCGGTCTTTATCTCTGTGTTTGGACGAGTCAGAGTGACCATTGGAGGTGCCATTGGTCAAACCATTTGACAAGCCTGTAGAAAAATAAGTCAATTTTATTATTACCAATTTGTTATTCTTATATATACACTACTCTGGAAAGCAAATCAAGATCCAGTACTGCGTCCCTTCAAGTACTATATTCCCCTGTATGCATGGTGAATATGTAAAAAAAATTTAGCTAAGTAGAAACAATCAACAGAAACTAAATATTGAATTCAATATAAATTTCTTCCATGGCATTCAAACTAAGCAAAAGATTGGACTAGTTAAAGATCAGTAATTAGTTAACTCTCTTAATTCTGGTCATTTTTGTAAAGTGAGTATTTACCAATAAACTACCATGACAAAAATAATTTTGCAGACAATACATAAAAATAGTGAAACAAACATTCATCATTAATAACACTCATTATCAAGCAAGGGTTAAAAGAACTCATTCTTTCAATTTCCTCAATGAGCTATCATGCTTCCTGGTCCAGCAAGATTGGTAGTCAGTGTTGAGCAACAATTACTCATCACTGCCTGGCATTTTTAAGGGAAAATAAATTGTACTCTCCAGCTAAACTTATAACAAAAATATTCTCACCATATGTGCAAATGAGACTTCATTTCAAATGTTACTGGTACCTACCTAACATTCCACCTTGTATGGGTGAATATTGTTTGTATTTGAAGCTCAAAGTAAACTTCAATCTCATTCATCCCTCAATTGGTGCAACAACAATTATGAACAAGAAGAAAGATTTAAAATATGGCCATGTGTAAAATACACTGGTGATTGCTCATGACAATCACTTTTAGCTATAGCATAAATAACTATTAAAACAGCCCTTTACACAAATGACTTGTTGTGTTGGACTCTCATCACAGTATTGATGTAATTGGAGAAATTATTATAGAGATTTGTTTTACAACAATAAGCGCTAAAATTTGTATTGCCATTTCACAGTATTTCAAACACTTTGGCTTATATATGACATACTAAATGTATGTAATGTAACAAATTGGCTGCCAAATTATTAGAAGTTGATGTGACTATGGAAAAAAAAGCATTAATGGCTAGCATACATATGAAACTTGAGAAAATAAAACATTTGAAACAATGAAATGAAAGAAGTTCATAGCTAGGTTTTTTACTTCACACTCCTATGAATGCAATTTCATGGCAATCATTAATCTATTATTAGCAAAATAAGGAATATACTGTCAAATGGGGTAATAAGGGACAGGGGGGGTAAATTGGGACAGTCCTCCGCCATGGCATCAAAATGTTATATCAAAATAGTGGGGGTAACTTCAAAAGTTTTCATATCTATGTAGCATAACAGAAGTTAAGAAATCGTACATTTACCAGCTCTAAAAAATCCCCAAAAAATCTTGAATAGTGATAATTTGAAATGTACTTCTGTTAAGGTCTGTAGTCTGTACTCTGTAGTAAAAAAATATTTGCCATATTAAAAAATGTTGCTTGAAAAAAATTGCAGACAGGTGTCAGATTTAAAACTTCATTGATGGAATTTTTGTACCTCAATCTAAAATAAAATGGTGGCTGAATGAGGGATTCTTTAGAAACCAGTTTATTTTCAATTCCTGATCTAGGTCAAAATTTTACTGAATATCCAAGCATGATGATGCTGGTAAGACTGGTATGCAAGATACTTAAATAGTCAACTCATAGGACTCAAAATAAAGTCTACATACTACAATACACAATATAAATTATGAACAACAATATTAATGTCTAATAATTATGTTGAAAATAAATTGGTTTGGTATATATGAAAGTTGACTTCAACAATATAAATATTTAGAACTTGCATTAGTTAATGTAATGAACTAATGGTAATTATTGGTAAATATTTGAACAAGTTGCTACCCTACTGACTAGCTGAGTACTTCAAAAAAGTACTTGACAAAATTCCATAATAGATTTTTCATACAAGAATGAGGTCCATAATTTCTCTGCATATCCAATTATCTATTCTCAAAATAACTTTTAATCGAGACTTTAACTGACTAAATCGGTAAATGTAAATTAGTTGCAGTTCCCACTTCCCAGGCCGGAGCCCGGAGGGGTCATTCAACTCTCGAGGAAGGCTTTCGAAACTAGTTGATGGGGATTCCTTAAATTCATCCTTTATAACTCAAGACGTATTATTATGAGCTCCTCGTAAATTCCCAACATTTTTTAAAACCTATTGATAACCGCACTAGCGTCTAGTTAGGAGCTTCAGGTCAGATTTTGTACACGAAAATAGCTATTAATGAAAGAAAACGAAAGTTAGCTAATATCAGTGTCGGGCGAGTCCTACGTCCTAGGCTATGTACTTCATTCAGTACCGAAAAAAATTTGATTTCGTTGTCATCCATTGCTTCAAATGGTATTTTATACGCCATCAATTATTTCAATATATGCACGTTTCATTAAAAACTAAACTGATGTATTCAGTATTCTAATCTTAATTCGTTACGGAAGGGGAAGAACACACGGCTTCACAGTTGCCAGATGCACAAACTTCGTTCGAACTATGGCGAGCAAGTCGTTCACGTGTCTCGAAACGCTGATTAAAACAAGTGATTGGAATTCCACAATATAGGTCCAAATATTGTTGGCAACAGACTACCCAGTTTCTGATTTGAATTATCAATTCAAATGAAAAAGCTTCATTCACAAAATTTCGCCTCTTGAATCAAGTTAGCCTACATACAGAGTAACAGACTATTTGCCTCAGATGATGTATCATCATAGAAATCGTAACGAAATGAAACTTACGACTTACCATTAGTTTGATTGGAAGCCATGACGTTCACCACTTCCTGAAAGAAAGAAAATATATTTTTAAACTTTATTGTTGCATAATATTAAGTCTTGCTTACTCGGAAAGCTTTCTGCTACGTAGCGTTTGTGGACTTAGCCTCCGGTCGCCATGTTCGAAGCGAACGAGAGCAGAATAGACCAACTCACTTCACGGATATTTTACACATAAAGGGCTGTTTTGACAGAATATTGATAATATTCAAACAAATCTACAGGTGATAAACAGAGTAAATTAAACGCTAATACTTACTTGACTGGAATCATGGCTCAATTCGGCCATTTTGAAATCACTCGCCGACCGTATTTGCTGCTCGATCTTCTCTGCTTCGAGCTCGGCCAGAAACTATGTCTCAACGGCTGACGCTCGTCGGCCGCTCAGAAACAGAGTCGTTATGGCGGCATTCTGCGCATGCGCGAGGACTTAGCCTCGTGCACACAAAGAGCTCTCAATGATCAATTTATTTCACGTAAATACTATATTGGTTTATAAAAAAAATTCGGCAACTTTCAAATTTGCTAGAGTAGAGCATATTAACTTCCTAACCTGAACTCAGATGTTTTAACACAAGGTACTTTACTCGTACAGGTTCAGGGACTTAGAATTTTTCTGGGAGTGAAGAGAGACTGATGCAAGCAAGCAGCTATTGCCTATTGCTGCAACCCCAGGCCACGACAAACTCGGTTTTGCTCTCTCACCTTTGCTCACCCCGTAAAAACTCTTTCGATGAGCACGAGTTTTTTATTTCTTTGCCCGTCACCAATTCACTCAATACTACCTATATAACTATACACTATGCGACTGAAAATTTGTTTCAAGGGATAAGCAAGGACCTGATTGATCGTGCTATTCATGATGATGGCAGCATTATTTTGTTTTAATGATTATTGACAGTATAATTATAGAAGAACACTTTTTAATATATAAGCAATATTTAATTGAATCACATCTAGGATACATTGCACATTGTTTGAATTAGTTAAACGGGCCCTAGCTGTGTGAATTGGGAACTGGGAACTCGCATTTTTAATTGCATTTTCATTTTCAGTTATCACATAAAACACATTAAGGATAGGAAGCCGCATGCTTCGTAGCCTGATTACAGCTGATAATTCTCTTATGAGGTTATCTTTTTCAGGAACCAACCGTGCACACCAATGATTTTATTAAACGTAAGCATGGCGACTTGATCCTAACCCTAAATTAATGGATGATGAATTTAGGGTTGAACGCATATGTCGTAGCTTGAGGAAATTAGCTTGAGGAAATATTGGATTATTGCGAACTGATGGTCGTCTGGGTCGCTTATTTAAAACATGTTTTTCATATCCAGGATAAAGAGAGATCATTTCACTTTGTTATCGAGATATATTATCTACAACCACAAATATCGTTCGAAACCATATATGTGTTCATTATTATTTTTTTTTTTCACTTATCAAATGGCGTCACTTGACCTTCCATCACTAGCGATGGTCATGAAATGTATTGATACTCGTGGTGATAATTGCCAGCAATCGTAGATTGTGGTTGTCAATACAATGTAATAATGCAAAGCACAATTAATCTTTGGGAGCTGTGACCTTTTCAAAAACACAGACCGAGCAAAATTCGGTTGTAATCAACTAATATCACATAATTCCGTTCATTCTGTGGTCAGGGCAGAAGTCGTGCCATCAGTGCAATGAGCACAATATAATCATGTCATAATGAGCATATTGTGAGCATAAGTCTGCTCATCTGTAGCTAATAAACAACTTAGTGACTCGGCTCGGATGATCAATATTAGGTTCCGTCACACTAAAAAAAAATACAGTGAATTAGGGGCTGACTTAGAATAGAATAGAAATGTCGGCACTGAAGAAATAGGCCCATGGCCTGTTGCCGATTCTTGAACTTTTCGTGACTTGATTCACGAGTATCCTGCCTTTGGAACCCGATCTTTCCATAACTGACGATTGATTGAGATCTGATTGAGATTGCAGAAACAGACGTATATCATGAAAAATATATGACAGAGGCACATTCTTGTTGCTCCAACCTTGATAATATGCGTTTAAATAGTACTTTCTAAAGATCACCCTTCTAAAGGGGCCGGTGTCAACGATGTTACACTACCGTAGTACAATGAATTTCTTATTTTATTTTAAAACATTTAAAATTGTTTTTTAGCTTTCTTAATTTCTTATTTTTTTTTTTTGTTCTGTCAATAGATTCATGCATTGTCTCCGACTTTACGCAAGTGAGCAAAATTTCTGATCGATTGGACAGGTCGAAGTGTGTTTAATATCGATTATAAAATTCGTAGCAGACCGACAAAAAACGAGAAGTGAAGTTAAATAGAAGTGCGGTAAAACAACGCGGTCCCGGGAATTTTGCCTGATTTTTCAGCAATTTTTTTCATTACTTGTGAATTTATTGTAAAGAATCATATATTTCCGCCATTCTCCTGTGTTGTTCCAAACTTTTGCATAAAGTAGGTGAATGATCCGTGGTGTACTTGTGTGCATCATGAAGCTGTTCGAGAATTTTGGCTTTCCACAAGGCTGCACAAGACAGAAAATTTCGCCGCTCTTCCGTCGTTATTATTATAACATATTATTACTGCTATATATTTTTTCCAGCTATAATGATCCAGCTGCCTATAATGATTGTCAATATTTAGTGGATTATTCAACCGAAAGGATTAGGTTAAGTTGGAAATTTTACAAGAATAATACGAAAACCAACTTGTTGAGTTCGTCTCATACGTACGCGTGCATGGTCGCCTTGGCTTGTCTAATATCTAGCGATGCCTCGAGAACGGGACGACTGAAATAACCCAGCATTGCCCAATACCAGCATAATTTTCATACTTCACCCCGTGCGCAAGCATGCTGCAGAGCAAATTAGCCAACAATTAGAGCAAATTAGCCCGTAGCATAGAAAATTGTCGTCATGCATCGTTGAAATAATGCAAATAAGGCCATGATAAGTTATCTTGGATTAAAACGTAAGAAAAAGATCATTGGAATCTACTTTGGAAATAATACTCCATATTTCAAAATTGTAACCCTCTTTAAATGAAAACAGATTTTGTTCAAATTTTATTTACTTTCCACTCAGAACTCATTAAATTGAACACCGTTGTAATGCTAACGCGCAGATAATTTATCTGTTGTAAAATAGAAGGAGTTGCCTGATCAAACACATGATATGCGTTACACACGTGAAATGGATGTGTGATGAATATGAAGCGCTATGCACATGATTTGGATGTGCAAACTCCAAAATTTTTTCTGTGGATTACGTCTCGAAGGTATCAACATGTTGCCAGGTGTTGTTATTATATAGGTGATAGGTCCAGTAGTTTCTAATTCAATACCTAGGTTGAAAATAGTTAGGAAATAGAGTTATAATGCCACGTGACTGAATAATTATTTAGGTTACAATTATAGAGTTGTAGTAATTTTTAGAATGACCGTCTTGCCACGAAGATAATAAGAATGAGCTCCAGAAATTGAAATCTGCATTATGGAGATGATATTATAATTGTTTTAACCTATTGCGACTTCTTAATAACTACATTTTTATTTGGGTTAAATTCTCGAATACGTGTTCATAAATGAGTACTATGAGGAAAGATTAAAGATTATGAAGCTTCAAAGCCTCCATTATCGACGTCTGCGTGGGGACCTCATTGAAGTATACAAGTATACTCATGGCTATATTCTATTCTATTCTATTCTATTCTATTCTATTCTATTCTATTCTATTCTATTCTATTCTATTCTATTCTATTCTATTCTATTCTATTCTATTCTATGCCTTACCCACATAATTACAACATTTATCTTACTTAAACTTCACTCCTTGTTTGTTTGTCTGTCTGCTACAAATCTTATAATCGATACACTTTTACCTTTCCAATCGATCTAAAATTTTGCACACTTGCGTAAAGTCGGAGACAACGCATGAATCAATTGACACAAGAAATAAAATTTTGAAAGTTCAATTTTTTCATATATTTAAGAAACATAAAAATTAATTTGATATTATATGGAAATAAAATTAGAAATTCTTTGTAGATGTGTAACATCGGAAACACTGTATTCTTTAGAAGTGTTGTCGATAACAAGTAAAAACGCATATTTTATTACAAGACTTCTCTTTAACTTCACTTCTTGTTGTTTGTTTATTTGTTTGTCTGCTACAAATCTTAAAATCGATATTTAACACACTTCTACCTCCCCAATCGATCTGAAATTTTGTACACTTGCGTAAAGTTGGAGACAATGCATGAATCAATTGATAGAATGAATAATTTTGAAGATTAAAAAAATATATATATTAAAAATGAACAAATTAATTTTTTTAATATATGAAAATAAATTCAGAAATTCATTGTATATGTGTAACATCGGCGACACTGGATTATATAAAAGTGTTGTCTTTACATAAAACGTAATCTTTAAGCGCAATTTTTTTTCTTATTGTTCTCAAATAATGAAGAGCTTCAAAACTTGAAATATATATTTGAAAGACGTTTTTATGAGGTTTTTACCCACTGAGACCTTTGAAAAGGCTAGCTGGATTTATGTAAATTTTTAAACATACATGTTATTTTTGCCATATGTTGAACATTTCAAACTACCCTCAAACCATGAAAGAATTAACTTTGGGGTCTAAAATTTTGCACACAGTTTTTTTGCACATCCAAAACTTTTCCGCACTGTTGTGAAACTCAAGTGTTGTGAAACAAGAAGTTGAAAAAATGCTTAACTTTAGTGAAGGCCCTATGGATTACCTGAATTGTCGCATTCTACCGACTTGGGCGGCACCCAAAGTTGGCGACAGTACCCCATGGGAGCACCAAGGCTCTGAGAAGTATAATAATTGGCGCCGCTTCTCATGGTCGAGATCTATCGCCTGATTGTCTCCAACGACAATATCGTTTTACTTCAACGATTCCACTCTTATATATTATTTTAGCCCTGGACTGAGCGTATTTAAATAAATACTTGTGGTTCTCTCTGATGACTCCCATCGTTCGCTCCATCTGCAGTTGTTCTTTCACCCTGTGCGAGTCTTGCAACATGCGCTCGACTGCATTGTGGAGCACTTTTAGTCTCTCTTTCCTCAAATAACCAGAGGAGCTGACCGCTTTAACGCAGGCAGTGGACTCTTCTCACTGACTTTATTCCTGTCAAGAAAATGATTAGGATTTCCCAACGTTCGTTGGACGAGTAACTTCTCATGGATCGCCCAGGATCCTATCATCTTGCCATATGTGGCTGATCAATTTCATGAACACACTTTTTCCTATCAGACCGGACAATTTTTTCTTGATTTTAATTAACTAAAACTGATATAAACATGAGTATGTTATTAGCATAGCATAGCATAACATGGTGATGTCGGCGCTGAAGAATGGGCCTGATGTGGACTGTCGCTGATTCATGTACTTTTCGTGACTTGTCCACATTTTGCTTTACGAAATATGATGGGGTTCAGTTTGCTATTTATGAGCAAGTTTCAAGGCTGGTATAATTGAAGAGATTTGTCAGAAATAACTCGCGGTCGGAACCTATAGTGAATTATTCAGTTTGCCGAGTTATTTGTATTTGATATCCAAGTCGCTCACCTAAACGAAGTTATTACCTAAAAAAATATTAATTGTGCATCCTGATTTTCTTTGTGATAATGTTTTGTATGAAAGAATTTTTCTGGTCTCTGGATGAACTGAGTGAGCAGTATTACGAAAGTCCACAGGGTGGGAGTCTCGGTGAATAAACTGAGAATAAAAAAGGCTTTCTGGCGTTCAATGAAGCCACAAAAATTGCCTCATGATTGCTATTTTGATCAATTCATCTAAATAAATCATATATTTAACATATAAGCTAAATAATTTGAATGTTCCCAACGTTGAATTGTTCTATTGTTGGTTCACGTAAAATTAATGTAAAGTTGGGGGCGTAAACGGCAGTCGAGTTCAGTTTTAGGACTGGAACAACCACGCAAATTATCCCAATGGAAAACGTATGCACTAAATAGAATATGTTTCACCTTAATAGAAATTTAATTAGACTATAATTGAGTCTCGAAGTATTGCCTCATGCGGTGTAAACACACATGTCACCATTTCAGCCCAGACATTTCTCTTAAGAACCTTTCGCTCAGTTGAGTGAGCTCCTTTTGTTTGTTAGGTGGTGACTGCTTGTAGGAACGATGAGGTAGGTTAATTGCATATTTTGTTGTTAAATAATTACAATGATCAGAATCGTCACTTTCTGTACAATAAAATGCCTGACAATCCGTTGAATTGATGATATCTTGTTGTTTTGAGGGCTGACGTCCTCATTTGGTTTCGTGATCTAACTAAAGGCTAACTAGGTAAAGTGTGTTGCTTGGTTCGGTGTTTTGGTTGACCCTGACTGGTTAATTTTTTCTTCTGCAATTTTTGATCGATGTTTTACTCGTACAACTCTTTTTTAATTAGTGCATAAACTTATAAATTAGATCGGGTATATATTAGTGAAATTTTTAGACGACTGCTGCCAGTGTAGATGCTCTAAAAATAGTGGCGTGAGGAACCAGTTTCAATGTTATGTAGTATGGGACATGTACATAATACATATTAGGCTATTCTTGTGCTCATTAGCCAAGCACAATGAAAATTGCACTAAACACTAATTTTTTTCATGCCTGGGCTGTTTTATTAAGTACCTAAAACTTCATTCTGTTGAGCGTTGTGCCAAACAAGAGATTTTTTTGGAATCGTTTCATTTTAAATCCTTATTTAGGTACTCAAGATCTAAACCAGTATTTCATTTGCGATTATGCTGGTAGGCCTATCTATGATTCTTTGCTGGGCAACTTATAAGACTCAAAAATTAACTTGAGGAATAGTCTAAAAAAGTCTCTGCTTAGTGCATTGACACTTGTCACTATGAATGGTTATTCATTTCAAGGTTTTAAACTCAAGTTGCTGCCAAGTTGACTTGGTTTAGTAGGTAATTGAGAGGTGAAACTCTGGATCCAATCTGTTATATTAGGAGGTGTAATTTCTCAAACATGGTTATGGAAAAGAATTGTAGATAATTGTTAAGAATTGCAGAATACAAGTACTAATTGTAAGAATTTCAGGTCAAAACTAAAAGTAAAATGGGCTATTTTTACAACACTTCTCTTTAACTTCACTTCTTGTTTGTTTGTCTGTCTGCTACAAATCTCATAGCTAGCTAATCAATATTTAACACACTTCTACCTGTCTGATTGATCTGAAATTTTGCAAACTTGCATAAAGTTGGAGACAGTGAATGAATCAATTGACAGAATAAACAATTTCAAAAATTGAAAAAATTCAATGTTAAAAAATACCTAAAATGAAAATAATTTTGTCTGTTACAAATCTTATAATCAATATTTGACACACTTCTACCTGTTCAATCAATCTAAAATTTTGCACACTTGTAAAAAGCCAGAGACAATGCATGAATCAGTTGACAGAATAAATAATGTTGAAAATTTACAAACTTTTTATATTGGTATTAAAAAAAGTTGAAAATTAATTTTTTTATATATGAAAACAAAATTAGAAATTCATTGTACATGTGTAATATCAAAGTCACTGGATTCTTTAGAAATTTCTTAAAAATTAATTTTTAAACGCTTATTTTCCTTAAAACTGAATGCATAATTATTTGAGGGCCATATCAAAATGAATGGGTGAAATAGATAGAGAACCTGCATTTTTGTAGATATTCACAAGTGACTTCTGCTCTATTTTCCAGTTTGGTTATTTATTTACATATATTATATTAATTAATTAAATAATATTATAATTAATTTAATTATTATAATTGTTTAATAATAATAAATAAGTGTGGAATTCTAGAGGGGCATCAAGTTAACCAGTACACACAGCATATTAGAAAGGCAATTGCATCACACAACCAAGCAGTAATCAGAGTCTGGACTCCACAGCATAGAATCCGCAGATTTTTTTAGATTCAGTTCTTTTTAAATTTCTTCATCTATTCAGGATTTAAATCAATTTCTTATGTATGAATCTGGAGTGAGTGACCTCATAATCCCATCAACCAATCACAGTCTTGAGCCAGGGTGCAAAAGGTGCAAGCAGCGTTGCCAATATATGGATTTTTAGTGCAAAGCATTGCCAGCTATTTTCAAGATGCTTTGCTGGGTAATTTTCAATTAGAAAATGCTGCTAAAAACTTTGATAGTATATCCCTTACTTCCTATGCAGTACGCACTGCATCCTGAACCATCCAACATATTGGAAACCTTACTGTGCACACTTGCGGTATTCCAGATTTGCAATAACTGCAAAATAATTTCTAAAATGCAATAATTTCAATCCAAATGTGTTGGCAAAATCTTCTGAAGGCCTAAATTTTGCTGCTGATGCGTCGCCTAAGATCTTTTGATATTCACCCAATTTCTGCACCCTGGGTCTTGAGTTGATGACATCACTATCAATCACTAAAGAGTTTGAGGGGGAGAGACCTTGCAGTGATGTCACATGCACAACGTATTAGCAACCTATTGCGTGTTATGTCAAACACCATGTCATTAAATAATTATTTTTAAAAACATATTGTTATTATAATTATTTTTAAAAACATAACTACAGCAATGAGACATACACCATTTGATTTGTAAAGACCATACCTATCGAACTGATGATCATTTTTTTGAATTTCTGCCGGGTTCATTTTTTATGTGGGGGAGAAGGGGGGGGAGGGGGGAAAAATGAGAAGAATGGGATATAACGCGCATAAAAAAAAAAAACTAAGGGAAAAATGAGAAAAATGATCATCAAATCGATAGGTATGGTCCTTGCAAATCGAATGATACGTGTCTCGATGTTGTAGGATATTTGTAGGAGGAGATAGATTTTCTAAAGTACTCCCTTTCTAGCCGTTTTCTATGAATTTCACGTTTTCTATCAATTTTTTCGAAAAATTCATACAAGCAAAATGTTTTTTTTTTACATTTTATGTATGTATGTGAAGTTTCATGATGATCGGGTAATAACTGTAGAAGTTTTTCCGGAGGGTAGCCAGTCCCCTTAATTTAGAAAATTCTGGGCAAAAAATGTGCCATTTTAATGATTTAAGCTGAAAAAAATTAGCAAGGGCTGTGTAGAAGCATTCAAAATTTTCTGCAAGCAGGGGCATTTTTGAATCAACCAATCACAGTCTATAGCTATGGTGCAGAAGGTGCAAGCAGCGTTGCCAATATATGGATTTTTAGTGCAAAGCATTGCCAGCCATTTTCAAGATGCATCGCTGGTAATTTTTAATAAGAAAATGCTGCTAAAAACTTTGATAGTATATCCCTTACTCCCTACGCACTGCATCCTGATCCATCCAACATTTTGGAAACCTTACTGTGCGCACTTGCAGTCTTCCACATTTGCAATAATTGCAAAATAATTTCTAAAATGCAATATATATATATATATGTTTGCCAGCTCAAATGTTTGAAGTAACCTCAAAACCAACTAAAGAGTTGGGAGGTGGGGAGAGACCTTGCAGCGACGTCATGTGCGCAACGTATTGCAACATATTGCATGTAATGTCAAATGCCATATATCATTAAATAATTATTTTTAAAAACGTTGCTTCCATTCCTAAAAATGCTTTAATTCCTATTGAATTTTATAAAATTGTATTATTAATACTTATTGTTTAATATCAACAAATAAACTTGTGGCGAAGTAAGTTGATTCTATAATAATTTTCTTTATGGCTGTAGACATAATTTAAGGGTAATTTCACGTCTTAATTTGGAAAATTCTGGGCAAAAAATGTGCAATTTTATTGATTTAAGCTGAAAAAAAAATTAGCAAGGGCTGTGTAGAAGCATTCAAAATTTTCTGCAAGCAGGGGCATTTTTGTCTCTCATAAGGCTGCTTTTCTACTTCAGTTTGCATCAAGATCTAAATGACTTGATATGGTAACCTTACCATCAAATAGTAGTTCTACTTTCTGACCGCTATAATATGGTTATTATTGACAAGCAATTTGGCAATCTGTCATTAAACACTTTCACTGCAACATCCGCCATACATGGTACATGCATGCACGTCTCAAAAAGTGTGACGTACGCCAGATGATGTACACTCTTTAATAAAGTTCCTTTTTTGAGAAAGTCCTACAGATCAAGTTTTGCAGGTCATAAACATGTAAAATATTTGATAGAATATTATCAAAAAGGAGCTTAAAAATGTCAGACAATTGGATTAGTAGAATATTAGTAATCAATCAATTAGATTCAAGCACTAAGTACTGACTTCCTAAAAAGATAAAGATGCAAGAAATAAGACTTCATAAGACTTTATTATTTTCAATGATAAAAATATTGTCTTTTTTCATTCATGAATCATCATAGTGGGGAAATAAATATTAGACATCCAGAAGTGGCCTAACTGATGGTGAATGCCATTATGAAAGCAATATACACTGTAAAATGGATTTCCAGCAGAGGTAGATTATTTTTCTGGCTTGAGTCTCATTTCAGCTTTTAACTTGTAACTTGCAACAATTTCACTGTAGGACCTGCAACAACAGCTCGTCATAAACTTTCACCCATCATCTTCAAACTTTCAAAGTAATATATGGCCAAAATGCACACCTCCTCTATCAGCGCGATTTGGTCTTTGGTAACATTTCTTCACATTTTTATTATTACAAGCAGTTTTACACGTCATGTTGAACAAATTATGCCATACCTACTGATTTTTAAGAACAATAGAACTGATCATTGAGCCCATGCATTATTTGTTGTTGTGTGAAGTTCCGTAGTTCATGTTTTATAGTGCTGGCCTCTGAAAACGAAGAAATTTAGTTTTTTTCTAGAAACTTTTCAGAAATGTAAAAAGGACTTTGAAATTTGTAACTAACATTGAGGCTGCTACCATTGTCAATGCTCAAAAATTGTCAGGCTTGTATTGCTGGTTGTTTTCAACTATTAAGCTAAATTATGCGAAAAAAAACATTGTTGAAGAAACATATGGCTCAAGTAGGGCTAACATTAAATAATTTGAAAAATGACAAAAATTGCTAAAACGCAAAAAGAATTTAGACAAAATTGGAATACTCTCTGAATGAATTTTGACATAGACATATCTGGGGTCTTTTTAGCTCAATTTTCTCTTTTATGAAAAGAATGCACTAGGTATTGTGTTCGCTATGTTCGTCTGTCCGTCCGTCCATCCGTGACTTCATGTTTCCGTTGATGTGAAAATGCGCTCTCTTGTCACTCACTGCAGTTAGTAATGAGTTATATTTTTCTATTTCATTGCATTATAATAGGTTCTGAATGATAATAGAACAAGCTGAATGGCCTAGTGATTAATGTACGGTATAGATAATTTCTGAAAGGGTGGGGTTTTTTCTACCTCAAATTGGCATGGTCTTCAGTTTTTTTAAGTCTGCAACTATTTATGCTCTGTTGCTGCTGAACGCCTGAATCTGCATATTTATCCCTTTAGCAGGCAAGCATTGAAATATCCAGAAATTAAAATTTCAGAAACCATTTCAAGAAAGTAAGAAGTATTATACAATATATTTATTTCTACGAATTTTTGCAAATTTTGCCTATTGAAGGTTTAAATTGCACTTGAAGAATTCAATAAATGCGATCAGTACACAAAATTTTTCTTTGTAATTGAAATTCAGTTTATGCAAATGAAAAATTAGAAACCTAAAAATGTAATTTAATTAAATTTAATCAAGTTGCCAAAATAAATAAATATATATATTGATACTTCCACCTTTTGAAGAAAATGCGGAAAGAGCGTCAATTCCATTGTCCGAGTCAAAACCTTCATTTAAATGCTCATATTTCAATTTGTGGACTTTGCAGCTGGTGATGCTATAGATAGAACGATGGTCAGATAATTAGGGATTGACTGAGGCATTATAAGGATGCCTCAAAAACAAACAGGAATCCGTGGTGAGGCTTTTTGTGACGCGATTTCAAGTGATCATATATGGTAACTTACCCGTGATAGGGTTAAGTAACAATAAAATCATTCAAGAATACATTTTTGCAATCAGAAAAATCCATGAGTTACTAGAATATTCATATACAACATTAGTTACAGAATGATTTTTTTTGTTCTTTGGTTATATTTCTACTTTTAGCTTGTTTAAAAAAATTATTATGCATGATTGAATCCTGAAACTGGAGCTGAAAGATTGCTGGAGGTTTTTAAAACATAGTTGATGGATTTGATACCGCAGATTTTATACGTTTAATTTCTTGCAGTTTGTTCCGTGCCCAGAAGCGCTTGGCAGCGCAGATTCTTCGTTGTGGTAAACACAAAGTCTGGTTGGACCCCAATGAAATCGGAGAAATTGCACAGGCCAATTCCCGTAAGTTTCTCTTGACTTATTCATGCTCATAATTTTGCAATTTGGATTTTTGATTTCATGATGTGCCTGAATTTTTAGGAAGCAACTGTTGGTGAAATTTTGTTAACTTGGGCAGAGTTGATGTATTTTTCCGGCATTGAACAATTTCATTGCTTGACTTGGATGAATGAAAGGGATGTTCTCTTTTTCAGTAACATCCTAGAGTTCCATATTATTAAATTATTTGTTAGTAACACTCCTTCTGATTACTATTTGCGAAGTGAGGTGAAGTGATATTAGGCCTTGAGTAGTTGCTCATTGGTATTTCCTCTATTGTTGGTCTACAATCACTCTATGTTATGGCATATAAAATTTGATATCTGTAAGTAAAGGAAGTGTAATTATGTATCAAACTTTTTGTCAAAAGATACTACAATTTTATCCACTAGTTTAGTGAATTTATATGAATGAAGATTTGTTGAAGAGGTAGCGTTTTCAGTTCTTGTTTAGGTTTGCCACGACGAAGAAGCTGAATAATCTGTATTATGTGCTGTATATAATTAGAACGTGGTTGTTTGCAGGCCAGAATATCCGACGCCTGGTCAAGGATGGTCTGATCATCCGGAAGCCCCATAAGGTTCACTCGAGGGCGCGATGCCGCAAGTTCCAAGAGGCCCGGCGCAAAGGTCGCCATATGGGCCCTGGCAAGAGGAAGGGTACCGCTAACGCGAGGATGCCCAAGAAGGTGATCATGCTACTGCAGTCTTGATTTGTTCTATCAGCAACATCCCCATTGTCTTGAGTTCTGCGACACATTTTGTTGGATCTCTAAGTTCTAAATACTGACTTCACCTTCCGTCATTTGCAGAGGTTTTTCGAGATTGGACGAAACTACCAACTTTAATGAGAAAATAAAATATTCGTGTTCTTTGTGCGAGACGCTTGCCGTATTTAGTCAGTACCAATGAAGCAAATTTTCTTCTGGTGTAATGATCAGTTAAGAATTTTTAGTCATCACGGCTTCATGATGCCTTGAACGAATGGAGTTATTCTAATTGGTTGAATTACAGTAGGCTTCATAGTATTCACTTGACAGCTTCTTGTGTAGTTTACATGTCATACTCTCAAGTTATGAATATTTTTAGGCAAGTAATTTGATTTGGATCAAATAATCCTATTGTGTCTAGATATATATTTTTTGATTTTTAAAGCTCGATATATTTTTTGATTTTTAAAGCTCGAAGTACTTATTATTGGTTGTATACATTGCGATCTCATGTTACAGGAACTCTGGATTCGGCGCATGCGCGTCTTGCGTCGCATGTTGAAGAAATATCGCGAGAGCAAGAAAATTGACCGCCATCTGTACCACGAGCTCTATCTTAAGGTGAGGATATGCACTAGATAAATGCCTTGTGGTTCACAGATATTCGAAGTTTGCAAGAAATTCTTTCGATATGCAGTACCTAGTTGCTTGAATACAGTGCCTGCATTTAGAGGCCTTGCCTCCTGACCTTTTCCAGCTCAGCCGCCGAGAGCTCCGACGGAGTATCCTATGTGCATATATTGTTAAATGTATTGAGTTCCAACACGCCTCGGCTCTCGCCTATCACTGCTTCAAAATCTATTTTTATTTTGTATTCGTATGATACCTTTGTGAGATTTTTTGAGGAGATAAGCATTATTGGCGTAGCAATAAAGTTAAGTTTGGAATTGGTCGGTCGAGTCTGATAAGAATAAGTATAATTGTTCACTAGCGCTCTATATATCGATTTCACGTCAAAGGTGAAAAACAAGGAGTTTCCTTCAGTCGCACTAATCGAATCGTTCATACGTTTATATCGTTAGCTTTTCAAATACATCATGCTAATTATTTTCTTTGAAACTATTATATGCCGTGTCCGCTTTGTAGAGATGAAGAGAAGCATTTTCAGCATTGCAGCTCTAAACTACTCTTTGCGCGAACAGTAGACGCGATCAGAACGTGCTCATTCAAAATCCTTCGACGAAATTTTATTGTTTAGGGACAAACTTTTCTTAAACTAATTCAGCATTATGTTGCACCTCCTTTTCTTCTACTGTTGGCTGGCGCGTGATGCTGCAAAGGTTGTATTTTACAGAATGCATATAAGAATTTGTTGTCAGAACATTCGCTACGTTTTCGTTGCCCAATGGCCCCTGATCGCTAGCGACCATATTAATAATTAATGAACGTTTTTTTTTTTCGATAACAAAACTCGAACTGCCGAATTCCGGTTCTTGATTGATTACAAATGTCGGATGCAGCACGTTCAGTTGATGAGTTTATTAACACCTGACATATACATACTGCGGATTGGGATTATCTATATTACAAGATTATTTAACTACCTAAACTTCAAGCTGGGGTATTTTAATGTGAGAAATTTTCAGTGATCCTACTGAAGATATCGTGTGTATGATGCTTTTCTTTACGACGACGAGAACTTAGCATTATATTGTTACTCCTGGTCTGCGGGCTAGGTTTGCTCCCAATCTGTAGCACAGAACAAAATTTGATGTTCTTTCTGGGACTATTCGCAGATAGCATCCGGAAATGTTTATCGTCACAATACCATCGTCGAAATTGAACAGGCTTCCATAGGAAATGATTCGGCAGTCATTCATTGCATTGGCATTTAAAGCTGTTCTGACATTTGCAGTGAAGTTTTTGTTTTGCAACTAGTTTCAACTTCAGTATAACAACATAACTAGTCTCGCAAAAAAAAAACCTAGATTTGATGTTCTCCGAATCGCTGAGTAATGAATGATTCATTGCTTCTTCTCACAGGCCAAGGGTAACGTGTTCAAGAACAAGCGCGTGCTCATGGAGTTCATCCACAAGAAGAAGGCCGACAACGCCCGTGCTAAGATGCTGCACGATCAGGCTGAGGCTCGCAGGACAATGGCAAAGGAAGCTCGTATTCGTCGTAATGATAGACTCGCGCTTAAGAAGGCTTCTCTTCTCAAGGAAGAACCTGTTGCGCAAGAATCTACTGCTTGAATACATAGCGCCGTATGAAACGTGCCGTTTCTTTGTCATCCTTTCCTCTTGCCGTTGAGATTTCGCCATCACGATTGGATATGGATTATATGGAACTGCCAAGATCTAAATTGTCGAGTTCTGATCTTGACTTCGAATGGCTGGCTACCTTGAGGCGGTTGCTGCGTGATCACGCTACTTTGTTGTTCATGGCCAAGGTTATCTTGATTCACAATCTTTCTTTGACCTCCAATTAACGTTATTATTCTCGGGCAAGTGATCATGTGTGCAATTTGTGATTCTACACCGAAATGCTGTCTGAAATCCTTTCCAGAGTTGGTCGTCCAAATGCCTGTCGCTTGAAATCTGAAAATCTTCGGGGACTAAGTGGGATCGGGTTAGTAGAAAATCTGCCGCCAAGCGCGTTAATGGAAAAGATTTTCTAGATCATGTGAACCGACATGGACGCTCACGGCTTTCTATTACAAATAGCCGGACTCTGAGTTAAGAAATGTTAGTAATTTCTGTACTCTATTCTATGTGAGTAGTCAGATTAAATTTACGAATTACTGATCGCATGGGAGCAAAAAATTCACGGTCGTTTCAAATTAACAAATGAAAAATGTTCACATCTAAGTTATAATAATGGTTGAAACTTCAGCAATTGCGCTGGTAATTGAAATCAGTGTGCGCGAGAACTTTAAATCTGAAAACCATCATTATTTTTATGACGAGTTGCGTGAATCGTTTTGTAAGTGATGAGAGAGAGAAGTCAGAATTACTAAAGGTCGCATGGTACCTGATGGAAATATGTGGTTCGCGCCTAGAAAAATTGGCGAGACCAAAGTTTAGGACGGGAAAAATGAGACATGGTTCTTCTTGTAAATGAGACATTGTAAATTTATTCACAAGTACACAATTTACAGTGACCATTACGCAGCATTTTGAATAGATTCTCTGAAATATACTTTCTCATTTGAGAAACGCTTCGTCCTACGCGTGCTTAGCTCTCTACTGAACTAAGAGTTAGGATAGTACTGACATTGCCGACTAAACGAACGTAACAATTGCGTACGCTTGACTAACCAACGTCGCTTTCACGCACGGAGAAAAGACTAGCGTACGTGCGATCATTTACGCACGCACGGTCGAGCCCTGCGTGCGTATCGTCGATGTACGAGGCTACGGACATGCGGCAAAGCTGCACAACAACGACCCATGCACTGGCAGGTCGGTCCGGCGAGAAGACCTGGTCTTACTAATGGCTGGTGATGCTGCAAATGATCACGGCTAAAATGAATGAACAAGTTATTATACACCGAAGCCTCAAAGCTGAACAATTAAGATTATCAGATTACGGTAGTGAGAAATGCTAGAATTGCAGCTGAGACATAACCGATGCAATAGCTCAAACTCGCAAGGAAGAGCTAGAAAGAAACTTCGACTGACGCTTCAATATTTGCTACGCCAACGCAAGATCAGTATTCCGACTGCGCCACTGCCCCCAGATGAATCATAGCAACGTTCCACCACTTTTAGATGATAAATAAAATGTCGAGATCTCATGCAAAACATGAAGGAAGAGTGGAAATGTTCAGCAAAACAAAAGTTCATGTGGAGAAAGTAAGGAATGGTCGGCTCATAGCCTGGCCATATTGTTGCCAAACTAGAACGAGGAGCGCTATGTAGTGACCCGCCAGGGATGAGGGGTGCAGGAGGCCGGGGGTGAGGTGAGGAGCCAACGACGGGAGACGGTAGATGATTGGCTGCTCACGGGCGGCCCGCAGCCCTGCATCTCCGGGAGCATCGACTTCAAAATTGTGCCACAGTAAGAACGAAAAAATCTTTAATGGTAGGAGTAATAGGAGGAACTGGTTACTAGGGATAAAAAGTTTTGTAAGTGATCAGGGAGAGAAGTCAGAATTACAAAACTGAAGTGGCATTTATCACTGATTTAATCTAAATAAAAATAATGGCTGAACGTAAAGCAAAGACACGACGTTAAGCGTCTTGATCGCAACTCAATAGCCAACACAGTTTATCTGGCACAAGCAACTCAGCGCCCACATCGTAGGCGATGTGAGGGCATCGGGGACGAACCAAGAGGAGAATTCTTCAGCAATGCAAGAGAATAGAAAATAAGCTGAGAAGTTAGGGCAGCGGCAGCATGATTTACAATGCACTCACCATAGAACAGAAAACAAACACGATCGAACATGAACTTATCAAAATAGCCAGCTACGAACTGCGACTAAATTGATTATGAAATTCGTGGAGAGAGATCCTGTTCAACATCAGAAAGACGTCTGCCCACAAGAAAAATATATCGCAAATGAAATATGTAAAATCATAGTACGCCTAGCTAGTTAATATCAACACAAAGGACGATAAAACATTTCTGGGAGATACGAATAGCAGTTATAAAGTTATTACATTATTCATTAGCATCAAATAACGAAGACTTGATCGCATCAACTTTTACGAGGAAACAAAAGCAATAGAATTGCAATTAAAAGCGATAACCAATAAATTTTGTAAAAAGAAAATGATTGCACTTATTAATAGTCAATGGTAATACTCTTATAAAATAATAAGATTATTATTAACAATCAAACAACTGTGTGGCTCAACAGCAGTAAAATTACAGCCGTGAGACAGAACTTAAGAGGAGACTAAAGAACGTGGCCACAGCAAGGCAACGAGACCACAGGCTTGCAGCGACTTGGTAACGTGAAGACGAGACGGACTAATGTGTAAGAAACAAGCATTTAAACCTAAATAAAATATTTATTTATAAAATACTGCCTCACAGCAGCACGGCCAAACAAATTGCGCGAAATCAAGCCGAGAGAAACCGAGAAAGCACCATTTTGACTTGGGAGGAATCGAAGAGCTAGCAGGCGAGTCGATTTGCTTGCAATGGAAGCGTCAGTGAAGCTTATTTCTCCGTAAAATTTACGTTAATTTAAACGCAAATACGATAGTCGAGCGGTAAACAATTCTGGAAATTTTGAGCAGGACGAGAGATTCTTCTGAGTCGAACCGACATGCAGCATCGCGTGATACGCCAAAGCTCTCCGCCTGGCCCCGTTGATATCTGATCGCACTTACATCGCAGTGCTATTGGTGCGTGTAATGGTGCGCGCCTATAGAGCATTGGTACGTGTAATGGTACTTGCCTATAGAACATTGGTACGTGTAATGGTACTCGCCCATAGAGCGGTACCCTGCGGCTCCTCAGTACTGAGCTGACGTATCGACGCAAGGGGTCCAAACAACGCCTTGTGCTAATTCTATAACTAAATATCTTCACTGTCTCACGACTATTCCGTGAGACAGTCTAGGGACCCTGGAGCGTTTAGTGAGCTTTGCTTTAAACAAAATCGCTGGTAGGTAAAGAGTCACACACACGTACATACTCAAGCAAACACAAAGACCAGCGGACATATAACAGATACATACAATAGCTTCAAAATACATACAATGCTAATGCAACGGCGAACTTCATCTATGCATTAAATAATTAAATTTTTCGAGGAGAGATACACCGTTGTCACTACAACTCAAAGGGTCGGTCATCATTGGTATGATATAAATCATGCAGCAGCAGCCACACCCCGCAACAGTAACGTTAATAGTAAGTGGTAGTAGTTATAGTAGCAGCAGCAGCAATAGTAATAGAGTAATGATAGTAATAGTAGCGGTTACCATTTAACTAATCTTCCATTGAGTTAACATACAGCCACGCTTCTCCTTAATAAGCTATATTTAAGGAGGACCTAAAGAGAAATATGGGTAACGTAATGACATCGAGGGCGGGAAGGTTTAAGAACGCAATTCATCTCTGAGCGACTGCTATGTCCAATGTGTCCTACTCATTCAAGTCAACTGCTGAGTGTGCAAACATGCATAAGAATGGCAAACAACGATGGCACTTTGATTTTTTCTCTGAGGAAATGTTAGAAACATGGCGTGATGAAGTCAGAGCACGCAGCAGTCAGAAGTGCATGTTCAAAATGAATTTTCAGACAAACTCGCGTTACAATTTCACACGCAGATTGCTAAACTTTACAACTTTCAACATAAAAATAAGAGACCCTGAAAATGTACATATTATCGAAATAAAATTCATGTCTAAAGAATCAATGGCAACATTTTTCTATGACATAAATTGCAACATGGGATATTCTAGAGAATTGCACATCCCCTAATAAAAACACATTAGTGCAAATGACGAATACTCAGTGAAGTAAGTTTTACCGACACAATTCATTAACAAGCTGGGAACACTGAATCAGGAGTACGATCAACTAAAATGTATATATATCTCAGCCAAGGTGGTTAGCAGGAAATACAATCACGACCTTGTGCTGGTTGCCTAGTTTTGTGAGGAGTTACAGTGCGAGCAGCAGTTCCCTATACGATCGTCGAGGTTTGTGCGTGTGGTTGTTTGTTACACGAAATTTCATCAAAATTATTACGCACTCCGTCAATGAATTGTTCAACGGAGAATTGTTGTGATTTGTGCGACGTTCCAATTGTGTACAAGTGAAAACTAATTTCAATCTCTATGGACCCAGAGATGTTCGCCGTTATGACACATAAACCGAACAATTGTGCGTGATAGGGAAAGTAAGGTACGAACAACGAACAAATAATAACACAGAAGAGCGGACAATCTAAGGGTAACACACGAAAAGGATAATGGGACAGATCTACACACGGCAGAGTCATATACGATGATCCTCTTAAAGATACACTCAGCCCCACCATACATGATTACACCTAAAGCCATCGGCGGGCGCCGTGGCGACGGCAGCACAGGCTGGTCATGAGCAAACAGTCAGGGTGCCGCGCCATAAGTGTTGCACCTCAAAACAATACACAAGTACAGTTTATGTGTTACGTCACTCGATCAATACAAGTTATTACTCCTTAGTTACACACTTTTCTAATTTATTCCAACATTATTTCCAAGCGATTATGATAGGGGAAGAAAAAAAATTTGCGGAAGTGTTATTAGATAAGTATACCGTACCTTTGAGAAATGCTAGTTAGCGTAGCAGTTTTGCGTTATTCTGTTACGGTTATTCTGCATAAACGTTACTTGCACTTCGAATACAAGTAGTTGCTTGACCAAATGCAATACTGTCATTCACAAGTGTCAAAGCGTCACAAATGTAAAGGAATTCACATCGCCTCTACTCATCGTGTACGATAAACACTGGCAATGAAGTCACCTCCAGGTCAGGTGGTAAAGCACGACTCCTCCAGACGCTGTTAATGTGGGCTCAGTGACATCAAATTTATCTAGCCTTGGTCACAGGTAACAACTCGTGAAAGAGATTTGAAGTATCATGCCGTGAACAGCACGAATAATCCAGGACGAAAAAAAGGTACAGTTTAGTTCTATTCGTCGGCGAAACAAATAAACCACGAAATGAAAATCGACCAAAAGTAGAAAAAATATAAAGAAAAGTGAGATTTTTGCTAAGAAGTGATTAAGGAGATCGAAGAACGGACGGCGACGCTGTGAAGCAATCAGCAGCGCCATCCGTGGTGACCTTAACTTAAGGAAATGTCCAATGGCTACGCAACTCTAAAACACGTCAAATACCGAACTTACGAGAATACCAAACGAATAGCTTCGATTCTTACAAAGAGTATACTTCAGTTCAAGTGAGACTCAAGTGAAATTTTAATTATAAATTTTCCCCAGTCCTTGAACCGAGGGGTTGGTTTAAATACTCACCAGAAAGAAGATTCGCATGAGATGATGGACGCAGTAACAAATTGAAACTTTCGGTTACTTGCCAAAAAGTACCTATCTAAAAAAATAAGTTTCGCAGAAGATATTGGACGCAGTTTCATATTGAAAGTCTCAGTTATTTGCCAAAAAGCTTATATGTTTTTTTGTTTTCAGTAGCGCTCAGTCATGTTTATATTATTAGGCTTCTCAAGACATCAATAAACGTAAGGACATCAGTCAGTGTGAGCGCCATTGAACCACAGAAAATTGCAAGTAAATATAAGTCAGGCCCGTATCAATTGTTTCTTGGGTTAATAACATTGAATTTTTTATTACAAATTAGTGATGGTTTATTTTAGTTGAAGCCATTGCTAAACTGCGTTTCAATCAAAAAAGTAGTTCCAAGTTAACATGAATGTACCAACAATATGAATGTGTAGTGACCTAATGGCAGTTCACGACTGAGAAACGCCTTTCGTTTAAGGAATAACAAACGTCGCGGGTTCCGAGTGGTAGCAAATAGCGTTAATTATTGACGGGCAAGCAAAGCTAGTCCTACTGGGCACACTAACGTTGCGTTCAAACTAACGCTATCGAAACTACATGTACCACTGCGAACTTTAGTAGGAAAAAAAGACCCTCCAGCCAGCACATGCGAAGAGGTCTCAAGTCAAGCATATGTTAAAGTGAGTCTTTGAAGGTCATAAGAAGATGCAACACTCATGACATTCATAGACACCATCCTAACCTACAATAGGCTAGGATGAGGCAAAACATTATCATGGTTGGTTTCATTCCAGTATGAATTGGATCGCAAATGTTGAGGTCTAACTCGACAGTTCACTTTGCGCATGTGCATACGCATTCGTTTGAAACGTTCTTGCAGTATAGCATATTCATGACCAACAAAGTTTTCCTATCGCTGATGCTATTCTTGGAATATTTGACTTTCAGGGTCTCAAATTGTTAAAATTCAACTTTAAAAGAAGCCACTTGCATAGAAACACAAGGCTGAAAAAAATTAAAGCCAGGCAACGCGTCATAAAATAGAAGAGGTGAAATCAATAGTAGCCACGACGCTAAGCACCATTAAAACAGTTGATGGAATATTTTATCGACTCCCATCTGAAGTCCAATTACAATGCTAAAATAACAAACACGACAAACAGCTATTTGGTGCGCACCTTGATCTGTTTGCTCTTCACCATAATTTTAGTGAACACTAGTTCATTGGAGAAGCCATAGCAAGTAGCACAGCACATGTTCTCAATTGCTTCACTCATCGTCAAGACTATCACTTCCACGTCACCTTTTCCTCACTATACACCGGTTGAACATTGAGAGAGAAGGGCAGAGCACACATCCCCTCTCACGAACCGAGTCATGCCACGAGTGCACCGTGTCCAGAAGCTAATGGTACAAGCACCCAGAGATCTTCGTTAAAGATTTCCTTCTACAAGAAGTTGCACAAGTAATGTGTCTTTGTTGTAAGATAAATTGAATCGCTTGATGTTATGCTCACAGCGGTAACACGCGATTAATACGTTATTTTTACTTCGTTTCATCTGCAACTGCTAGATGCATGACATTGATGTCGACATGCTAACAATAATTCTTCATTCATAAGTTTTTCTTGATGAAACACCCATTTCTTGATGCAATGAGTAGCAATTGAAATGTTTGAAACTTGCATCGATCTTTGATGGCTGCAGATGTGCGACGGTTAATTTCTCCGGTCTTCCAGTTCTCCAAGCTGTAATAACAAGCAGTGAAGAACCGTGTCCAACTCTAGTATGGGGAGAGTCTCATCATAACTTTGCATGTACATGAAAAATTGTCACACGCCGTGTTGTGGAGTTCTGCAGTTCAGTGTAGCCTGGATGCTGTGTAGAATTAAGATGGTGCACAGCTGAGCTTTTTTAGCGAAGTATAATGTGGTGCAAGACCACCTGACTAGTGTTGATCTCTGAATGATGCATTGAAGTTAAATTGTGTGGCACGAGTCTCCACGCTCTCTCTCTGACTGAAGACCACCGTAGTGAGACGAGCCTCTGCGGCATTATGACGCCTACAAGAGCTCGTACTGGCGCAGGTGCATGCGTTGGATGATGTCCCGACAGTCGTTGAAGACTCGCCGGATGTTCTCGGTGTCGACGGCGCACGTGAAGTGAGGGTAGCAATAGTGCCGCCCGTCACCCGTCGCTGTGCTGATGCGCTGTAGTATTAACATCAATTATTTTTCTGGCACTGTAAAACTTTCTACGCAGATGCACTAACGCTTAGCTAACACTAAAGCGATCAGAAAAATTTGCATATGACAGCAAAGTCTTTACTAGTTGAATGCCAGAGACTTGCTATGCTAAATATATTTAATCTCTACAGGATATTATTTCAAATCTTGCACGAATGAACCAGAACAAAAATAAGATAATTTTATGTAGAGAAGTGGAAGCAAAATCAAGTGACAAGAGGATGCACGGCCTTCAGTTTAAATACTCACCAAAAATTCGTCCCTAATGAAGTACTTTGCTCGCACTACCTCTGGGTTTTCTTCACCATCAGTAGATGCAAGTGAAGTAATTTCAGCAGGCGTTTGGTAACGGGAAAAGTCGGGGAAATAATCGTCGAGTTTGCTTTTGTTCGCCAAAATTTTCTCAGCCAGCAAATCTTGCTTATTTAGGAACAGGATGACACTGATGGTGCGCAACCACCTGTCAAAAATGTTTTGTTAGGCACTGAATGCAACTTGAGATGATAAAATTAAAAATTACTATCCATTATAATAAAAATAAAAGGACAAATTGAATAGCATTTCATTAAACTTCAAACTACAATAAGGTAAATTCTCAAATGTATTTCCATGCAGTTTCTCAGTTTATGAATACTTTTCGGAAGCCATGAAATTTTACCAAGCTTTGAATTTTTTAAAGTTAAGCATAGAATGCAGGCTTGGGCTAAAACCTGAAGCTTTGCTTCAAACTAATAAAAATTTTCATTAAAAACAATAATTGCATGAAAGACTTATCTATAGAGGGACCTAAATGAAAAAATGTTATACTTGAGAGGAATAGGGAATTGAGCCGTGCAGACCTGTTGTTCCATATGCTCCTAAAGAGATCCAAGGATTCCCTGAGCCTGTTCTGGCTAGGGTCCTCCCTGAGCACCATGTTGTAGGACGAGCACGCCGTGACGAAGATGATCGCCGTCACGTCATTGAAGCATTGGATCCACTTACGTCGCTCGTCTCGCTGGCCTCCCACGTCAAACATGCTGCACACACAGAACGTGTGAGTACACAGTGCAGCAAGTCTGGCCAAGGCACAACAGAATAGGAGGCGACGCATTAATTAATAAATGTGAAAATACGAGTCATTTAATCCCGAAAAAATCATTTAATCCCGACTGTCTCCTCTCAAAGAAAAAAAATAGTCATTTAATCCCGACTGCCTCCTCTCAACCGTAAAACATGGCGGGTGATTCGTGATGATCTGGGGTGATATTTCTTTAAAATCCAGTGGACGAATGCTCTTCATGGAAAAATCAACAGCCGCGACGATTATTTAGGAATTTTGGAGGACCAAGTTTTTACCAGCACTTTTTCCGGAGGGGAACGTCATCTTTCAAAATAATAATGCCTCAAGGCATACAGCTGGAATTGTTAAAAAATATAACTCAGTACTCACTGCAGTGAGTGACAGAGAGCGCATTTTCTCGTCGACGAAAACGTGAAATCACGGACGGACAGACGGACATGGCGGACACAATAGCGCCTTTTTTCCATAAATGAGAAAATGCGCTAAAAATGGCACGAGGAATTTTCTAATGAAGTTGAGCATCTCATTTGGCCACCACAATCAACGAACCTGAATATTATTGAGCATTATGGTCCACTTTACAGATAAAAATCAGAAGTCGATTCCAGCTGCCATCGTCTTTAACACGTTGACTACGTATTGGTACATATGCGTACCACGAAATGTATTTCTCCAGGAGGTAGTGGTACATAATTCAGGTCGCCAAAAATCGGCCAAATCCGAGAACAAAAAAGGCCAAAAAAGGCCGATAATTCAATGTATACTAGGTAGTTTATTTGTAGGTTCCGCTATAAAAATTCCATTTATTTTCTTTTTGCAGTATTTAAAATTTAATTAGGAAGTACCCCTATCATAAATTTTAGCCGGCCAACGCAATTGAGAAAAACTAAATCACGGAAGTTGTCCGGAAAAAATGACCGTCTGGCAACCCTGCTTAAAAAAGTACAAAAAATGAAATAATAGTACAAGATGAAGCAATCGTAGTCAACATGTTAAAAGAGCTAGAGGACGCTTCAACTGAAGAATGGGTTAAAATTCCTTTCGAAACAATTCACTATTTGTTTGAATCAATCCCTCGGAGTATTGAGGCTGAAATTGCCGTAAAAGGTAGACGTACACCATACTAAAATATATTTTGTACATTTCTCACACGTATCTCATATTTTGTAAAACCCCTGTATGTACTTTAATGCAAACGTTGCAATAAGGCTAGTGAACTCTTTGTTTACTGCCAGTACCTCTCGTTCCAAGCAATTAAGTACTATTAGCATTGATGGCTGTAAATATATCAAAGAGTTAACATGTATCAAAGGGTTAAAATAAAATAAAAAGAGTTAAAAGAACAGACAGTATAAATGAGTGATCACGAATACGAGTATTTCCTAAAAGAATTAATTAATAAAATACGTAATAATACCTAACAAAATAAGTAATATACTAAACTAATGAAATATGTAATAAATTGGTGGTGACTCACTGGAAGTTGACTTTGTCAACCTGGAAGCGTGTCTCGAAGATGCCAAGCGTGAGCACGCGGCACCGCAGAACATCTTGCTCCGTAGGCGTGTAGTCTGGCTGCCGCACCACGTGCACGCGGTCCAGGAAACTGCAAGTTTACATCAAATTAACATTTTTGACACACAGCAAGTCGCACGCGGTCCAGGAAACTGCAAGAGTGCATCAACTTAACATTTTTGACACACGGCAAGTGGAACACGGTCCAGGAAACTGCAAGTGTACATCAACTTGACCCTCCCATCACCCCCATAGAACACCTACATGCAGAAACAAAAATACTTCCCATAAAAGCACACCTCGACATGAGAGGAACACAATTCATAGCCGCAGCCATAAACAACACAGAACACCCATGCCACTACCTACGCGACCACCCACCTACACACAGACAAATAGTGCCAACCCCACACAGATACTACACCAACATACTAGATACAGTACCCCCACCCCAAGGCAACACCAGCACTAAAAAAACACACAATTATGACACTTAGAACGCTGGAGCTGGCCGGCAACAACAAAGTCCTTGGACAAAACACTTACACACAATTATGACACTTAGAACGCTGGAGCTGGCCGGCAACAACAAAGTCCTTGGACACCCACCACCTGACATAAGCAGCACAGAAACACAGCTCTTTAGACTGGAGAGAGTACACCTAGCCAGGCTTCGCTGCGGCCACCACCCTTCACTACAAACATACGCAAACAGAATAGGCTAAGTAGACACAGACACCTGCCCATCCTGCCAGAGAGCTCCCCACACTATCACTCACATTCTCCTGGAATGTCCGCTCTGGCAGGACCTCAGACAACACCACCACATAACCTCGACCCTACAGCTCTGGAGCGACCCCCTGTCGGTGGTGTCCTACTTGCGCAAGGGGGGTCTCTTATAAAAATGAGACCGGGGAACCACAACAACAACAACAACTTGACATTTTCGGCATACAGCAAGTCGTACGCGGTCCAGGAAACTGCAAGTGTACATCAACTTAACATGTTTTATACACATCAAGTCGCACACGGTCCAGGAAACTGCAAGTGTACATCAACTCAACATGTTTTATACACACCAAGTCGCACGCGGTCCAGGAAATTGCAAGTGTACATCAACTTACATTTTTGACACACAGCAAGTCTCACACACCTTGGCACTTAAAATTAACATTACATTAGATTGCGAGGGAAACATTGAGGCTGCTACCATTGTCAATGCTCAAAATTTGTCAGGCTTGTATTGCTGGTTGTTTTCAACTATGAAGCTAAATTATGCAAAAAAAAAAACATTGTTGAATAAACATATGGCTCAAGTAGGGCTAACATTAAATAATTTGAAAAAAATGAAAAAAATTGCTAAAACTCAAAAAAGAATTTAGACAAAATTAGAATACTCTCTAGATGGATTTTGACATAGACATATCTGGGATCTTTTTTCCTTATTTCATTGCATTATAACAGATTCTGAATGATAATAGAACAAGCTGGATGGCCTAGTGATTAATGTATAGATCATTTCTAAAAGGGTGGGTTTTTTTCTACCTCATATTGGTATGGTCTTCAGTTTTTTTAAGTCTGCAACTATTTATGCTCTGTTGCTGCTGAACGCCTGAATCTGCACATTTAAGTAATAACAAAATCATTATTCAAGAATACATTTTTGATATCAGAAAAATCCATGAGTTACTAGAATATTCATATTCAACATTAGTTACAGAATGATTATTTTTATTTTTTTATGTTC